CCCCGGAAATTTGGAACCCCCCCAGATAGGTCTCTGGATCCGCCACTGAGTAAATATACATATATAAAAATATATATATATTCAACATAATATCAATACAAAAACATGTCGGAGCTGTCCTGAGGCCTCTAGGACTTCTGTTTTTTAAATATGTTGAACTTACCTTTTGAACGACATGTATGTGTTTGTGTATTTCTGGTATATATATATTTTGTAACTGTATGTGTGTGTATTTCTGGTATATATATATTTTTGTGACTGTATATGTGTGTATTTCTGGTATATACATATTTTTGTGACTGTATATGTGTGTATTTCTGGTATAAATATTTTTGTGACTGTATGTGTGTGTGTGTATATCTGGTATACATATTAGTGTAACTGTATATGTGTGTATTTTTGGTATATATATATTTTTGTGACTGTATATGTGTGTATTTCTGGTATACATATTAGTGTAACTGTATGTGTGTGTATTTCTGGTATAAACATATTAGTGTATCTGTATGTGTGTGTATTTCTGGTATAAACATATTAGTGTAACTGTATGTGTGTGTATTTTTGGTATATATATATTTTTGTGACTGTACATGTGTGTATTTCTGGTATAGATATTAGTGTAACTGTATGTGTGTGTATTTCTGGTATATATATATTTTTGTAACTGTATGTGTGTGTATTTCTGGTTAATATAGGACTGGTGTAACTGTATGTAATTGATTACTTACAGGTTACTACAGAAACAATGCTCAGACTCTCTACAGTACACAGAACTCAACCTTCAGCCCTACTGGTACAAGGTAAAGTTGTACACCTGTCATCGAACTACAAATATTGCTAAGATCGTTGATTATTTAGTATTTAAGTGTTAGACCCTGCATCTGTGGAAAAAAGAGATATAAGGAGCAATCTTTTCACTTTGAGAGTAGAGTACATGTAAAGGGTAAAAAAATGCATGAGGAGACTCGACATATGAAAAGGTTCTAATAAACCAGACCCAATAGATTGTGATGTAAGAGCATTTAAGATAATTGTGCTAGTAGTTGAGGCTTGATGCCTGCAACAGGATTAACTTATGTCGGACCCCTAAACAGGGTTTTATAACTAATCATAGATATCTGATTGTGAAATTAAATGAAATTCAAAATAAGTTGGAGAGATACTAGTATCTTCAGAAAGTCAACACTTAGTACTCTTTGCAAAAAAAAAAAGCATTAAGGATACATGTAACTAGAATGTAGAGATGACAAAATGAGAGCTTGTAAACTGAGGGGAAGAGCAGCTTTACCGATGTGACCCAGAAGGAGAGTTTCAGTTTCCCTGGCTGGGTATGTACAGGGTGAGGATTTGGCAAATTTGATAACCTAACACATGTATAGCAATGGGAGGAGAAAGTTGAGTTCACATGATACCAAACGTTGTTATGTTAATTGACCAGGTGGACAGCAGTGTGTTGGCGAGTTTCCAGTCGAGGTGTGGACATCTCCACCACCTCAACCTGTCATGGTGTGGAGGCCGCAACAATACAGTGTCCACAGCAGCGTTTGACAAGTAAGCTAAAGCTACCAGCCTTCATAAGGCAATACTACATGTAGCAACATTCCTAAATCAAATGTTTATTTTCCTGGAAACATGAATAATTTTCATGACTATTCTGTTGATATTATTCAGAGTATCTGGGATAATAAGGAAAACAAATTTAAGGATGAGGAGGCTAATCGATTTATGTATACTAGCTCTAACTATCAGTATGAATTTAATTGCCCACTGTCAGGACTGCAAGCTGGCCATGATACTTGGCTATGCCGTAGCTTGATGGCATAGTTTGCTACAAAGCTTGAAAAAGAAAAACACATCAATCAAAAGAGCATATTTAGGTCCTTAAGCCTCTGGTTGTGAAATAAATTTAAATATTGCAAGTCTTATTTCTATCACATTTTACAATGTAGTGATAACAATGTTTAAATTGACACAGGTTTTTAAGGATGTGTGGACAGGAGTTGTCTACCCTTTACCTAGCTAACTGTACCTTCGTCAACTCCGATGTGATGAAGTGTATAGCGAACTTCTGCCCCAAACTGAAGGGTGAGTAGCTAGATGTTGCACTAGTTTGTCAGCTGATCTTGTATACATTGTTGTACCATGTGACTAGTTCAGTTTGAGAACATGTAATTGTAGCTTTATAATTTATCCTTCTTGAATAAACCTCATGAGTGAATGATGAAAGTTTTATTCAGTCATCATATCTTGTTTTTTTCTGGGTTCGTCTACTTTAAATAGATATTTTTAACATATATAGTGTCCAATTTTCTACAGGACTTGAAAGTAGAATTTTCTATAAATTTGTTGTTTCTTCTTTATTAAAAAACAAAGAAAAACATTGCCAGTTTAAAATAAATGCTATTGGTGATAACTCACTGTTATTTCACAGGTAAAAGTATTAAGATTTGATGGTGTTAATTGCAGTCGGGTATAGGGTATATATGTATTTCCAAAATGGAACAGTATGAAACCCTCTTATTCAAGACACCATGAGAAACCAGAAATAATGTCAACAACTAGGAATATTCTGGATTCATCAAACAAAAATTGCCTGTAAAATGTCAGTTTATTATTAATGAGTTTCCACTACTATCTACTGAATTTGAGATCTTTGTTTTATTTTATTTTTTAGATTTGGACATACAGGGTTGTTCCAAGATAGACGGGACAGATTTATTGCATCTACAGAAAATACCGAATCTGACACGCCTCAACTTGTACCGTTCTCTAGTCGACACCAATAGTCTCGTCTCCCTGATTAAGTATGTTTCAAAAGTCTTATCTTTCTCATTAGGTTAAATTTCAAAAGACTCATCTCTCATAAAGTATGTATTCAATGTCTCATCTCTCATAAAGTATGTATTCAATGTCCCATCTCTCATACAGGAGGTATTCAATGTCTCATCTCTCTCATAAAGTATGTATTTAATGTCTGATCTCTCATAAAGTATGTATTCAATGTCTCATCTCTCTCATAAAGTATGTATTCAATGTCTCATCTCTCTCATAAAGTAAGTATTCAATGTCTCATCTTTCTCACTAAGATGTATCTGTATTGCAAAGTATATACTGTATACCTGGAAATGTTTGCTCAATCAAACTTTTTATGCCCTTCACCAGTAAAATCCATACTTGTCCAGTATTAAAATTCGCCTTTCACATGTTATGACTATAAATAGCATGTTGAGTAATGCATTAATCTATGTCTGATTAATATATAGGGCATCTCACTTCCGGTTCAGACACCATAAAAACGATCGAAAACAGCTTGATGGGTTATTATGATATACCGGTTATTATAATATTTTTCTCTGTCAAATAGAATATCACAATAAGCGGGCTCCACTGTAATATTTGCTGTCATGATGAATTCGCCCTCATTATAAGGAGGGTGAAAATTGCAAAACTTAAATAACTGCAAAATTTTCGTTGTAGTTCGATACCGGTCATAATATCATTTGAATGGCGACTATGATATTACTAAGGTGTATATTTGTTCTCATTTTAGAGTTTTTAAAAACCTTGAGGCTTTAAATATTGGATCATGTATACGAATCAATAATTTTGATGAAGTGTGCCTTGCTCTTGGAAAGAATTGCAAGTAAGTATAATACTGAAGTTGATCAGTATCCACTACATGATAAAAATGTATTTGTGTCTTTTGTCTGTTAGAGTTGCATGTACATCAGTTATGTTTATAAATATAACTGAATTCTTTACGTGGCAAAGAAAACATTTGCAATGAAATGACTGATTTGTTTCTGAAAAAGCTAAAACTTCATTTATGTTATGAAAATAATAATTTATATACATGTATAATGAAATATAGTGTTATTTTATTTGTGCAGTTACATCTTTATATACATACTAATATTGGATAGCTTAGTGTTATATGATTTGTGTACAGTATACATATCCTGTTTTTGTAAAATGTATATCTATAATGTTGTATAGTGCTATTTTCATATTTTAAGATGTTGTATTTTATGATAATTAATTATTTCGTAAGTTGTAAAATGATAGCAACGGTACATTCTTTTTGTAGATTGTAAAAAATAGCAACGGTACATTCTTTTTGTAGATTGTAAAAAATAGCAACAATACATTATTTTTGTGTTCAGTCATCTTTAGTGAAAGGAAGTGTCATTAATACAAACAGTCTATATTCCACTATATGGTACAATTTTCTATTTAAGGAAACTGGTTTCCGTAGACTTTTGGCGGTCAAAGACAATCACAGGAGATGGACTAGTGGCTCTGGCCCAAGGGTGTCCAGATCTGGAGGAACTGGACATAGGCTGGTGGTCAGTCTATATTCTCAGTCTCAGACCTTAACGTAGAACAGCATTATGATATAAGTAAAGTGCTGACTGTACATATGTGTCACAATTATTGTAAAGTTTAATGATTATCTTCAATTTCGTTGACACAATATATATGTTGCAACTAATGTCTTATTTAAATGATCACAAAATTGCCAGTGATATACAGTGAATGCTGACCAATCTCACCCCTGAGTATTCTGTCAACATGTCTAATAAATATGAAACCATGCTGTTATCCAATTTCTGACGAAAACTACCAACTACCAAATAAGACCTGAATCTTGTGACACCCTGTGTCATGTTCCAGTGTCAGATTAGATAAGTAAGTTCTATGAACATTTATTTCTGCATCATTTAAGGGAAGGACTATTATAATCTGATGGTTTTTCTTCACAAATTCAAGTAATGAATTGTTTAGTGCTGAATCGTGGTGAAAAAAGGTATACTCTAAAAATTAAATTGACAATGGGTTACGGTATATTATACCAATTTGAAATAAAGGTGGCACCAAATATACTTTCATTGGAAGCTTTTATTTGTCCAGAATTATGTGTATATCATAAAAGTCAGAATTATGGGTGGATTGGTCGAGTGGTTAACACTTCGGCCTTCCACGCAGGCGGCTGGGGTTCGATCCTCGAAGTCGTCACACGCATGGAATATCAGAGAAAGTGTTTTTCTCCTGCCCACACAACTCCAACAAACCAGTTGGAGTATAACATGGTCTGGGGTAGATGTTGCGGTATCTGTGCTGTAGCATTCAAGTGAGGTGGCACTATAAAAGATGCCGCTGAAAGCACGGTCCCACTACAAAACAGAACTCAATACATCTCCAGCACACATGCAGGCATACACACATAGGGAGACATTAGCCAGGTGGCATAGGACTAGTAGTTAGCACCTGATAAGGCAGCTCCTGTGAATTCCTCAAAAATTGTATTGATTAATTTATATGCTAATTGAATTAATTGTATATATATATATGTACTGTAAAGCGCTTTAGAGTGGCTTATGTTAGCTAGATAGGGCGCTATTTCAAATCTTGTATATTATTATTATTATTATAATTATAACCACAAAAAGATTGTGCAGGGTAAGACAGATGTATGAAGAACAAGAGGATGTTTAATCATGTATTGTATGAAATGTCTCTGTGTTTACAGTCCAGGACTACGCTCAGGCTCCGCAAGTCTGATCCAACTTGTCCAGACCTGTACAAAGTTAAAGAAACTGTTTTTAACTGCTAACAGGTAAGGATGATATATAATGGTAGTATGTGTTGTTTTTGTCCTTTGCAAGACATCAATTTAAACTGGGTATTTTTTCAGAACAATATTTATTGTTTCTTTCTAGGCAAGAAACCTTTAAATATTCTTTCTGAAGATGCTCAGAATATGAATATGTTACAATGTTTTGGCAAAATGCCTATTTTCATTAAGCTTATATAACATATATATACAACCATTAACTCATTCACCCCTGAAATTTCATAATGAATTATTCCAACCTTTGAATCGGAACAGTTCAAATGTGTCTTTAAGGGGTGAATGGATTAAATACACTCAATAAACAATTTATGTTAATTGGTGACCTAGCTCAATACCTCCAGTCAGACATGACAACCGCTCAATCAGTTTTACACTATTAGATGATGGGATCAATTTGTATATTCTGTATCTTCCTCCAGGAACGTCTGTGATGTAGACCTAATGGCCATTTCCACCCACTCCCGTCAGCTACAACAGCTGGACATCCTAGGGACACGAGAGGTGACCAGAGACGCAGTGCTGCGGTAAGTTCCAAGTTGAGGTGGCAATTTAAGGACATTTTATTGCTGATACAAAGTGACAAAATTATTCATGTACTAAAAGTAATTATGTGTTTAAAATTAAGGAGATATTTTTCATTGTTGGTATAGTGGCTCTTACCTTAAACAGCATTGATATTCTGCACAACTTCCTTACCCTATGGAACAGTCTTGTTTCTAACAGTGTTCTCATTGTTTTTAAGTTATGAACAAATTAATGTGATGAGGATCATATGTGGTCTATTTGCAGGTTAAACCTGCTATAATTGTGAATCTTTTCATTATATAAATTTTTCAAAGTCACCAAAATAAAGAGCATGGCATTTGAAATTGTAACAGCCAAGGAATATAAAGGAAAAATACAGCCTTGCTGGCAGGCAGTACGTAACCCTGGGACGCACTGTTAAACTAGTTCAGTAACATTGAGTTCGGTCAGTGGCAGGAGGGGTGCACGTTTGTGAATTACAAAACATTAAATTTCATATATAATACACTTGTATGTCTTCAATCTAAGGTTAATTCAATATTTCAAGCTTTCAAAAAACGGATTTTGAAATATTTCCATTCTTGGCATAATTAAGCTGGGCAAATGCAAATACAGGTAATCTGGCAGGTATATTATGTAGTTGTGTTTGGTTTTGTCCTGTCTTATTTTGTTAGTGTGTTTTACATAACTTTTCTTGTTGTTTTAACAGGGTTTTACAGAACTGCCCCAAACTGACCATGTTCGATGTGTCTTTCTGTATGTCTATTGACTTTTCCTGTGTGGAGGCATGGAAAAAGGAATTTCCACACGTTAATATCAAGAAAAGTTGTCAACACTAGTCATAACTGTCTTGTTTCATCTGTATGCATGTAAGGTAGTCAACCCTAGGTGTCAACCCTCCCTCATGATTAGGAGGGATACTCCCTCATTTTGACCAACATTTACCAATCTCCCTCAAAACTTTAGAATCAAGTCCAAACTCACACAAACTCAAAATCTACATCCTGTGGTCACATGATCTCCTAGCTACTGCAGTGTGTGTGTAATGATCATAACAGGTGTGTCTGAATCAAATGCATGTTTTTTTGGAATTATTTTTATACATAGAAATGGAAAGATATATTGAGCAAAGCAGTTTCAGTCGCGTTTCACACACTTTATTTCTCATTGGAAATGTGGAATGATGGGGATCTTCCTCCTTGGAAGTTTCAGAGGTTGACACCTATGGTCAACTAGCTGTTTCAAAAGAATTTTTTTATGAAACTCGTCTCGTAGTTTTAATTTTTGCTCGCCTAGGCTCACAAAAATAAAAACTCCTAAGACGCGTTTCATAAAATCTCATCTATATTTATATAAAGGTGGTATCTATCAAGGAAAAGGATTTTGTTCATTACATTTGAAAAGAACACAAGGAAACAAATTGCATAAGGTATGATCTGGAAATGTTTTTCTTATTGTTCACATATTGTCATAATTCTTTTCATAGTTTGTAATTATAAGAATGGAAAACAATTAAGTGATAGTGACTATCAGATACATCTATGTTATTTGCAGGTATTTATGTTTTCCTTTTCTCTGAATTTCACAAATATCTTCATGTGTGTATTATAGATGGCTTTCAAGATAAATATAAAATAAAAATATACCACATTTGTTATAGCGCCCTATCTAGCTAACATAAGCCACTCTAAAGCGCTTTACAGTACATAGATATACAATTTTATACAGTCAATACAATTAGCATATATATATTAATCAATACAATATTGAGGAATTAGCAGGAGCTGCTTTATATTATCGGGTGCTAACTACTGGTCATATGCCACCTGGCTAATATCTCCCTATGTGTGAATGCCTGTGTGTGTGCTGGAGATGTATTGAGATACACGTTGTACTGTGATCCTGGAGTATTCCCATGCTAATTTTTAGAACAGTTTTGTAACCATACTTTAGTGAGTGATTAATGTTGTAAATGTTTGTTTTAAAAACTGTTCTGATATTATTGTTTGTTCATACCTCGCATGCCAAGCTGTTAATTATAATCAATAATGCACAATACTTTTAACTTGAAGTACAGATGGTTCTGTTTTCATATTTTTGGAGACAAATAGTGTTGATATAACACAGAACTAATTAGATAAATAAAAGAACTCTAACCTATCATCACGTAAAGCAATCCAGGACAAGGTTAAAGGTCTTGGTGAGATTTCAATATCACATATTGAGTGTGAAGTTTTGAATTATTCAGGATTATGAATATTGTTTGTTTAACTATCCTGGATGTTAAGTAAAATCTTCTTTTCTAAACATGTATTTTTTCTGGTTCGATTTACTTTTAAATCAGAAAAAGAGGTATCATAAGACTCTAGTAATTTTTTAAGTGTTTTTTTCTTCTACAAATGTGCCCTTGTAGCTAATTGAAGTTTATCTTGCCAAGATTGAAGTAATAAATTTATGCAATTAAAAGAATGTATATATGTACCATTAACGAATCAAATTGCTGTTTCGAATCCACAAGTAAGGTCTGATCGTAAGGAAAGCATTGAAAATCATGACAAATAAATTGGAGGAAAACAATTACTTGTAGTACATTTAAAAGTCCAGTGTTATTTCAACACCTAAACATGTAAACTACACCACACAGTGTGTAAATACATGTAGTTTGTTTTTCTAATTAAATTAAATATTTACTGATTTCAAATTTAATTTCTTGCCTTGTACTCCATTACTTCACAATCACATTTGGCCTTCGACTGCAGGATCTAAAAAATGTCCATTCGTTACATTCGTGAGTCAAATCTCAGCGTTTCAAATTTCTCCCGATGGTCCGGCTGAGTTCGAGACATTAAATATCGTTTTGATCAGTCCAATTTAAGCTTACTGAAGAAAGTCTTATATTCTCCTTGCAAAATTTACCTACATTTAACGGGCACCATATCATATGTTCCTTGCAAACTGCGTTCATACGACAGTATTTGCCGTCAAACTGCATATACAGGTTCAATGCAATTTACTGTTTTGTATGCATAGAACATATCATTTTTTCGTGTATTGACCACACTGTAGATGCCATTTATCATTACTGTATTAATTGTTTAGCTTTTGAGTGAATATGTCATTTTAAAATGTGTCTAATTCCTTTGGTTTTACTCATATATTTTTTTCAATTTTACGCTTTAGTTTGAATTATGGCCATTAATGTTTTTTTTATTAACAATCTGTATTTTTGATTTGTATTATTTGGGGGCTTTTAATCCGACATTAAATTATAACAAGTCACCTTATGTGGAATACATCATTTTTAGGAATGTATATTTACATTATACCAGCCAGTACCGCATTAATTTCCACAATATGTTTTCTAATGCTAACTCATTCACCCTGAAATTCCATAATGAGCTATTCCAACCATTGAATTGGAAGAGTTCAAATGTGTCTTCAGGGATGAATGAGTTAAAGTTCAATTACTAACATTTAAGGTTTGAGGGTTGCCTTTGGGGACATTTATTAGAAAATGATATTTAAAAAAATAGACTAAATATTTAAGCTTGAAACTGTTGGTTACTGAAATCAGAATGGTGCTATACAAGGAACAGCCACTGTGCTAATGTATTTAAGTTAGTGGATTTTTAATTCACAAAAAGTTAATGTCTTATAATTGAAATACACTGTCTGTCTCATGCAGAAGACCATACCATTGGATATGACCTTATAATTAACCCTTTCAACCCTATGTTACTGTAATGAACTCGACCATGCATTGAGTTGGACCAGTCATTATGGTGTACAGTGAGTGGCCATGGTGAAAGGGTTAAAGAGTCAAGTTTTCTATTATAGATACATCTGTGGAGTCTTCTATTCACACTTAGTACACGAGATCCTCTGAAGGCCAAAGGTTAAGTACTATTTTACTGGTTAATTGGAACATAAGACGGGCACCATGACTTCTGATTAAAACATCTGACTATTTATTTCCACCAGGCCTATTAATTTGAAATTTGCATGGATAATCCTTTATACCCTGGCCAACATGTTGGACTTATAAAGTTAAACCAGATTCATTTCCCTGTGATGCTGACATTAATGATATGCTTTTGATCCTGAGCAGATAATATATTTTTGGTTCCAAATCTTTAAATGGCCACGATGTACTGTGATTTGTTAAAGCCTGTTTGCCTCCCAATGATTTTGTAGCAGGAGTAAGACTTTTGTGGAACTAAATCTATGATAATATTTTAGGCTTACTAGGGTAAATTAGCAAAGGAGTCCAACTTTGTGTCAGATTGCTTCAGACATAATCAATTACTTGTCTCCTTTAACCCTTTCACCACTGTAGACCATAATGAACTCATCCAGATCAATGCATGGGAGAGTCTACTAAGTTGCATAGGGGTGGAAGGGTTAATCCAACACAGATGAGTTTACATGCCAAATATACACATACGAAACGTTGTGGATTATTTATATTGTCAAAAGTTTTGTTTGCAATAGTGTATACAAAATGTGGAGAGTTATTGACATGATTTTGTATTAAAACAAATTAGCTTTTAACCATTTGGCAACTTTTCGCTTCGTAGCTGACTCGGTAACGGTTTTCACTCACTAACACTTCCCACGGCCAGTAATTTTATTTACAATGAAATAGCGTGTTATGCGCATGCACTAGAAGCTCTGACACTGAGGGAATCCCTGATCAAGGCGTTGTTCAATGTTCAGAAAGGTTTAAATCCCGACAGTTATCTTATAATAGTTCATTGTTATGAATATATATCAGCCAAATCCGACCGTTATTTTCCATACGGAAACTCACCTGATATGTTTATGTAGTATTTGATAAAAAAAATGAAAAAAAAAAAAACCGCTTCGCCATGATGTCCGTTTAATGTTTTACTGTTTTGTATGTGACAATGCATTATAACATTTTTGAATTACATGGACAAGATGCCTTAAAAGTGTGTTAGATATGGACAGGAACGTTTGTTAGCTCTAATTTTGTCTAGGTATCTGCCATCTGAATCTCGCTTACATATATACAGAATGTATTTAAGTAAAACACATATTATGGACATTTGTCTTTTTGAATCCACTGTTCAAATTTGACCATACCATTGTTATTACTTATGAGACTTAGTATATTTATCACGTTTTATTTGTGTACATGTACACATCTGTACAGTAGATCTGGAGTAGGACGTCCTTGTGCATCAGTACATTCATCTATATCATATATATGTCCTCAGAGACCTGTTTTGGACAACATTGATACCCACCATTCTGATTTTCTGTATTTTCACCCTTTAATGCAGCAATGCAGCTTTATAACCGTCTATAGACCTGTTGTGGCTCGATTAACGACTCTCCTTAATTTTAACTGTTGGTATCCAATGGTATTCATGTGGACTCTATTTAAGAAATATTTTCCTTGATTTTTACACATTTTTAGCTCACCTGCCCGAAGGGCAAGTGAGCTTATGTCGTGGTGCGGAGTCCGTCGTCCGTCCGTCGTCCGTCGCCCGTCCGTCTGTCTGTCTGTCAGTCCTCGTCCGTCAACTTTTCCTTTAAACAACTTCTTCTGAAGAACGGATAAGCCTAGAGTCATGATATTTGGCTGAAAGCTTTGTTGGTAGGAGCCCTACAAAGTTTGAGAACGAAAATGACCTTGACCTACTTTCAAGGTCACAGGGGTAAAATGTGTCGGACACTTCAAACGACTTCTTCTGAACAACTGAAAGGTATAGAATTTTTATATTTGGCTTGTAGCTTCCTAGGAAAGAGCCCAACATAGTTTGAGAATGAAAGTGACCTTGACCTACTTTCAAGGTCACAGAGGTCAACAACATTTTAATGGATTTGTTCTTAAGAACTAAAAGGAATTGATTCATAAGAATTGGCTGGTAGCTTTTGGAATAGAGCTTACCAGTTTGAGAAGGAAAATGACATTGACCTACTTTCAAGGTCACAGGGAAAAATATGTCAAGCAACTTATGAAGAATCAAAAAGCATAGAATCTTGTAATAATATTTTGCTGGTAGTTTCAACAGATGGAGCTAACAAAGTTTGTGAGGGAAATATTTTTAGTGCAATATGATATTTAATGAGAATATTTTGCTATGACTGCTTAAATATTCAGGTAAGCGATACAGGCCCTCTTGGGCCTCTTGTTTCTGATTTAATTAGCATTTAAACAACATTAATGAAGGAATATAAAATGAGGAAATAATGGACAGTTACGTGTATCATCAAAATATGCCTTTGTATATGGAATCCTTCCATAGAAATGTCCGAAGATGATCTTTTGTTCAAATAACTCGCATACCAGAGTTCTTCTGTCTGGTCTCTTTGTGGTCTTTTTATATATTTGTTTTTATCACATAATCGGCCTGTTATTCAGTGAATTCGCCCGTGTGCTATTTTTACATATGTCACTATAGTGTAATTTACCATGGAACGTTGTTCATTAGCTGTGCCAGTCAGAAATTGATTGTGACGTCATAATATGGACAATGACGTGACGTCATCAATTGTGAATGGCACAACAGAGTGTCTGTCTCCGTTTGCTTAAGCCCTCTACATTTTGTTTTTAAAACCTGTCAAAATGTAAGTTTTCTGAGTTATGTGATAAAAATTAGTATCTTAAATTTGTTTCCATTTTATATGAGCTTTTAAGATCCTATATACATTGATGTAACAATCTGAGTAGATTCACATACTCCTAGGACAATAACTTCTAACACTAACGTATAACTATGTGTATTAATATATGCTAAGTAAAAATTACAAATTTTGTTATATGTTGATGGAGAAGCATATTATTTTACATCAAGTTGAAATGATAACATAAAATATTATAAACTTAATAAATTTCTCCACAGATGGTGTTGTAAATTTATGTAGTAATAAATTATTTCGTTATTAGTTGTTTATATTTCCTGATACATTATATTAAACTGAATACCAATATAGATGAAGTATATCATTACTATTTACCTTTTGCATTTGTTATTACTATGTATTGATGACATTTCTTCTCTGAAATATAAAGCTGTATTTCCAAAATAAATTACCTTGTTCTTTATACTAGAGATCTTTAGTTGGACTGGGGATCAAGCTGTACAATAATCTAATATTAAGTATGATGGCACCTAAGCTGTGTATTAACTAATTACTGGCTTTCTTAAATGTTTAACATTTGTATATTAAGGAGAAAGCTAACGTTCAGTTATGTAAATTATATTTTGAAATAGCATTTACAATAATTATAACACGGGTACTTTTTGTTGTTAAAACAAGAATTCCACGGAAGTGGATGTGTCGCCTTCGCAGGAAGCTGGGAGATTACCAAGAAATAGATACAATATGGTGTCCACAAGCAAGACAGCATCGCCTCATTGGTATCCATTTTTTCTTCTTCTTGAAAATGCAAGTATGCTTAGCACTGCATGAAGTTTGAGTTTGATCGGCCCAAGGAAACTCAAGTTATCGCACGAAAACAGATTTTCTATTTATAGTAACAGTGACCTTGCCCTTTGACCGTCGGAACTGTAAAGCAATCCCAAGCAAACACTTTTGGTAAGGAAGCACTGCATAAAGTTTGAGTTTGATCGGCCCAAGGAAACTCAAGTTATCGCACGAAAACCTCTGTGCGGACGACGCCGCCGACACCGACATAGCAATACCTATGTGTCACCAGCTTTTCGCAGGCGACACGAAAACCCCATCCAAATTTAGAATATACCATATATACCCCATGTCGATCTTGACTGGATTTGAATTGACAATTCACATATGATCCATCCATACAAAAGACAGTGTTGTTCTGATCTATCGAGAAGACGCATCTCTTCACTTTACATTTCCATGTGAAAATATCGGCTACGAAATTTTAATAGTAGCAGCTCTTCCGAAAAATGTCATTTATGTAGGTTTATCCTGTAGTGTATATGTGTTTATATTTAAATATGAGGGCTGTATCGGAGACATATGTAGTATATACATGAACACGTCTCTGGCTGTATGCAAATTGGAGTTAATGTTTATCCATTTATTGCTACTGCGATAGGGAAACACCATTCTTCGTTTCTCCCCAGATTAATCATGTTTCAAGAAGACAAAGAATCGTGTTTCCGTATCGGGAGGGCGGTACTGTACATATTTTCTTATAACGAAACAGAGCAATAAAGACGATTAGGCATTTGTGCTATCGCTGGCATCTGCTTTGGTCACTGGCAGCTCGGGTATCGTGGCTCTAGCGCATTTTGCTAGTGGGACTTCGAACAAGGGAAATATGACTGGGAAAACTCGAGTACGGGAGGGCAACACAATGCTTTTCTCCCTGTCACGTGATCAATATATTCATATCATGCTACTATATAGATGTGGCATTATGATATATTCAGTGCTACCCTCCACCCCCTACCCCTGCACAGATACATGAACATATAGATTTATATTATAATCAGTATAGTGTTTTTATTTGATATTTTTTCATTGCGACATCATATGTTTGTCAACACCGTACAAGTTGAGAGATAAATTACTAAAAGCTAAAGAGATAAACCAATAAATGGTAGTCGAAAAAAGATGTGTTTTACTGCCTAAATTACCTTTAATCGTAGCCCCCTTCTTACAATGATAGTGTAAGGGGTTTAATAATGATGACATGGCAAACAGAAGTGTACAAACACGCTATCAATAAAACTTTATTTTCAAAATATTTTAGAAAAAATAAGACTCCAAACAGTTGCGAAATAGTCAAAATAAAGCAATATATATTGCCCCCGTCCGGAAAAGTTAACTGTTGCATCTAAAGTTTGAAGTCCAATTAACGATATGCAGTCACAGCTGACCTTGTGTCCCGTTGGTTAGTAGTATCTGTTAAGGAGAACCCCATTGAAGGTGGAGTCACGTTTGACCTTGTGTCCCGTTGAAGGTGGAGTCACGGTGGACGGTGTGTCCCGTTGGTTAGTAATATCTGTTAAGGAGAACCCCAGGGAAGGTGGAGTCACGGCGGACGGTGTGTCCCGTTGTTATTAGTATCTGTCTGTTAAGGAGAACACCAGTGAGGGCAGAGTCACGGCGGACGGTGTGTCCCGTTGGTTATTAGTATCTGTCTGTTAAGGAGAACCCCAGTGAAGGTGGAGTCACGGTAGACGGTGTGTCCCGTTTGTTAGTAGTATCTGTTAAGTAGAACCCCAGTGAAGGTGGAGTCACGGTGGACGGCGTGTTCCGTTGGTTAGTAGTATCTGTTAAGGAGAACCCCAGTGAAGATGGAGTCACGGTGGACGGTGTGTCCCATTGGTTAGTAGTATCTGTTTAAAGAGAACACCAGTGAAGGTGGAGTCACGGTGGACCATCTGCCCACTGACGTCTTCCACCCAGGCGTGGTCGCCCTCCTCCAGCCTGATGACGACGGACGCAGAACAGGCCGAGTCTCCCAGCCACGCGCTACAGTACACATTCACGGTGTGCCGACCGTTTATAACGATATCTGTATCCAATTTCTTACCAGCGTAGACGTTGAAGAGGCTGGCGCTGAACAAGTACAGCCCGCTGAATGGCGCCAGGAACTTGCCAGTAGCGTTTTCGTAGTAGCCGCCCTGGTTTGTTATGGCGTTTGTGAACTGGATGGGGTGCGCCACCCCTGGATCGAGGTGGGCGTTGCCTGCCTTAATGGTGAAAGCAATACCATCGGACACTGCAATACACAAAAGGACGATTGCTTATTAAATAACAGTCTGTCAAATGTTATCCTTGTTGGAAATGTGGCGTTAACGAACCTTTACAGAGCATCCCAATAGCTCACTGCTTGGCCTCTTTCAGAAGCTTCAATATTTTCGCTCTGTGGGAACACTTTTGTGATTGTTTTAGCAGGTAAAACTATTCTTAAATTTAATTGCTAATGATTTGCACATGCAATATCTTCCCCCAGCGTTGCCGACAAGCGATTCATATGACTGAATTCGATTGAAAAGATCGATTACCGATCAACAGAAATCATTTAATTAATGATGTTTACGTAATCTTATAATCAAGAGTTTAGATGTGCTCTACAATGAAGCATGATGTACCTGTTTGAATTGTTGATTAATATTATATGATATATTTACAAAGTTCGATAACTATGTGTGCATATCGGTACATATATCTAACCCAACTGCTTGCAATTGGATTGACTTTGATAGCTTACGAAAATGTACTAATCTTGCTCATCGAACTTAATAGTTAGCTATAGTACATAATTTATTATTGACTGTAACGAAACATTGAGACATGTCGTATGTTACAGCAACAATTGACAGTACACAACTTAGTTACCTACTTAAATCATTCCAACATCGGTAAAACTAATGAAAGAACAGCTATTAAAAAGCTGAAATCAAAGTCCGGAATCTTAACAAACACGTTGTTTCCCAAATAACTTGCTACCGATCTGTTCATTTCAATCCATTTCCACACATTTGGAAATACAATTCATAAAAAATTACGTGTTGTTTTATCAAACATATGAAAAAAAAGGATAACACATTTGATATCACAGTGTTTCTCCTGGATTACGTGTTTTTTGCAGCAATGGTTATTAATATACAGACGGAGTAATGTCCCTATATGTGCATGCTATTGTCCGTTTGCTCATTCTAGGGACACGTATCGAACTCAAATCACTGGGTAAAGGTGTAGCATCCAGCAACAGAATTGTGACTGGTTTTTATATGCATTTCTAACTTTTTTGTTTTCAATGAATTGTTGGTATATTTCTGTCGATAGACTTGAGCACATTATTTATATTGCATTGCTATATAAGGACAAGAGATTGAATCAACTTCACCACGGCAGTTGTAATATTTACAATGTAGAGTGATTGCTGATATTGCCAACATTAACCTTACTGAAAATGTTCATAACATTTTTTTCTTCTTATGTCCAATTGATAAAATGTATTTATAAAATGACAGGGGCGAATGTTCTGGTCTAAAGTAAATATTTTTGTAGGTAACCGGTATCTGTTTTCTTGGTTATCGTTGTAGAAATAGAATGCTAATTTTACAGGGAACATTTTATGTTGGATAACTTATGTTTCTTTTATCAACAAAACATAACATTTAATGTTTTATAATGAACCGAGACGTCAGTTCAACAAAATACGTTTTTTATGAATTCTATGAAAAATCAAGCATGTACTACTATTTGTTGGGAATGCACGATGTTAATCGTCCGTCATTGTCGGGTAATAATGACGTCTATGTCGTCTGTTTTTGTGACGTCATTAACTAAAACATATTGTTGACATTGTTCTAACTTCAAATGTAGACAGGGTCAAGAAAGACAGGAAACGGAATTTGCAGATAACATCAATAATATATATGTTAAGCATGACAAATGACACCACGTGACAAAAGTACGACTTACCTGCATATCTTACAGCTGGTAGTGCTGAGGCGTGGATGTGGACAACAGAGCTAAGTAGGAGGAAACTGACAGCAATTGCTACGTCTGTGGTATGCATCATTCCGGGGATTGGTGTGAAGACGGTTGAACGCCTTACACAATACAACTGTATTATCTTATACCTTTAGCGAACACCAAACCCTACAGCAGCTATGATACTATACCCCGGATGTATGAATCAGAGGTAGTTTGCCAGACATCAATCTGTACTGTTTAAATAGAAATGTCAAAATCGGGCCAATTCTCCAATAACAACCCATGTATACCGCAACATATTGATCCAATGAGGACAGACGCAGATAACGTAACATCCTTAATCCTGCAATATATTGTACCTCATTATTTATGTATCTGTTGATACTTGATGTTTTAATTTTAGTTCTATATAAAGATTTTGAGGTCAATGTCACATCTATAGGGGTATCATCGGCACGATTTATTAAAGATAATCTGTTATTTCTCCCAGCAACATGTTGATTTATTTGTCAATAACCACACGTTGAATAAAAGGATGTCCTTGTGTATATCATAGCATTGTCTAGCGGATTAACCGAATTCAATTTGGCCGAATTCTGGAAGTAGCTGTCCAAAGTCTTGTTAGTGTACCGATACGTAACTTTTGATTTAATTCTCTTTCCCAAGAGTTAGTGACTGGTGAGGCATGATAACCAGGCTCCGTCAGATTACGACCAATCTTTATCTTTTAGACCTGTCTCTTTTGTTGATTTATGTGCTCTAGTCCCGTGTTTGTAATATTACATCTGCAGATAGAGGTATGATATGTAGGTCTGTGTGACCGTTCATGAAACATTATTTGTTAGAACAGCGGAGCTGGAAGTATGTCTCTGGTAAAAATCCTCGCTGTATTATTGGTCACCTATGCCAACGGACAGACGGTTGCACAGTCTGGTAAGTATGCACATAAGCTTAAACTGTTATAGAATATAATAGAATATTGTATGTATACAAACATTTTCCATGTTTTTTGTTACATATTTTGGTCAACTGTATATTACTTGGTAGCGGCATATACTATGATTGTATAATTTGATTTTAACAATGCCTCTAGCATTGACTTTCAAGGTGATATTGAATAACATAAATGACATCACCAAAAGTGATATGTCAATGTATTGCACAGTTTTTGTTGTTTCTAGGCAATATAATTAATGCGCAATGTTAAGTTTTATGCAAAATTAAAGCGTTTTATCAGAAATACTATCAGAAATACATAAATTTCCATTAACTATGCATTTAAAAGTCTTATCTGCCTTTTAAATGTTTTAAGAAGGAATAACCTATATTAATTTTGGGGTTATACGGTATTTACCGAAAAACCTTGTGCGCTTTAATGCATCAGTCCCGTCGCGAATTTATGAAAAACGAAATCAGTTTATTAAGGATTATTTTGAATATATTTTTCATGTTTCATGTTATATAACACAAAAAAAATATATTCAAATTAATCCTTATAATTTAATCTACTATACACAATCCCTGTGGAGATCCACTTTTATTGATGGACTCTTTTCTCTTAGAAATTATTGCGCTGCAGTATCAGCCAATCAAAAGCGACGTTACAAACGGCGACTTTTTTTTACGTTATTGGCTGATAACATACGTTTTTAAGCCAATGAAAATGCTTGTTTTAAGCAAGATTAAATTATTTCGGTATATACCAACAAAACAAACAATGACACCATCGTATACCGAAATGTTTTTGATTCTGAGTTCGAATTGATTAAAGTTATTCAGCAATTAACTTACAGAGCTGGCTATATTTTGTGTAAATTTAAAATGTTTTATCAGAAAAGAATCAATATTCATTCACTATGCACTAAAAAGTATTGGTTGTCTTTTTGAGTTCATTTGTAAAAATAGCCAAGCTTAGTTTTAGCCTTATAAGATATTCACTGAATGAAAAACGTTTGCACTTTTGTGCATTAACCTCTTCGGGAGTTTATGCAAGTGCACATTCTTTTCGATGTATACCGTATAATTCTAGTTATTTTCAAGGAAATTCTTCTTTCATATAAATTAATTGGAAATCAGGACACTATATGGTGAATAACTTATTTAGTAATCCACAATAATACATTCAACATCGGGGTGAGATTGCTATATGTTTTTGTATTGAGTATGAACATTGTGATCAGATAAACATGTACGTGTTGGTACATCTGCCTTGTTTATTTACGGTTACTTAAAACCTCGCGTGGTTGTTCTTACGTCGACATCACTTTTATATATTGTACTGTTGTAGGTTATAATACAATGATATATAAATTTCTTTTGCAGTTGGCAATGATATTGCCTTCACTGTAAAAGCAACCAACAATGGAAATATTGATCTCAGTCCCGGAGTAGGAGGGGTCGTCAAATTCCAGACGGAGATCACAAACTATGGCAACGCATTTGACTTAGCAAACGGAGTGTTTACTGCGCCCGTGGATGGCATGTACCTGTTTAGTGCCAGTATGTATAATGTCTTCGCGGGCCAAAAACTCGACACAGATATCGTGAAGAATGGCATACCGGAAGTCAATATGTATTGTAGCGCCTCTATACAGTACAGCGCATGCTCGGCCACCGTCGTCCTGCGGTTGGCCACCAGCGACAGGATTTGGATCAGCGACAAAAGTGGAAAGTTGGTGGACCATGACTCCAGCTTCATGGGAGTTTTACTTAATAGCTAGATTGCATTTCAATCTGGATGTATCTGGATTTTTTTCAACAAACTTTTTAATGTCATTTAAAAACAAATGCTAATCTTTTTTTTGCGTTCGGTAATTCTACTTGAACGTGATAATCAGAACCTGATCGAGTGTTCAGACTTTAAATTATTTAAACAGTACGGATTTTTCGAATGCTTTACAAGGCTCAAAATAAACATCTTAAAAAGACAATCCTTTTCGTGTGTTATGCATACATTCATATTTAAAGTCTGTTGCCTACAGTTTTGTGTATGTTTTCGGTTTACAATTTTTGGAATTTTTGCACACTTGATACAGGGTCTGTGGCACAGCATCTCTCTATCTGTCCACCGTCAACATTTTAATCCAGACTACTTTTCCCAAGAGCCATATGATGTAAGAGCGGCATAATTTCACAATTTTGTGTTCCCTTTCAAGAAGTTTTTCTAACAAGTATGCATCCGGAAGTCTCACCGAATGTCTTAATTATCTTCCGTGCTGAGATTAGAAGTCGTTAAAATTTAACCGATGGTCAGTTGATAATACAATATCGTTTAGGGTCTTTTATATTATGTAACTGTACGGTCAGTTCCCCAAGAAATAAATAATCTTTTAATGGTCAATTACATGTATAGCCATTGAAAATGACCCTCGCTGTACATCATCTTGATAGTCTTTTCAACATATGTAACATATTTATGTTTAAGATATTTATCTGACTGAGATGCTACATGTACCAAATGTTTTGAAAAGTCTGCGGTCAGCTCTTTAAATAAAAACAAAGTCGTGAAAATCTTGCTGATGATGAGATGATAATAAAATATCCATTACTTTTCCTCCTTCATCCTTCTCCTTCATCATTTTACTCAGTCAGCAAATGTAAGGAGGGAAGACCATGGTCAAGGAGCCCTTGTATCCCTCCTTCAATGTGTAATCTATAAGATTTATTTAAAGCATACCACATTCATGTCATCAACATATCAATCTCCTTGCCCCTTGTTTACTAGACTGGCCACCGTCTCTAGAATATTGAAATATTAAGAAAAAAAGTTTAACTTAAACACATTGTATCACTTGGATGTCTGATCCTAAGTTCTAAACTAGGGGAAGATAAGCTAGTAGTAAATTGCAGCTGAGAAATTCTTCATAAAGCCTTTGGGGCTGGTAGCCAGTCTACTTGTCTACATATCATGTGAATTACGTTAAACATCAAACGGAAATAGTTTCCACATTTTCGCATCAGTATTATCTTATTCACCATATAACTGTAAAATGTACAGTATATATATATTAGCTGCATATACACTTGCACATTCTCCACTAAATTGTTCCGTCGTTATCAACTTGGTTAAAAATGTCACTTCCAAGCATAAAACATAAAAAGTATCATCTTCACACCAACATTTTCATCCATAATAACTCATCATTATTACTCTCGTTACGGGAATCAGATAACATTGCATCAACAAACATAAACAATCAATTATCTATACGAGGGAACTCATTATCGAATACACGTCACATACGAAATATTTCTAGAAGAGAATATGTTGACACTGTTCAAATATTTCTAATACACATGTTGGGTACGACAATGACAACAACAAATAAATGTTTGACGTAAAGACCCTGTCAACTCTGCCATTCAAATAACATCTGATTCGATGGCATTGACGTATATCATACGACGTTCAACCTTGAATAAGTGATTGCGAAGCACTGACAATTCAGTCCTGCAAACTGTATTGACGGTAAGAAATGAAACAATGAAATTGAAATTACGCCCCTTAAATTAACATTCTGTCTGATTGCATGCATTATGTTAAATGTAGCTAATATTTTCGGGACCTATGGAAAACTCTGATGTGTCGGATAAATCGGATCCAAAAAAATTAAATAGTACATGTATTATCAATCGGTGGTACATATATAAACACTGGTTTGGTCTGAAATGTTGCATTCGCCCACCAAACCCACCAGAAATAACAAGATCAGCAGAAACTGACAAGCAAATAAAAGAACATACACTAGCATACCAGAGAAAACGACATTTCCTAACAGAAATGATCAATTCAGTAATTTTTATCAACACTAGTTGGGCTTTCGATGCTTACTGAATTTGATGAAACAGAACGTAGTAGTTCTACTTTCTACTTAAGTCACTACCGACCATCACTTTAGAAATTGGTACGATCCGTTTTGTATATCAATAAACTAGTTGGTAGGATCCCCTGTGTAACGTACACATATTGTGTACGTTACGACAGACAACGCTGTTCACGAGGCTACCTTTATTAAGATGCCAGCTGTATAAGGAGCCTTTTTTGCGGAATTTCTTTTGGCGACTTTTGAGCACAGAATTGACTGTATTTTTAATGTAATTTACACAAATGACTGGCACACTGATAATCATGGTGTCTATTAATATTGATATATAGACACAATACCAAAGGATATTTATATAATCACCAGTCTCAGTTAAAATTTTTCAACATGAACAACACTAACAGTCAAAACAATTGAATATAACAATATGAACAACGCCATTTTTCGAAACCATGAACATTATAATGAGAACAAGATCACCAGTCAAAACAATTGGAAATTTTGATATGAACAATACCGCAAGTCTAAACCACTGAACACAGCGATATGAATAACAACACCTGTCTAAACCACTGAACACAGTGATATGAACAACACTATTATAGTCATTTCCATTGGACACATTAACATGAACCAAAACACCAGTTACAACTACTAAGCACAGTAATAATAACCACAACACCAGTCAAAACTACTAAGCACTGTAATAATTACCACAACACCAGTAAAAACTACTAAGCACAGTAATAATAACCACAACACCAGTAAAAACTACTAAGCACAGTAATAATCACCACAACACTAGTTAAAACTATTAAGCACTGTAATAATAATCACAACACCAGTTAAAACTATTAAGCACAGTAATAATAACCACAACACCAGTCAAAACTACTAAGCACAGTAATACTAACCACAACACCAGTTTAAACTATTAAGCACAGTAATAATAACCACAACACCAGTTAAAACTATTAAGCACAGTTATAATTACCACAACACCAGTTAAAACTATTAAGCACAGTAATAATTACCACAACACCAGTTAAAACTATTAAGCACTGTAATAATAACCACAACACCAGTTAAAACTACTAAGCACCGTAATAATAACCACAACACCAGTCAAAACTACTAAGCACAGTAATAATAACCACAACACCAGTTAAAACTACTAAGCACTGTAATAACTACCACAACACCAGTTAAAACTACTAAGCACTGTAATAATTACCACAACACCAGTTAAAACTTTTAAGCACTGTAATAATAACCACAACACCAGTCAAAACTACTAAGCACTGTAATAATTACCACAACACCAGTTAAAACTACTAAGCACAGTAATAATAACCACAACACCAGTAAAAACTACTAAGCACAGTAATAATCACCACAACACTAGTTAAAACTATTAAGCACTGTAATAATAACCACAACACCAGTTAAAACTATTAAGCACAGTAATAATAACCACAACACCAGTAAAAACTACTAAGCACAGTAATAATCACCACAACACTAGTTAAAACTATTAAGCACTGTAATAATAACCACAACACCAGTTAAAACTACTAAGCACAGTAATAATAACCACAGCACCAGTTAAAACTATCAAGCACAGTAATAATAACCACAACACCAGTTAAAACTATTAAGCAAAGGAATATGAACAAGATTACAGTCAAAACCGTTGAACATAGTGATATGAACAACACGTTTAGCTAACCTTAATCAATAAAATGGTATATACAACTCAGTCTTAGATCAATGCACATGGTTTTGATGAGGTGGGATCGAGTAGACTAAGATAAGACAGATACGCAATTTATATAATTTCAAAATAATTTTAATGACAAAGACAAATGTTGTCAAAACTAAGGATTCAACAACAGACGTAGAGTCTATAGCTATGCGATAGCTTCCCCTTGGTGACAATCATACATTGCATATATACATCACAGAAACATTGTCAGAAATGAAATATCCAATGAATACATGTATCAACATATGGTCAGGGAAATGGTTGAGGAAGGGGGTAACTGAAATAATCGTATGAGTGCTCTAACCGAATGTGCTAGAACTATTGTTAAGGGAGAAAATGGCAAGCCAACGTAACATTTGTTTGAGGAGTATTGTCGATCATGCATTTAATAAAAATATATGTATTCATGTATATCATAGCGTATGAAATATTCTTCATACAATGCATGTATATAAGCTTTTAGTTATTTTATAATGCATGCAAATCTTATGTATTATACCTTTTATGAGATATCTATTAAATAATATATTTGAGATATCACATCTTATATATAACTCTTGTAAAAGTGTAAAATATCTTTTTGAAGTTGTGAGGTATCATATATAAATGCTTTGGTAAAATATCGTAATGATAAACCTTATCGATAAAAAAATATCCAAAAATGTAGAAAACACCAGTGTCGTTATATTCCAGGCTGAGACAACTTACACAATTTTTGCGGACCTTTGTATTTTAAGGTTCAAGTTAACCAATGTAATTTTGTATTTGGAAGGTATTGGTAGACAAATTTACAGGTTTAACAGTGTAACTGAGCACGATCAAGAATCCATCGGGAGCAATCACATTAACATATTTATTCAATTATCAGTCTCGCGAAAATCTCATCCTTTTTAAGACATATGTTCATATGTTATTTATATTATTATAAGATATTTTATATAACAGAAATAAATAAAAAAATCTTATAAAGAAAATTGTTCGAGCTGTATTATATCTTTCACAAGCTATCTAAGGCAACACATTTTGAGTATTATATCAAATATCACTCGAAGTTTGTGTAGAACATCTGATAAACAAATACGGTACTTCATAAACAACATATGATGTTTTGTATGATGTAAACGATATCTGATATGATATCAAAAACATATTTGATATTTTGAATACAGGATTGACATTGCTCCTTCAATAATTGTTTAGATGACTTGCTAAAGGAAATACCTTTACCGGAAGTTTACAAAACACTATATAAAACAGCACAGTTCATTTGTTTTATTTAGGTATACAACTGGTCAGACTGGTTATGAAATATAAAAGGACAACGGGACATGATAAAACATATACACATCACCTACCCACACTTAACATTAGTAGCAAACCCATGTAAGCATACACCGATAACATACCTGTTAAAGTACTTAAAAAGATAACATCACACGCCATGATACATAAAGATAGGAACAGCAGTTCTCGGAAGAAGAAGAAAAAGATAATATTTGTCGAACAGGAAGGCGTGCCTCCCACCCTTTTGTGTTTTCCTACAATATAATGGACGTGAGAGGTGTTCAGCTGGTACTTTTCGTATCCCTGGTGTTTGCCGCGGGCGCTGACGCGTTGTCAGGGTAATTATTTTATTTAATGTGTTTTATTGAAAAATGTATAAAAACATAATCACAGTGTCGAATCCGTGAAATCAATCTGCACTTTGTTACATGTTGATAAGGTGCTTGTTTACATATCTAGTCACTCAGTATCAAACTAAGCGAAAACAATATTCTTCATTTACGCATTAAAACATCAATAGTACATTTTATAATTAATGATCAGATAATTCTCCTCATTCTCCTATATATATAGCCTTGGTGTAGCCATGGGGGTAAGGGAGGGGCAGTTGGTAAGCATTTCAGCAGTAACCCCCCCCCCCGCGAAAAAATGTTTTGTTGACTGATTGAGATTTTCTTACCATGTATTACTTAAAATGCTACCACTTCTGAAGGGCGTAAATTCTCAGACCCCTCACCCCGGGTTTCATCCCTATACCCCAGTTGTAATTTGCCCCCGAGACAATTGGTCTAGACAACGACAGTGTAGTTCGTACAAATATTTCAAAATTAATATTTGTTTACCGGTGGCTTTACAATGAACTGTTGTTTTAAATTTCAAGTTCCTATGTAACGTGCTACCTAGTTAGTTATAGTTATCCTCAGTGGGACATAAGGCCACACCAAACTGCCTCCACTTCTCTCTGTCCTTAGCCATGTACTGGGCTTGGCCCCAGGTGTAACCCATTGCTTCCAATTCTACTGTTACAGTTCTTCGCCGGATGATTCTTGGTCTTCCATGGTCTAGTGCTACATAAGTTAAATCAATATTGTATAAACCAGAATTATAACAAATTGTTACCTATGTTTCAGGCACACAAAAACGTTTTGGAACGAAACGACAGAAAACGTTCTCCAGTGCGTGGACTTGGATATAAATTGTGACGTCATGAAACAAAACCTAGCGTAAGTTTTTTTCGCGTGTTACTGTTTATATTACATTACATGCCCAGACACATGCATTACCGTCTGGAGCACTTAATTACATTTTCGATCATATAACATTACTCAAGTCGTAACATTATTTAACACTTTTGCCGAATCCTTCTAGCAAATCACAATTACATGTGAAAGTATGTAACCAGGATTTGAAGTTAATAAACACCCTTTATCGATGATTAGTAAAATGATGCTGTCGCCGTCTAACAAATGAAACATAAGGGGTAAAACTTCTGATTGTTAACTATATAGAAAATCATCGACGCTAGATATAATTATAAAACCAATCGACTGGCTCTCCGAAAGTAGTAAAAGTGTCGTGAAATCTCATTGGATATTCATAGGGTATGAGAGAGGTACATGAGAGATGTTTGATAGATTGTATAAGGGGTTACTAGTATTCCGAGATTTGTATACCTACTTAAGTACTTATTCATCTACCTATCTACCTACCTTCACACCAATGTAGTAACTACGTACTCACAAAATCACCTATAAAATGTACCCATCTACCTACAGAACCATATCAACGTTTTCTTTAGGATTTAACTTATTAGAAAATGCATTTCGATTACAGCTTTCATGAATTTTATCATAATTGACTGTCCTGTAGGTATTATTAACCCTCCATTACATGTATAAAACCAAACATTTATATTCTACATCGTGCTTCGAAACAAAATAACAGTAGCTCAATTTAGCTATTCTAACGACGATTACAACATTACATTATATGACACAGCACACAAATCGCATTGGTAGCTATATAACAGATAGCAACATAAATATTACGGTGTTAACGTTCATACAACCCTAACACCCCTACAGCAAACAGAGATAATATTAACAGACATGTCATTTCGATATAAATATATACTTCAGCAAAAAAAAGCACACAAAAAAAATCCGAATACATGCTAATATGGCAGGATCTAAACCAACGGAACGAGCATCAATTAATTATACTAAAAACACGTAAGTGGTATATAACCTATAGTTGCTGTCGACACGAGTTCGTTCCCTGAATCAGAGTATGACCAGTTATATATTACCTATAGTTTATGTTATATTCTAACCTATGTTACGTGTAGTTGCTGTGAACAAGAGGTCGTCCCTGTACCACGGTATTACGAGTTGATTTACTTTGTTCGTTTTCATCTATAGTTGCTGTCGACACGAGTTCGTCCCTATACCACGTTATGACGAGATGGTTTATTTTGTTCTATATTACCTGTAGTTACTGTCGACACGAGGTCGTCCCTGTAACACGTTATGACGAGATGATATATTCTGTTCTATATTACCTGTAGTTACTGTCGACACGTGGTCGTCCCTGTACCAGGGTATGACGTGATGATTATCTGTTCTATATTACCTGTAGCTGCTGTCGACACGGGGTCGTCCCTGTACCACGGTATGACGATATTATATATTCTGTTCTATAATACCTGTAGTTGCTGTCGACATGAGGTTGTCCCTAAACCACAGTATGACGATATAATATATTATGTTCTATATTACCTGAAGCTGCTGTCGACACGAGGTCGTCTCTGTACCGTGGTATGACGAGATGATTTATTCTGTTCTATATTACCGGTAGCTGCTGTCGACACGAGGTCGTCCCTTTACTACATTATGACGAAATAACGACGTGTGCTGAAGGATGGTTAGAAGACAGCAATGAAAGCTGCAGTATAGGTATTTTACATCATTCCCGACTATATTCAATTTAGCTAACCCTTTTTGCTCATAAGGAATTTGCTCCAATTGAATTATGTTATGTTTAGGATCGTTTTATATCGATGATATATCAATGAAAAAGCAGGAATTGTCAGTGTATTAAGAAATTGTCTGGAAAGTGAGTTTTTTTTTTCATTAAACATTCGTCTGATTATGAATGATTCAATTGGCTTTAATTTGAAAAGCAGCATTCATCTTTAAATACTGTATCTACACAGTGTATTCGGCCAACTTGATTGGGATTGAAATCTCTATCAAGATTTTGTGGCCAGTTATTTTACGTCTAGTCCCACCTATTTGCCTATGATATTATACTTTAATTTTGATATGGAAAATGTTTTTGGCATTTTGGTAAATGTATCAAAACTTAAAATTATGATATGAATACATGCTCTGTTACAACACAATCATGTCTTGTTTAATTTTTTGGCAAAAACTTGCAGAGTTTTCTAGTGTGATGTGATTCAGAGTTAATCTTAACCAAACACGAGGCTATAAACACAGTGTATTGAACATCTGTAAATTAGCTTTTGAAGAATCAATTCAGAAATAATAGACAAAGTTTTAAAGATGTTAATTAAATTATTGATACATTATTTTCATATACCGTACATATTTGATTTGTAAACTTTTGTTTTTGTCATTGTCAGCTGCCTGCAGACACTGTCCGGTAAATACATTTTGCTTGTCCAATGGAACGTGTGCCCGTAAGTTTATAAGAACTAATCGAATCACGGTATCTTTAAATAATAATATTAATAATATATCAAATAGGCAAAACATGAAGGTTTATAACAGTGAAATACAGCACACTACTTTTTTTAGCATTTTCCCGCATATTATATATCATGTTGTTTTTTAGAATTGGCATTATATTGATTTATAGAAAGTACATACAATTTAAAATCATTAAATCATTGTACTAATCATCATAATATTCAGCACATACAGATCCTTTAGTTATATAAGTCATATATCGAGTAATAGAGTGAGCTCGCTCCTGAGTAATTGCCGTTAGTATTTGCCTATTATCAAATTTAGATTGATCAAATTCCACGCTTAAACACTGAAAATTTGCCCGGAAGTGAAATGTGAATAGCACAAGCTACATAACCTTACATGTTTAATAAGTCAAAGTTACAAGATACTCAATATTTGTTCCATCTGGCGATGATTAGATGTCTTGTAAAGACACTTACATACAAGACATGCGATAGTTATTCTGCATGCAATCCCATTATCCATTTGATAATACAATAGCAATCTCCAAATGTCCATTTAAGATTAAGATTTTGTACTTGTTTTACCTCGAGTTCGATTAATCATAAACACAGCGAAATTATGGGAAAAACCCGTTTATATATTTATTGCGCAAATACCATATCATTTATGTGTACTGATCTTCTTTTTTTTTCAACTGGATGTCATGCTTTTGTAATTTCTAGATTTTTGCGAGGTCAACAGTAATAAAACTGCTACCTGTGTATGCTCTCCTGGATTGAAAACTGCTCCATATTGTAGTAAGTGATGCTGAATTAGAATCATGTATATTTCAGCAATTATCACTGTATAAAACTCGGAAAAATTATCACTAGAAATACTCAGAAATAAACCATCTGTCTCAAAAAGTTGTCTGTTGATGAAAGATACGAAATAAACATGTAACTTTTGTATCATAAATGTTTTTCCATTTTGTGCATTAAGGACTCGTCAGATTTAAAAAAAAAATAAAAAAAATAATGGGCACTAGTCCACCAACAAAGCCTGGGAACCTGGAGTGTCTAAAGTGATAACGATATATATATATTAAAAGTGTATCCGAAAATGAAGAGTTAAAATATTGCTTTTCATTATTTTTCTGTTATCTTACAAATCATGGACGAAAGTGAACAAGTAGAATAAATGTTTTAGAAAGATGATTGCGAGTGCGTGAAAGTTAGCATTTGTACAAAAAAAATATCTTGTTTCCTTATTATCTTTTTAGATATATTCAAAAGAAAGATGACACCAATCGTAGTTTTGGAAAAAATCAACAGGGCAGACAAAAAGATCCTTTCGAAAATAAGGCTTTACAACGAAAGAGCTTGGACCAATAGGAATGGATTCAACCGTATCACCGTTATGGTACCTCATATCTATTTTCCGGATGTTATATCATCACTCCACAAAATCTACAAGGAACAATACAATTCGGCAATCGTATCTTTCAGCAAACATGAGAGTAAGTTGTTCAACATAAATGCTCTCTTTTTGTAAGAGAGCATTGTTTAAACGATGTTTTTATCTATAATCAATTATGTATGTATGTATGTATGTATGTATGTATGTATGTATGTATGTATGTATGTATGTATGTATGTATGTAGTATGTATGTATGTATGTATGTATGTATGTATGTATGTATGTATGATAATTATCAGTGCATGCATGCAAGTTTGTGTTTATGTACACATGTAGCTGTACTTCTATGTATTACGATAAAATTAAACGATATATGTTTTTGTCTATGAAAAAAAAAAAAAAATCTTTATTAAAATTGTTCAAACTACGATATAAATATGAACAATGGAAAGATGTAATTGGAGACTCTGAACAAGCATAATCAGACTAGGTGTTACGGAAGGTTGAATCACTTCTTCATTGATGTCGTCAACAATGTTGGTAAGTCAATGAAAGTCGAAATGATAAAAAAGTACATGGAGACACACTAATTGACGTAATCGTGTTATGTATTCACAGGTAGTCAGATACACGATTCCCTAAGACGTCTCCATACAGAATGTGGTGGGAACAGAACCACTCAAACATATATTTGCACTCTGTCAGCGTTTGACCGTTACATTGATCATGGTGATACGTAAGTGTAATTAACAATAGTTATAATTTACAAAATGTATATAGTGCCCAATTTATTTGTAAAATCTTTCTAAAGCACTTTACAACACATGGAAAGGCATACACATTTGTACAAATAGTAAGAAGAAAAGTATCTCAATATGTATATAAATGCGTATATAAAGCGTTTTGTGTATATGACGTCTGTGCAAAGAGCCTACAACGAAAACGTGACGAGGTGTATTTGGCCAAGGTATTTGACTTTCTAATAGCAGATGGTAGGCTGGAAACCCTCCCAAAGCACCGGTTTCCATAGGTCACAGTACGATATTTTGGGATTCACATCAATGATTCTGTCTCAGACCGCAGGGATTGTGACGGCTGGTACAGGGTAACAAGCTCCTGTAAACACTGGGGAGCTTTTTCCTTCAGTGCCTTGTATGTGTACACCAAAATTTGTACTGCGTCCTGTATCGTACAGGTAACTAGTGCAATGAATACAGCACATGTGTGATGTGCTCCCTCTTTAGTACTAGTAACCAGACGTGTTGCAGTGTTCTAGACCTTCTGCAAACAACTAGTTAGTTTGTCAGATATACCACAGAGCTGGACATTACCATAATTCACCCGAAAGGTACCAATTAGCATTTTGCATGCATCTTCAGTTATAAACTGCCGGAAAAAGACGATTCTACGGATCTGAAAGTAACAGGATTTGGCAATAGCGTTCGCTTGTTTCTCCATGTTCAGTGAATTATTAAAGTATACCTCTTTGATTTTACCAGCTGGGATAGTCTCAATAGCTCTGACATAGACTTTTAACTGGAGTGCCATTGCGTGCTGACACTTCGGGGGGAAAGACGATAAGCACCGTCTTTTCCTGAGTAAGCTTTAGCATGTTGACGTTCATCCAGGTATTTGTGACTGTCATACAAGCTTATAGGTTTTCTGATATCGTATCCCAACTGTCCTATAGTTTGATGACCATGAATATTTGTGTGTCGTCAGCATAACAATGGTAGCCATGACATTGGCGACGACAAATCTCTCCTATTGGTTATGAATATAGGCAATATTTCCGTGGTCCTAACACCGACCCTTGAAGAACCCAAAATATAGTATTTTGTCAAGTGAGGTATAGCATACGACCATACAATTTCGTCGTTCACTCAAATAAGACTGAATCCAGCATAGTGGGTCACCAGGCACTCCATAAGAGTGTACTCGAGACGTTTGTCAGGAAATCGGTCTTACGGATAATAACTTTTTTGTAGACATTTACAAATATGTGACAAATAGTTCAATACTAGTTTAATTGCCATCAATGCAAAAGGTAATCAGATTCCTGATATGTGTTTCAACACCAACAATTACACCCATAACAGCACCAAAACCCCCAGAAACACACATCACCACCTCCCCCCCCCCACACAAACATCCACGTCCGAACCCACACAAACACCCTCACCCCCATCCACCCATGCACACAGAATAGGCGAATGCAAGTATTATTTTATTAGTAATGGTCCATAGCATCCAGTTTTGTACACTGTTTAGAAAAACAAAACAAAATCAGAAAAAAATATTGCAATTGATTTAGCCGCCATTTTTTCGCAAGTCTTTAGAACATTAAACTAAATGGATTTAGGTTGTATATCGTATTTCTTCTCAAAAAGAAAACAACTCCATATACATTTGTATCTTCTTTGAAAAGTTTCCTGAAGTAATGCTAGAGACATTATTATGTCAAAACAAAGTATCAACAACAGATATCAGGAAACCTTATACACAAATGTGATTAGTATTTTATATTTTTTATCACAGGATGAACATTGACACCGATTCTACCATCTCCTTCAGTAGTCCACACTACACCTTGTCAAACCTAATTAATCGTACTCAAACATTTCGTGCATCAATGGCCATCGGGTTTGACTTTCAACCACCAGTACACTGCACAAAGAACTGCTCATTACAACCACTTGAAGTTTCACCGGAAATCTCAAAGGTAATGTGTAAATATATTCTTGTAGTTCATTGATACGAAGCAGATAATGTACATATAGTTTATCGACGACGATAATTGTATTTAGATATGAATATATATTGTTCATTGAAGAAACCTAATAAAATCGTATATTGTACTTAGTTCAGGATAAGTGAGTTGACACTTTTGTATATTTCATTTATATTTCTGATATTCTTCTTATTGGAAATGTGATATTTCTTTTCGACTAAATGTCTTCATAATTGTTCAAAAGTAGAGGACAAATACTTTTCAAAACTGTAATGTAGAAATACCCATGATGAATGTTTTGTTTGAAAAGGGACGGATTCACATTGAATGGAATGGATGGGAAGATGGGTTATCTGGGATCAAACATTATATTCTTAGTGTTTACAAAATGACGCCAAATCAAGCCGGAGATCTCAGCCAACCTGATGATTCATGCTTCTCCAATACAACAGACAGAACGAGCACATATTACCTCCCTTCACAGCCTGGCGTGTACGCCTTCCTCCTCATAGTCGAGGACAACGCCTCAAACAGGAATTATGCTCGTCGCTTTGCACTCTACGACAGCACCTCTAGGATCGACATTAACAAAACAAATAAACTATATTTCTCTAGTGCCTCCGAAGAATCAAATTATCACTGGCAAAGCAACAACACATATATCTCCGTCAGCTGGGAAGATCATTTTGTGAATTACATTCATGATAAAGGGAAATTTCTATCCCAGATAGTCACAGATCCTGTCGTTATAGATAATAGTACAGTCATACTTACGTATGATGATCGCGAAGGTAAGATTAAACTCACGGCAACACCAAACGCTAGAGGAATCATCAGATTTGAATATGTGGGCCCACTTGCTGCTGATCCAAAAGATGGTAAACCTGATACCGAATCATGGAGAGGACTAGGTCAGATCGCCCACGAATCCTTACATAAAGGGTTTACAACAGCGCGAGGAGACGGGTCATCGGACAAAGTTTGGATAAAGGCTCACGATGTTATGGGACACACAGCTGTGGACTCCACCTACGTTTACTTTGACAGCAGTCCACCGACAGCATATGGAGATAAAGCCATTTTACAGAAAAATATACATTCTCGAAAATTCACAAGCAGGTATGTGTGACGTCTATTGTTCGTTTAGTTTGATTACCTTACTCTGTATTAGGGCATACTCCTGTATGAGTTTGTACGATTGCTTTAACATTTTAAAATGTTAAAATATTAAACAATATGAATATTGGAATCTGTAACTCAGTAACCGACTAATATCTAGATTGAAGTTTGAGACAGTGCGACGATACACCTACATCGTTGTTATAAAGGTGCATGTTGAATTGTAAAATGCCAGAAAGGGTGATGCCAAACAGATGATTAAATGCAAATCCATATATAACATATGCTCTGTGAATGTGAATGGCAATGTTTGTTTCTTATGATAGTATACATATGTTATATACAAGTATGGCCTTTTACTAACTCTTAAACAGAAATATTTGGAAAGGGTACATTTGATTGGAAAAGGGTCAATCAATTTGGGATCGGCATGCACATTCTCTATGCCGTTACGATACAGTACATAGCTATTATACTGACACATTGCTACTCTATGTATGTTTGTATGTAGTTTTCTTGTTGTTTATAATAACAATTTGTTTCCGTTTTGAACAGGGTTATCATGGAGGCTACTGACAAGGACAGTGGTATTTACCAGATACAATGGGATGTACAAGATAAAGTGACAGGTCGTATCCTAACATCGGGCTTCACAGCAGGGAATAGAACGGAAGATGTGAGTTATCTACAATCTAAAGCGATCTAGAACAACGATGATGGCTTATAACATTATTATTAGATGAGCTGATCAAATGAAATGGTTGACTTTAAACGTTTTGCAGAACATTTTCTCAATCTTTAATGCGAAAATATTCCATTTTAGTTATTGATGCGTAGATTCCAAGCATGCAGTAGTATTTATTTGTATTAGACACGAACATTAATCATATATGTTCCATTGCATTCGTATTTACCTAAACAAAAGTAGAAACGTACATCAATTTTGTATTTCGCAAATGACTATATTAATGATAGATTGCTTTCTTTATACAAACAACCGACATAATCTACCGATAAATGTTTATAAATATTTTGGAAATGAAGTTTTTCATTCCGTCAAAATCTATTGCATCGCACAGATATCGAAATGGAATAAAACCAGTTGGCATTACCTGATGTCCTCTTGTGGTTGTTACTCTTATCCTTAGAAGCGTTGAAGTAATGAATTATTTAATTTCCTTCTTTAATGTTGTTTAATTCCTCTACGAACGCGCCGCCATTTTGACATTCAGTTGGCATATGTCGAAGCTTTCGCATTGTTTTATCCAATTTATCCTTAGTCTTCAATCGGGGAGAATAGAGCCTCTAGGGACGGAACGACTTATGTATGTTGCTGATAGCCAAAATTGACATATAGCATTCGCTTCAGCGCAACCTAGTTGGTCTGTTTCAAAATGTGGACCAACAATGATCGATGAACTTTGAGTTGCCTTCCCAATACTTTTTTTTTTTACGCAATTTTGTAAACTGTATAATTTATGTTCCGTAAACTGTGACATTTTAGGTCCTCCACAATAAAGATAGTTCGGTCTCTGTGGAGTGTAACAATGGCATGGTGTAGAAAGCAGAGGATAAGATGTCAAAATTTTCAAAAATGTCATATACATCGTTAAGTCCGTTAAATCAAAATCAATTTATTCAGGCCACCCCTTAGTCCTGTCACGCTTGAGTGAGTTTACTTATTGGCTAGGTATCTTTGATATGTATATTAAGTCTTAATCTAATTTGATCATTAGAGATGAGGTATCAGTATTCATATTTATGAAATTGCTAAAACCCCGGAAATCTAAAAACCCTCTTGTTTTCAGTTTTGTTCGTAGTGGTTTAATTTCAATTTTACTTTCAATGTTTGTCAATTTAATCACTATTTGGCAACCACAAGTCGACCCTAAACACAGGTTTACGCTTGAATGATTTGGACTCAATTGAATAAAACTGCACGAAACATTACGTATATATGCATATATACAGTGTACATGTAGGAGACATCTTCCTGTATCAAGAACATTTTATGTGATGTTTGTCAATTGAAAACGTCGTATAAATACATCACACATCTGTTTTTAGCTTTGTTAACACCAATATTAGAACTCAGCTGTTTTATTTACTGTTTTTATAACAAAATGTTGATATTGTATATCTAACAGAAAGCAGACTGCGACAGCAACATAAAGGAATGCAGGTGTGTTGCTGACGGAGCGTGTTACCTGTTCAAACATTACCTGTATATAGATCACTGTCCTATCCAGATGTCCAACACTGATTTACAGATAGCAGATCTAGTCCTTAACATCAGGGTGGTCAACTACGCACTCCTTACTCACAATTTTACCATGAAGGTAAAGAGATTAATTTTTAGAATGTATTTATCTTACTGATCAGGCTTTCCATTCCAACAATGCTTTGAATATTTGTATTGATAATCTTATAACAAAAATACTCAAATTGCCATTGGCATTAACATATCAACACAGACTAATGATTTCTTTACAGAACCAACTACCCACAGCGGAACTAATTAGAGTTGAATTCTGACGGGTCAATTTTTTGTTTACGAATTTCCCGTTAATTTTGAACTCTAAAGTAGTTTAGAAACGCAATAAATGTATCGTTTTGGAATTTATTTTACACTGAATCATATCAGTGTTGACCTATCTTTTCTATAAATTGTTTTAACACTCATTTGGAAGCAATCTGAATTTTAAGGTAACGTATACAATATATTCTGTTTGATTTGTAAAACAATCTTCTAATATATAACGAGATACATTTTTTTCATCTGAGATAAAACAAAAAATAAGATTTTTTTATCAATGATTTTTTTCTCGTTCTAGATCGGAAAGGCAACCACTTTAAATGGGATAAAGCAGTGTGAGTAATAAAACTATTTTATTGCATTCATTTCGTAATTGTTACCTACTAAGCCTAGCGCCAAGGAGATATTATCTTTTAAACAGTTCCTGTTCTTAAGCAGCCATATTCAATTCATTTATGTATAGTAGATTAAATTATGAGGATTAACTTGAAAATATATTTTTTATGTTATGAAGCTATAACACAAAACAACGGAAAGTACTATAAATAAACCTTTTGCGGTTTATGATGAGAGTACACTTTTGTGTAATAGCTCCATAACATTAAAAATATATATTCAAGTTAATCCTTATAATTTCTGTTTTCTCTTAGAAATTGTTACGCCGCTGTATCAGCCAATAAAAAAGCGACGTTAAAAACGGCGACGTCATTGTTTATGTTATGGGCTGATAACATAATTTTTAAGCCAATTAAAACGCTTGTTACCAGCAAGATTAAATTTTTACAGAATATCGAATGAATTTCCAACGTTTTATATCATCCATGTATGCATATATATATCTTTGATATGAAATATTTGGACATGTTTTTTTTCATATTTGAAACAAAGCAAAGGAAACGAGAATAAACTCTCTTCAGACTATTAATACTCTGCTGTATCTACTGAGAGAGGTGAAATGAGATGACTAGTTTGGAGGTAAACAGTACAGTAGATATTTCCCAAAGGATTGCTTCACTGATTGTTCATTTAAATCAAAACATAGGTCAAAGTGACTTAAGTTACCTCCCTTAAAGAAGTTTTTTTTTGAAAATATCACATTTAGTGAACATCATTTTTCATTTCTTTTTTTGAGTTGTTTGGCTAAAATCTTCCATCCGCTTTAGTATTCAAGGACGTTCCGATAGGGGAATCGGCTTAATGAATTCCGCTACATACGCAGTATATCTAAGACAAAAGTATAACTTGCTTGTAAACGTTATGTACATAAGAATGTGGACTTACCACATATTAAAAAACCAATTATTAAAACAATTATGTGTTTCAAAATCCATCTTGAAATTGCATAGTCATCCAATCAGAGGATTACATCTGTGAAATTCCAAATTGCGCGTGCATGATGTTGTACAATATGTTTTAATATTGCGATTGACATTATTACAAGTAATCCTATCTTCCTTTCAAAGAAAGATGTCAGCATGAAAACAAGGAACAATTTGTCCCTCCCGTCGTTTATCGAAGCTAATCAATTGCAAAGCTTATTAAGCTCATCCGATTAAGATGAAAATGTGTTTTTTTTTCTTTTTTTTCCATTAAAATATATGCAAAAATATGAGTATTTTGTATCTGATTTTAATGAAATAGATTCCAATCCAATCGACATTCATACACCTACCCTGTCAACAGACAGTGTGAGGATAGCTTGGAATTTCGAGAATAATTGCTATACCAGAACGGGCCTAAAGGTAGCATTCAGGAAAACAGGACAGGAGTCTAGTACTTTTCACGACTTGAGATGGAATGAGACGGATTTTGAAATGATGGGACTACTTCTCGGCACGGAGTATGTTGCCACCTTCGTCATTCATTATGGAAACGAAACAAGCAGTAGTTTGGAATATTCCTTCACCACAGGTAGATTTTAAAAGTACATATACAGATAGTAAAATGGTTATATATTCGATATAGAGCAGAACCAGCGAGCGTTCTGATATTTAGACTATCAGCGTTCCTTGTCCGCGATGCTCTCATCTTAATTGCTGCCTTCGGCTGTCTTTAGCCGAGGGGACTATTTGTTTTATATAATAGCTATATTTTCAATTATAGTATATCAGTTCTATCTTCTCGAAAATGATGTATATGTACATGTGACTGTTCTATTTCACTGTGTCTTGATAGAGGAGCGTATCGCTCCGAAAATTTGACAACCTAAACTTGTCCACACTGTTGGAATTACTTCTTTGCCCATATTAAAAGTATAATATATATTGACTCTTACCCGATACTTATCTAATATATTCCACCAGAATCCATGAAGCCAGAAACGAAATACGTCGTCGTGATAACTCTTCGTAAGTTTTTTGTTTCAATATAACTTTAATGTATATATATATATATCAATACTAATCGAAACTTACAATTAGAAACGTCGTAAAATTTCACACAAAGAATAGATCTTACGCTATAAATTGTTAACTAATGAAAAATTTATATTTCAATACTGTCCTTTGTGTCCTGATAGTATATATTTATTATTAATAAATCGAACACCTCATACAAGTTCATTTAAATCAGGCGGCTATAACTTTAGATAATCAAAAACTGTATTTAGTATATATTACCATCATCATTAAAAATGGGTTGAAAAAATAGCAACGTTACTTATGTGACAAGGAAGCATACTTATGTGATAACAGTTTCTGTGATGAAAACTTATGTCTGATTGTTGCTATTTCTAATGGTGCCTGCATGCAATTATATTTTTTTAAACTATAATCATGGTTTTGGTATAGTTTCCCTAGCGGCATTGGTCATGCTGATAGGACTGGTTGTGACCTTGAGAAAAGTCAGGACTATTCGCAGTAATACAGAGCCGCCTCTACCGAGTCACCGAGCTGCACAGAAAGACAAACTACAAAGGATATCGAATGGGTCGGACAGGTTTAATAAGACTTCAAAAAAGAATTCGTCGAAAATGAAAATTTCCGGAAATGTAAGAGTTTCATTTTATGATACTGTATATACATGTAACTTAACTTATAACATGATATTGTATTTCTAGTACAAAATGATATATTACTTAAATTATAACTTGATATTGTATTTCCAGTACAAAATGATATACTACTTAAATTATAACATGATATTGTATTTCTAGTACATTATGATATATTACTTATATTATGACATGATATTGTATTTCTAGTACATTATGATGTATTACTTATATTATAACATGATATTGTATTTCTAGTACATTATGATATATTACTTATTCCAAAAACTTCCCCTGCAAATGTACCGGTAAACAAGCGAGTCACGAGACTGGTTTCATTTGTCGTTTAAAGATACCCGCATTTAATTTTGCATGTATTTGAAGATTTTGTCTGGGACAAGCACAAAAACCTATTTTTAGCTCTAGATATACTTAAAATCCGACAAGCTCCTAGTCAAAATGTTCCGCTGAACTTACAGCAAATGTGACATGAAACAAAATATTTGTAAATCTGTCAAGAGCTGATTTCATGTGTTGACGAACGATGTCGAAAGATTGGTGGATTTGATCATTGAATAAATATTTGGCGTAAAACACTTAATTCAGCCTTACATAGGCATTCAGTAATCCTTATATAAGCATTATGACGTTGTCAGTTGTAGCACTTAATTTTACCGAGTAATTTCGTACTCATTACATCTTTCAACCCTAAAATAACAATGCTTGGTTACTCTGTTGTGGTTATTAGATATTAAAAAATGTTATTATACATTTTAAACAGCATGAGAGTACCGTGCAATATGTATCTGAAGCTTACGAGGATGCCACGCACGGAATTGATACTGATGATGTTTACGAGGACCTGGACGACGCCGCAAATACACCTCCTAGCGATGATATCACAGATGTTAGTTTCGATGAGCTTATCTCTGAAGGATCCTTTGCTACTGTCTACGTCGGTACATGTAATTTACCAGCAAAGGGACAAACACAGTGTGCCTTAAAAACACATAACGTTGGCATGGATGGTAAGTAATTCTATTTTTATTTTTACAATAGCAAGTTTGTATATTCAGGAAAATGAGTCTAAAATCGATTCAACACAATCTGAAACATAAACGTATCTATCAAGTTATACATATTCTATCTGGAATGTTTTCAAATACGCAGGCTTCTCTGTATGTTAACTTTTCAATCAGACGTCGGTTTCCATCGATTGCTTATACCAGGATGAAAAATCACAAATTGCGTAACAGTACATGTATGGTTAGATCGTATGACAAAAAGGAATCACAAACTCTCATCCTCTTGATAGTATAAAACCGATTAAAATCGTTAAATGTAAGCACAATTGAATAAAAACTCATTTAAGAGCTAGTATTTATGCACAATGAACTTGTATAAAATAAAGACCTGTAAATAAAAGAAAACATTAGTCCTAGGTTACACATATTTCATTTTACTGTTTCACTATATATGTATGCATGTATATGTGGTAACACACATATAGAACAATAAAATTAGTTTGTTTCTATTAATTGTTTTACCAAAACTATGAAGCAGCAAATTTCCCAAAAGTAGAACATGTGATTTTATCTAAGATTTTTAGCTTTTCAAACTGGAATGATATGCATACTACACATTCATTTCTATCAGTACACTATGCTTTATTTAAATACTGTTCTAAATCTCCATTGATTCTGAAACAGGGTACGATATATTTGCAATTTGTTTTTAGACACGTGTGAATTAGTGTAATTAAAGATGATGTACATGTTTGTAAAATACATAATTAGTTTTGAAAATACGTTAACAACTGTGTATCGTTTGTTGTGATTAGAAGGGCAAATTCAAGAATATGAAGAAGTAGCGAATGCACTGTTACACTTCCATAGAAAACACGGCATACAAGCATCGAATATTCTCCAATACTACGGATTCATCAATGAAGGAAAAGGTAAACTATATCTTACACTAATAATAACTGACATTGTAAGTGGCAAATGGTGTCGGTAATATATGGTTGCCTGTCAAATTGATTGAGAAACGGATTAAGAAATGATAGGCTTTAAAAAAGTTAATTTCATTAGAGAATTTCTTAAAGCAACCCCACTAAATTCAATAATAGAGTGTTTCGGTGTAAGTAACACGGGCTGTTCATATAACCTGTCGCTGTTTTATATTATCCATGTGATCTGTATAATAAACCGTACGGAGAATATGTTAATTTATTCAGCCAAATAAAATATACCAGTTTTAAATGTGTAGCTTGAACGGCTGACATAAATGAGTGCTATTCCTTTTTTGGAAGATAATACCAGTCAGTAGGAATTCTATCTAAAATCGTATCTGATATATAACTAACTTTCCCCAGAACAACCAACTCTGGTAATGGAATATTGTGGAAATGGGGCACTAGGAGATTGGTTAGCAGAAGTAGAAAATCAGGCGCAGGTGGGCGATCTGGAAGAAATCGTTTACGGAATTGCTTGTGGAATGGAGTATTTGGTTGCAAGGAAGGTACTAAATATTTCTCTTTTTCATAACTATTCTATATAATGATATTATATCCATTTTTATAAATAGGACTCACACGACTTAACGTTTCAAAACTAATATGTAGAAAACAGTTGGACAACTAGAGGAATATAACCGTCATGTTCGATTGTAATATATCGTGTAAATTTTTCAAATAAACAAATTTATAGATATTTTATTTGAGATTGACGATTTTTTCATATTTTTATAATATATGTAACAATAGCCAACGGCAACTTCATCCTCTGCAATAATGTATGCTAGATTAACATTGCACACTGTGACATATATTTTTATTGTTGCGTGTTGCACACATTTTCATAATGCTAATTTTGTTTACAGATATTCCATGGCAATCTGACATCCTTTAACGTCCTACTGAACTCCAACCTAGAACCGAAAATAAAAGGGATTGGTGAAAGTGATTACACTGAGGAATCTATGGTAAAATATTTAGTTTTATAATGCTCTTAAAATTAAGAGGATTTATTATTTACCGTTTAGAAATTCGTCTTCTGTTCATGACAATTAAAGCGTTTTATTTATTACGGATATGTTTGCTCAATTTTGAATAATATAAGCCATCCAAATAATGATAGTGATATCTAAAATATCTCTTAAATTTTAGTAATGACATATTTTATCGAATCATTGCATTTTTAAAGAGGTGGCAGGCTCCGGAAACATTTAATAACAACGAAAAGCCAAATGAAGCAGCGGATGCATGGTCATATGGAGTTGTCATGTGGGAAGTATTTTCTCAAGGTGAGATTGCAATAAATCGTTGCATTGCTGTTCAATGTTTAATGTTAGATATCATGGTTACAATATGAACCAAATTACTTAAAAGATCTCATAATCATTTTGTTTTTCAAAAAGGCGGGCTCAAAGTATCAGACTTGTGAGCCATTTTATTAAAAATAAATACGTTTTTTTTTTTTTTTTAAATATGCGATACGTCACCATTGGTCTAACCCATATCAACCCTCGCCGTATCACACCCCAAAACCCGAATCAGCCCTCTTCGTATTAACCAGGAAAACCCGTATCACACGTTTTTCAATATTTAAAAAAAAAGAAAGATAATAAGATAGCAAATGTATCCGTATTTTAAAAATAAGTATGTTATAAACAGAATAAACCATAAAACAGTCTTTTCCCATATCACACCCAGTATCAACCCACGACACTCGGGCTGATATTGGAGTCTCGGGTTGAGACTGGCTGTGATATGGAAAAAGGCATGTATAATTCTCTATATACGGTAGAAAGGCAACAGTTGATTTCAAAAACTTCGGTCAGCTAAACAAATTGGACGGAACTGTATTACAGAATACCTGAAAGATTATAAAAATAATAATAATTAATTCTCAGATTATTAGCTGTTTCGTGAGAAACGCTTGCTTTTCTTAGGATTCTTCTTTTGTTTGGATGTCTTTTGATAACAGTAAACTTATAAATAGTTTCAAAGAAATACACATATCAGTTTAAAAATATAGCAGTAGAATCGAGAGTGAAAAGGTATCGGTTAATTCTGTAATGCTACCTTGCAACATTTGTCTCGGAATGCTATATAAAGTATAAAGTATATAAAATATCTATAATAATTTACAAATTTTGATAAAATTATTACAGTATTGATTTGGTCTTTTTTGTCTGTATAGATGCTGATTAGTATTTCTCCCATCCTTCACATGTGTATCTCCCGTTTTAGCCAGGAAAGATCAGCTTGTCACTCCCTAGGGGGAGATAGCCTCGTGCCGATTAGCACGTGTTTAATTGTGACGTCACTAAAATGCATCATCTGTTATGGTGACGTCATCAAAAGTGAATGACGATATGTGTTTTTGTTTACAAATATGGCAGACTATTGTTGGTGGAGTTGTGACTGAAATAATAGGATGGGAAAAAAAATCATCCCCCACCTTGAAGGTGTAACAAAGAAATCTCCAACCCTCGGGTATTTTTTGTTGTTGTCTAACCCTCGGCAGAGCCACGGTTTAGACAACCAAAATACATTACTCTTCGGGTTGGAGATCTCTCAAGTCACACCCTCAAGGTAGGGGAAGATTATATTAATCTTCTAACATCGACTTTCCTTAGAATGCATGTATTTATACGCTTCATGTGTCCTAATGATTATGTTGAAGGCAATAAGCCGTATGGAGACAGTGACGGTACAGCTTTGGAAGCGGTGGTTAAGAGCGGGTTCCAGTTAAGTCAGCCAGAGCTCTGTTCAGACGCGTAAGTGTTATGAATGGTTAACACATATAACCCCTGTTAAACTGCTACATGTACATATCCTAACATCAAATAACCTTAAACATGCTATTCCTATACTAATTGTGACTCTTTATATCATTTCGCTATTATTACAACAGTTTATAGGATTAAAAATGATATGCAACGATTGATTTTTACTCTGAATTTATATTCTATGCCACTTTGAGTGATAGATCAACAAAATCTGTGAACGTACCTATGATGTTTCTCCGTACAACAATGAGTATTACGTTAATGACTGTAGCGCAACAAAAGGGGTAAATCCGTATCAAAATCATATTTTTAAGTTACATTATGTCAGTATAGACACTATATATAAATATTTAGATGTGTGTGTTTTAGATTCAATGCTGTTAAGGTAACGTGTCTTCAACTTGATCCAGCAAGCCGACCGACTTTCACACATATAGTGGACGCCATCAAAACAACAAAAGGTTCCAGCATGAATACTGAAATCGAAGAACCGGACATTTATGAAAACACAGCCACCACGGATATAGTGAAAATGTGATTTGAATATTTGTACGGTAGATGTGTCATGACATAACGGATTGCAAGTCATTGTATTAAGGTTACAGGGTTAAAGCGTCTAAAGAGATGTCTGCCACAATAAATTGTGACTTGGAATTCAATCAAAACTTCTACGCTCTTTACATGTATGACATTCCAAGATCTCTTTTGTATAAAGGAAAACAACAAAAAATATGTTGAAACACGTCCGTATCATATCGATTGTGCGTCACTAATATTTGTATATGTAAATACTGTTTTGTACCTTGTGAATATGTTTTAATGAATCAAAATATAAAGATAGCGATAGTATGTATTATACGTGAATGACTTGCAAGTATTTAAGAATATCGGGAACATTTCACTTTTGCTACTGGAGTACACATTTCCGTTTTATACTGACTGCACAATTTTGCATGTGCTTGCACCTTTCAATGATAGTAATAATAGTAAATTATACACTCTACCAAAACGAAAATTGGAGAATGAGTGAAGAACTTTCATAACAAGTCTTAGGACGAAAAGGTCACTTGCACAAATACGAAACAGACAGAACCGATCGGACCACCCCGGATATAAAATTGTATACATGAATATCTACGTTTTTATTATAATAATTATAAATATGCCTTGTTATTTCGTTGTTACTCCCCCGGTTTTCATTGCCATATATTGATATGATAGTATCACCATTGTACTAGAGGATACTTCCGTCTCGGGAACACCTTGTAATTTTCTCTTGTATAGTTTCAAAGAGTTTTATGATTTTTTTTTATTTTTTTTTATATTTTATCCTAGTTCACATATTTTGAGTTTGAATTACGATTTTTGTCATGCTTTACTAATATTTTGTTGCCGTTTACCTGGCATTGTCCATTAATTCATTTTTAGTACATGTTTGATGAATGTCTATATCGCTCATTGAATAATTATCATCTGATTGTTGAAGTTTTGCAATACATGTTATGTGTTTCAGCGCCTGAGCTTTGTGCTTTACTAAGATATATTCAGTTATTTATAGTACATTATTCATTCTTTCAATTATTTTATTTGCAATAAAAATATTATCAAATTGTTTGTTCCAATCACTTCTACGTTTCATATCACAGTTACCCCCCCCCCCCCCCCCTATTTCTTAAACCTCAATAATAGCTTAGACGTTTACGACTATAAAATGGACCATATGTCTTTAAGAATTAAATACAATGATTTGTTGAAACCCTACATAAACATATAAAACACGAAAATTGAATAAAAAGCACACATTTATTAAAAGCATGAGATACAAAGAAAAAAGCATTTGATTACAAAACAGAACATGTGGTCAGTTATCCAAAAATAAACCTGATTTATATGATTATGTACACTCAAATCACTATTAACATACATTTCCACTTTTTAACTAGCGAACGGAAAACGATGTAGGATCCAGATATCCCACAGTAATGCTATACAGTTTCATATACATAAATGAAATATCAAATATTCAAGATATGTCTTTATGTGTTTGGCTGAACTTCACGACGCTTTAATTTCTCCAAATTCAGTTTTTCTGCTAGGTCATCCTGAAAATCAGCACATTTCGTTTTCATGTAATGCAGAACATTAATTCCTCTCTGGGTACAATTACACCTTTTTTTAGCGAACATGAGTTAGAACACAAATGTACAGTATAAGTCAAGGTACTGATTAGCAATAATGATATTAATAACATAATTAGCTTTTTAAACAATACAAAATATGTTATAAATCATTAACAAATTATATTCCTGTCATACTAGTTACAGTAGTATTGTATTATGCTGTCACTTGATTTATAGCCTCACTTTGGAATTTCTTATACATGAAGTGGGTTTTCAAGAGACATTTACAACGGAATTGCTACACTCAAGAAAGAGGACGTTGGGAATATGTTTGCGGTGTGTGAGGAGGTTAATGATGTCATTGGTGAATACAGAATACATTAAATATACAATGATATCTAATAAAGTCATTATAATTTCTTTCATAGTGTACATAAGCTCAGTTTTACAGATCTTCGTAAATAAATCGAAATTGGCTTGGGGCTATTTAGAAACAAATCTTTAAGTTGTGTCTAGTAGTATCCACAATAAGAATATATTCCTGAACTTACCATGTTTTTAATTTGGTTTGTATGATAAGGTATACCAGCCAGGTCGTCACACAACTTCATGTGTTTACGTTCAGGATCACCGGCTACCATCACACTTCCAGCTGCATCGTCAGCCTTAACAATAAGATTGCCAATAACAGTGATCACAAACAGGTACCCCACACACATGAAACACCAAAAGCAAAACCTAGGCCTTGAATTTTGTTTAAATCTGATGTAACTAGGAGAGCACGATCAAACGATTAAATACAGTATAGCAATGGATAATAATAATAGCTTGTAGACTGTCATCAAAGCTGTACTAACCGTTTCTAAATTGCGACAGTGGTCTATGAGGTCCTGTAGTCGGTCAGAAAACCCGTCCTCAAAAGAATTCGGATCAACAGCAATAAAGCAATGTGCCTGCAAATATAACAAATAATAGATGCATTCCATTTTTGTGCTTATACTATTACATGTACAAGTACATGTAAATATATTAAATGTATTTTAGTCCAATAACATTAAATGCAATACAATTTACGTATGTACATCACAATATATCAAATGGAATCTAATTTCAGATGATTTTGATGTCGTCTACTTGTGACGTCATACGTGAAATGGACTATTGTTTTACTAGTAATTACTATCATTTCTAAAAGGGGCAAACTTAAAAAGATGTAAATACCATAGTACAGACCAAAGGACATTTACAAATGTAAAATGGGCGTTTTATAGCATAAGTATATTTGCCACTGATATTCAAACCGGTATGACAATATAAGATTCAAATTTCACTTATTATTTAACACTAATATTGGAACGTCACATAACAAAATTACCATATCTGATGGTCTCTCATATGTTCTCCACATCCGAATAAAAGGTCCAAATGGTGAACCAGCTAGGACACTACAAAGCACTTCAACCATCATTGACAATCCGTAACCCTTGTAGCCACCTGTGGAAAACATGACCAACACGTTAGTTTTAAAAGAACAGTGACAGTGTAAAGAATAGTAAAATATAACAATCAATTAAAAATACTTAAAAGGATATGATATGATATTTGAGTATATGGCACATGACGTATTCGTCATACAAATTAACGTAACATGCAAATAAACCTTATAGACCTAACGTCGAAGTTCCGAAGTACTTACAAATACGAAACTGTTTATATTCCTATGAAATATAATGTACACAAACAAATTGGAATTTAAATAATCTGTGACATACTTGTCTCCTCAACGCCCCCTAGTGGGAGAAGACCGGCAACTTCGCTCCTTTCTACCGTAGGCTGGAGGAAAGCAAACATGAAACATAAGATCATTTAGTATATACGGTACGGTATTTATATAATGTATATAGTTTTGCATATGGTGTATATTTGGGGCTAATCTGGCTCTGTATTCTTTAGATATGAACAAAGTGGCTTCCCAAACAATAAACGTACAGACTAGACTGTATAATGATAATTCTAACATATTCTACTGTACATGTATGTATATTAAATATGTATGTATAATATTTGACCTGAGGTTCGTGATTTTCTGTTTCATTATGCAGGCAAATGAATGAGATGAATGACACAATCGATGGCACGTCTTTACTGTTACATAGTGACACTCCATATATTGATGACACATGATGACGCGGTCCGCCTATGACATAGTTACGCTTCATATAATGATTATTTTTTTTTGTTTTCAAAAAGATGTTATATATTCAAAAAAAAAACCACGTACCTTTCCATCTTTATCCAGAACCCATCCAGGAGACAATGGTTGTCCTTTCCGTACCTGTAGCTCAACCTTCAACGATTATGTATGAATATATGTACATGTACTAAACCGGGTTTTGTTTTGAAACAGAAACGATTGACGGACAATATTTTCTTGTTGTACATTTTGGTCATAACTAAAGAGATATACCGATATTTCTCACGTTGTTGGCGTGGAGAAATAAGTGAAAATACCAACGAAGAACGAAGTAAAACAAATAATGTACTAAAAAGTTGAATAATACATTATATTACAATTTATTTGTCTTAATGATTACCTGTTTACCTATTTACCGTAATAACAACACAACAGATCTAGATGAGAACACGCACATCCATGCTCTGTATTGGTGTGCTACTCAATGACGTACCTTGTAAGACTCAATCTATTCATAAAAAAAGCATCTTTCACATTGTAATCCGTATTTAAAAACAAAACAAAAAAGGAAAAAAGCTCCACTGTGTGTAATTACCTTTCCCCACGCCACGTTGGAGGTCGCCATGTCTAAAACAAAGCTGTCGCCATTTTTTCCCGGAGCTGCCATACATATCGGATTTGTTCCTAACGTTCTCTGAAATTCAAATTTTACTATTTGACAATTTCATGTTTTGAGCATTTGCTTAACATCAAAATCTGATTTTGACCGATAGACCCTTTCTGTAATCACTGTACTCCAATTTCATATACAAAAGTAATATCAAACTTCAAATTGTTTAAAACATAAATCTTGAAATCCATAAAAACTAAAAAGTATATATTTTCATCAATAATTCGAATGAGGTTTTCTCCTTTGTTGACAATTTGACGTTGATGTCATGATTTCCAGTAGAAAGGATTCATCATCCGTGATCTGCTATTGTTGACGTGACGTTATGCAACTGTTATGATAAAAAAGAGTCCCCCCTGGGGTAAGACAAAGATATCTTTCCCTGACCGGAAGCATTTAATCAGTCACGGATGAAAGTACATGTAAACACATAATTTCTGCGACGGGAAAACTAGAGCTGATATTGATACTATTTTGGCATAATAGTGAGTATACAACGTCAATCAGAATACTATTATTGTCTTACCATATGATTTGAATTTAGAAGGCTACCATCTAGTCAGCAAGTGAGCATAGACGATATCTGGATTTTAATATTCAGGTTAACATATAGGTAACTACACTGTACTCACCACTTTAGACCGTGTGGGTATTATAGCACCGGATGCATTTGTGAACGCCATTCCCTACAACAAATATGTAAACAGTATGCACAGACTGTATGCATCCAGCAAAAACTGACTTCCAAGTTAGCTTCAAAACCGAAAGGAATTTAAAGCGTTTAGGTATTACTGTGATGCAATAACATTGCAGCTGTTAACTATTACTAGATATTACCATATATCAGACGTAAGATTAATTCGTTTAAATCACAGATAAACAAATCAAATGAACAAAACATGTATTCAAGTTCCTCGGACGTAAATAATAACACGAACTAATAAAGTCTCACTAATCCGCTATTCTCTCTATGACTTGCCTCTAATACTCGTGGAAACATTAAGATCGGCAACATTAAATTTAGTCAAACTGCAATATGCGATACTATACCAACTACAATAAGAAAACTAAACAGCAGTGTCGATTATTCACGTGCTTATCAAAAACCCGAAGTGACAGCTAACAAATCACCTGAAGGTAAAAAATAAAAGCAAAATTGACTCATTAGACGGGTAATTTGTAACATCCATTGGCTGATAGATGAGGGTTTGTTAATATTGAAAACAGTAGGTAAACGAGACTTGGTTTACCAGTAAGCCTTGATCGCATGCCATGAGACTGTACCATCCTGCTATCCCGAAATGGTTGGAACCTGTTCAAAAGTAAACCACCTTATCATTATTTAAACACAATATAAGTTCATAATAACATCCTCATTATACAAATATCAAATAGAAACAGTAGCCACGTGTTGATATTTAGTAACTAAGATTATTACAATAATTGTCTTTCTTGCTACTATTGTTTACCGGTGGTGAATGTCTTAAATATGATGCAATATACAATTTTAATAGAAATGTTTAAATCTGTAACCGTACATATTTACCTGTAGTTTCTCTTGAGAATGTTCGTTTATTTGTAGGATCAAAGCATATCTAAATCATATCAGGTGGTATTGTAACAAATATTTCTGACTAAGGTATTTTTTTTCACTCAATTATTTTCCAGGACAGTAATATTCGACTACAGTATTTGACTTTGATAGTTTTAAGGATTTTTTTTAGAGAACATGAACGGAATTGATTTAAATTTTAAATATAAATTTCAGAACACACTCGAGTTGTAATTTCTTAAAGTAATGATGAATTAGAACTCAATGCTATCTACTTGTACTGCTCGCTTTTGCACTTTGGCGACCATTGGCAGCCATTCCAGATAAGATAGCGACAAGAGATAAAAAATGAAGACCTATGATAAACTTCTTCAGTCAGCCAATGCTATCGTATTACTTATTTCCACGACCATATATGGGCTTTTCCAAGTGAAACGAGGTTTTAAAACAATCGATATGTATGGTTTTAACAGGATCAATGTTCATAACAATGATCATATTGTGTCAGGTAGCATTCTTTATAATAATATACAACATTTATTAAAGCGCCCTATCAAGCTAAAATAAGCCACTCTAAAGCGCTTTACAGTACATAGATATACAATTAACATTAATCAGTACATTATTTTGAGGAATTCGCATGAGCTGCCTTAGCTGGCGCTAACTACTTGTTCTAGTCTTATGTCACCTGCCTAATGTACCCCTATGTGTGTATGCCTGCGTGTGTGCTGGAGATGTAATGAAGTTTAAGTGAAGTTTAAGTAAGATCAGTACAAAAAACCGAGAGAGGTAAGTATAGTAATGTATATTCTCACCTCTTGCTGTGACCATGCCGATGCCCACCTCTTTAGCTTTCTGAATCGCTAGCTCCATGCAAAATTTACCCACCACCGGTCCTTTGAAAAAAAAATAGCAAAAAGAAAAACATATTATTTGCAAAGGTGTTTTTACTTATAACCAATTAAAACAAGTCAGATTCCAGTTTTCTATTGACATCTAGATTTCTCATAAGAAATATAATTCCATGTTAGGCTGATCTCACCTTGGAATTTAGGTTTGAAAAATAGGAAAAATAAGATCAGATAGGTTTTAAGCCACTAAAACATCAAAGCGGGCAACCCTCCTTCACTTGTTTTTCATGTACTGTGTTTTTAAGTTTTTAAGCACTAAGTAACACGTGCATGATTAATCGTTTTGGAGCTACTTTACTCTTTCAGTCATATCGTAACGTCGACTCAGAGTTTTGAAAGAAAAAGGCGAAGAGATTCCAATTCAATATCGGGCACTGGTAAGAAACAGATATAAAAGAACAGATTGTAATTATTCTTGCGATAAGTACGTCCCATTATTTGTTAAACAAAATGCTAAAGAAACGCGTTTCAATCCTAAACTGAATTCGTCTGATCGTTAAAAGAAGTGTCAATGTTAGTTTCAATCACACATATATTTCCAAATTATATTGCTAAAACTTATCCAACAGTCTGACACTTTTGAACGGGCTAGATGGTTAATGCGGTAGTGTTAATATATTGTTACCATTTGATACTGCCAAATATAGTGTGTTGATAGCGCTATTACCTAAGAGGTTGCTTGTTCCGACCGAGTAGGGTAAGATATCTTACGTGATGATGGCGGTTTTACTTACCAAACATGGTGCTATTGTAACATTTTACCCAACAAGGTCTTACATAATGGCGTCAATTCTCGCCAAACAAGAATGTGTCGTATATTGCTAGATTATTTCTCAAATAAGCAACAAGGAACGTTTGTTCCCATTGAAAAAGAATGATTGTCATGATACCTACCAAATAGGTTGTTCCCATTGACCAGGGCTGTGGCTAAGTTCTGTTTAGTAACAGTTGGCTCTGTTCCTTTTCCTCCACATAGTATACCCCGTTTTAGTTCCTCGATGTAAAACTCTGTTTGCAATGAAAATCAAATCCTGTATAAATACTTTCAGAGCTCCATCCTTTGCCTTTTGATTATTTGTATATTAAAATTAGTACAGAAATAAAGCACACACTAATATTTGCGGAAGGACCATTCCGTACAACAAATATGTGAATTCGTAATCAATTCAGGAGATATATCGGTAGTCGACAGTAGTATCTACGTTAAATGTATACTGTACACGACGTGGATTCCTCTGTATTACTTGTATATGTTAGCATTTCTAAATTATAGCTTCCATCATGTTTAAAATGTATTTTACATTCAAAATTCAACAATCTGTCCGTTAACAGTTGGCTGCTTTTAAATATTGTAACATATTGCACATTTAGTGCATTCCATTATATACTCAACAAAAAAACAAACGTTAATATATCTCCCAGCAGAAACTGTTGTTTGTTAGATGGCGTTTGAGTCGATAGTAGAATGGAAGTGTTGAATATATGTACAATTGTGATGTTATAGTATTTACATAGTTACATATTTAACTTAGTATGCAACTACATAAACAAATTATTTTGTATGAACACTACTACACAGGTACATTTTCTATAGATCTATGATATATATATCGACCTGTATATGAACAAGTCAGGTACAATCACATTGTAGACTTGTTTATTTATGTAGGTGATACGATACCTTATGGTAGATATACAGGGGCGGGTCCATGTGAGGGCGTAATGGGCATACGCCCCCCCCCCCTTTTCAAAAAAACAAAAAACAAAAAAACTATCGTAATATCAAATATACATGCTCCAAGTCAGGAACCGTTACATTAGTGCATTTCACAATTATTTTATGCTTTTTAGCAAAAAAAAGGTCCAATTTTTTTTTAGCCTCGCTCCGCTCGGCAAATTATTGGATTCTATGCCCCCTCTTTCAAATATCATAGAAACGCCCCTGATATATGTAATAATATATGCGGTACCCAATACAGAACTTGTGTATACGATTTAGATATGAGCTACACAAGGGGCAGGTAAAACCAGTGTCTCTTCTTAAAACTAACCATGATAGAAATCTGCATGACCTAAATAGATAAAATCGGGTTAGTTTTGTCTTGTCCTGTGGTCACTTTACCTAGTCTGTTCACCCCGTGACTGTAGTGCCCTCTATAATCTGCCGTAATCAAACAATCTGCAAACGTCCTTGCGTATTTTTCCTCAGCTCCTGCAGTAACCAAACAGCGAATCACGAATCCGTGTATTTCCTCCTTTGCTACAATGATTTCACCTGTAGCGGCGGACGCCATTGTTTCTTCAGTAGATTCTATAAAACAGGTCACTTTGTAGACCAAATGATCAGTCGACACGTCAGACTGTACTTGTTGTCATCACTAGAGATAACGCTCACTGAACTAGTATAAGGTAAATTCAAATCTAACTAAGCACATGTAAACTGTGTCTACAGTATCCTTGCAGTTATTACATGTAACCTAACGATGGTTACGGAGACAGGCAGCGATTATTCAGGATACATAACCCGTTGTGACATCAGAATAGGAATAGTAGACAAGTAAAATGTAGACTATGCTATGTCATTTTGACATTATTGACCACAAATGACATGAAATACGGTCAGCAAAATAATTTTGAACAGTTGCAGATATATTCGAATCGTGATAGAAAATGATGAAATGCTATTCCTTTCTGGTAACATTTATAAAAACTACCGTTTTTTTCCAACATGACTGTTTTTCCCAAAAAATTAAATAATTTCTTGACTCGTTGCATTAACCTGATTTGCAAACCAAAATCCTAAACAACATAATATACATGTGGGATATTCATCGTGTTATGGTTATGGTGTTTGATATAAAGAGTGATTCAATTCATAACTCTACTTCAACGTCAGGTAATAAGGAGGTCATCAATATGTTAGCAATGCAACAGCTAATTAAGGATGATGAATGAAATATTAACACGGAGATAAAGTGTTTCAGGTACATACACAGATTATGTCCGGTTTGTTAATTTGTCATTAACAAATTTGAAAGGTATGCAACTTCAAACTGGTGAGTTATCTGACGATTATATTCAAAATTAACGAAGATTTAGGAACTATTATTCGAAACTTTTGTTTATAAGCAACCAGCAAACTTACACTAAGAATCATCATTTATTATTGGTATTGGGAAACAATACTTAATGTTATAGTTACGACTATTTACATTTTCAAACGGCCGCTGTTTACCACAAAAATCACGGGAACTAAATTATTTTATTTTTATCATGACAAGGAAATTAAAACATAATCCTAATATTTGGAACTGAGACACCAGAAGGTTCAAAATGTGTAAACCTGTTCAAACCCTATACATGTACACGCGGATAGGGACGACAGGGTCTCAAATAGTTACAGGCGTGAACAGTTTTACACGAGTAATAACATAAGTAAGTATTTATGACCAATGATTTATGAAAACAATAACCTTAAATATTATTTCAAAACATTCAAAACAACTCTGTCCTAACAACAGGTAAGCTCGCGTGGTTCTGACACTTTATGTTACTTAGCTATATTTATGTTTATCCTATATTTATCGATTGTTTCATCTGAGTATTTTGTTTTTGTTGTTTTTGTCACTATTGTGCTGTGACAAAAAAAAATCATAAAGGCGGGTACTGCAGAGGAATCAATCTCAAATATAAAAAATAAGATGGGATATTACCAGAATTCTGATTAAAACAAAAAAGGATGTTTACAAAGAATCAAAATGAGAAATTTTAATTAACGAAATGAATAAGAAATAACAAAGCCATTTTTCTTGGTTGTCCCAGGTCCAAAACGCTGCTGATACTAGTTCTAAATTATAGAAAATATAGTTTATTGGAATAGCTGACTGACCAAACTCCTATGCATTTCGTTTTTTACAGAATCGTTACTGTCTCGGTTAGGTTTATGTTTGTTTTAAGTGCCAATATGGTCATTTAAGGAGGTGCCAACTGCCAAGTTACTCATCTATCACTTTCTTTGATGCTACATACTGAATAATAATAATTAATAACAAATAATAACAATAATTCGAGGTTCTTATATACCGCTTTATCACAACCTTGTCTCAAAGCTGTTCACAAATTATTATCCGTGGTTAAAGGGCCTTTGAAACCGGCCAATATCTTTCTCAACTCCCTGGGGAGCATACAGCCGGAGCTGCCATTTCGGCGCTCACAGCTAGCATTCACCAATTCTAGCGCTGCCCAACCACGTACTCATTTACAGATGAGTAGACTGAAACAAGCGGAAATAAGTATCTTGCTAAAGGATACAACACAGTGCCGTGCCGTGCATTGAACCCGCAACCCTTCGGTCACGAGCCCGGCGTCCTACCACTAGACTACCGTGCCTCCTTAATAACAAACAACACATTGGAAGTTATTTACATTGTGAGGAATGCCTTTCACACCTTTACTATCGTTTAAAAGCAAGACAAACACAAATAATATACCATATGGCTAATATTTAATATATATATAATAGTTTACATTTACAATTTAATGTCAGAGAAATAATAGGTTCATGCGTTACAGCCACACTGTCTAGATATATGTAACTCGTGTTAACATATTCTGAATACAAGACATGTAAATAAATCATAAATAATACTAGCATTGTTATTATATGAAGTATACAGTTATAATTTTTCAGCTGTCATGTATCATGGGTTGTAAGGGTTTTACGTCAAGACTTTTTGCGATTCCATTCTGAAGAGAGAAAAAAACATATGACACGGTTTTATTGAAAGTAAAGTGTTCAAAAAATCAAAAGTACAGCAATCTTGCTTTTTAGCTTATACTGTAACCGCACACGTGTATATGAAAGTTACACGTAGTATTGAACCTAAATTTACATTTCATCGTAATCCAAAACGTCGTTAACATTTAATTTGATAAATAAAAAATAAGAATATACCGAAGTGTCAACAAGACCATAGATCGAAATAAAAAAGCACGGAAAATAGAAACGAATGAAATATTTACACAAAGTTAGCATAGAGTCTGTTATATGGAAATATTTGATTAAAATGAAATGATATGTAAATGTTGTTATCAAAGTGAATACATAATGATGAATATATCAATGATAAAAGTGTGGATACCAAAAGCTCAATCTGTTTCGGATGGTACGGAATGCCCTTCAACTTGTCACAAAGAGCCATGTGTTGTCTCTCTGGATCTCCTGCCACGAGGACCTCCCGCTCAGCCTCCACCTATTAAAATAAACCGATATATTTATCATATACTTATAGTCAGACTTGATGTAAAGATCAAATGATGACTCTTAATCAATATCCGTGTTTTTTTGTATATATTAAGCTATGCAAAGCGCTAGTTGCTTCCCTGTCGTACATGTAACATATGTTCTGTGTATCAAACCAATCCAGTAGGTGGACACGACCGTCGCTGTAAAACATCACTACTGGTTGTATGGTAGTAACAATGACAATCAAAAGTTTAAACATCAACAATACAAACATAGATGCTGATGCTAACTTTTCGATGCAGGATAATTATATACGTATTATAAACTGTATACCGGTTCAAGGTTACGATTATGATCCATCAAGTTCTGCATCCTCTCCGGGAATCCGTCTGCAAAAGCCCCCGGGTCTATGGCCAAGAAACAGTGACCCTAAGGGAGGATACAAATCAAACAGTAGTCACACGCTGTTATAAACACACTGTAAGTGACGCTTTCAGATATCAAAAACACATTGTAAGTGACGCTTTCAGTTATTATGAACACACTGTATGTGATGATTTTTAGATATTATAAATACACTTTTTGTGATGTCTTTTAGATTTAACAAATACACTGTATGTGATGACTGTCAGATATTATAAATACCATGTATGTGATGTCTTTCAGATATTATAAATACACTGTATGTGATGTCTTTTAGATTTAACAAATACACTGTATGTGATGTCTTTTAGATTTAACAAATACACTGTATGTGATGTCTTTTAGATTTAACAAATACACTGTGTGTGATGTTTTTTAGATTTAACAAATACACTGTATGTGATGTCTTTTAGATTTAACAAATACACTGTATGTGATGTCTTTTAGATTTAACAAACACACTGTATGTAATGTCGTTCAGATATTATAAATACACTGTATGTGATGTCTTTTAGATTTAACAAATACACTGTATGGGATGTCTTTTAGATTTAACAAATACACTGTATGTGATGTCTTTTAGATTTAACAAACACACTCTATGTAATGTCTTTCAGATTTAGCAGATATGGTGTATTTGATGTCTTTAAGATATTTGATACTTGTTGCAGAACCTAGTCGTATAGCATACAATTCCCAGTTAATGCATTTTTTATTAGTCGTTCATGTGATGGTAACCGAACTGAATCAGAAACAGACTACCTTAATTTATAGTGAATGAAAAAATGTATAAACTATAGTGGATTTTATGTATAAACGATATCCAACTTTATACTTACCAAGTTTGCAGGTTTGTCGTACGTTTTCCACTTTCTAACAAAAGCACACATCTCGGCCCCAGACAACACACTTGTGAGGACTTCCACCATCATGGCCAGCCCGTAACCTTTGTAACCACCTTAGTACAGAACGACATAAACAACATGCTAGTAATGTTGTTTATATATGATGTGAACCTGGGGTGCACACGCAGGTGAATACATGTAGAAGCGACTATAAAGCAAAACTGTGTTCTGTTAAATCACCTTATATTTCATTTCTTACGTATCTTTATTTAAACTTAATAATAAAACAATTAAAGTTAAATGGGGAGTACTCCCTAAAACATATATCATGATATAAAATAGGTTGCGTCTCCAGCCGGAAGTGACTTACTGTTCTGTTCAAGACCTCCTAATGGCGGCAATCCAGCCACAGTTGACGGGTCACATGTTTCCTTGATTATAGTCGAAATCACAGAAGGATTATGTCGATAATCGAGATATGTTAAATGGCACGTTCAACAATCAAATTTATTTTCTTTTAACTTAAGATAAAGTCTATTGAATACAAAATGTGCCCTGATTTGCAATTATGTCAGACTGATACAGAAATACAAATCAAATTTCTAGCAATTGAGATGTTTTGTATGCTTCAAAAGTACTGCAAATCTTATTTTGTCAAACAAAGATCTTGATCGATCGATCAATGATTGGATTGCGCCAACCAAGAACAGCATTAGTGACTAAGGACGTGTTGTTGTTATTAGTTGGTATGATAAAGTCATTAATTTTCCTAATACACATATAACATTTGAAGTATATAACAATGCAACCCTTAATTGCTGCTATACAATATATGATTTACAGTACAAAGTGTCTTTGATTCTAAACATAACATATCTAGAAACAATATGACGTTACCCACAGTGTTATATACTCACCTGACCATCCTTGTCCAGTGCCCAGCCGCTCGGTAACTCATCACCCTTCAACTGTTTCATCTGAATCTATTACAGGTAGGCCATAACACAATTTTGGTTCGGTTATGCACATAAAAAGGAAGTACATATTTAAAAGGCCCCATAAGAATCTGAAATGAGTATCAGTTATTGTATTAAAGCTATAAACCAATGGTCCGTTGAATTCTGAAATAATTTTCAATTTAACTTAAATAAATTACTCGAAAAGTTGCGGCGACGTTCATTCACCTATCATGCAGTTAGGTAACAGTTTACATAAGGAGTTGTACTTACCTTACCCCAGGCCACAGGAGTACTGGCCATGTCCAGCACGAAGTTGTCCGCGTCCTTCCCCGGGGCCGCCATACTGATAGGATTCGTTCCGAGAGACCTCTAATTTGTTAAAACGTTACGATTTTATTGTAAATTGATACAAATAGTTTTAATAATGCATCTTAGCTGTCGGTCTTAAAGTATGTCTCCAAATATTTAATTTGAACTACGAAATTGCTTTTGAAACAACAGTCTGTGAACTTGCTACATGTATATACACAATGATTTTGCACAATTTTTTTTTTTTTTTTTTTTCATTTTTCAAAGTTTTTGAACATCCATTTGATCTTGTCTTACCTTTGGGTCGTTGAAATGTTATTGCTATATCAATACAGACATATGTTAAGTTCTTACTTCTTTTGCTCGTGTTGGTATCATTACTTTGTCAGAATTCGTCATTGACATACCCTGCAATAAAAGCAAGCGTGAGTGTATTTTGTGTAAATACTTAAATTGCATTGGGTGATACATTTTCTACTGCTTTTCATACATCGATACATGTATAACTCCTTTTGTATTGCAAGCACAACATTCAGATCATTTTATGCGTAACGTGTTAACAAGATTCCAATGACTCTAAATTTCTGTATTGCCCGGAGACTCTACCTACAACAAGACCTTGCTGTATTGCCCGGAGACTCTACCTACAAGAATACCTTGCTGTAATTGACCAAAGACTGCATCCTCAGGAATACCTTACTATATTTCACGACGACTGTACCTACCAGAAGACCTTTCTATGTTGCCCGGAGACTGAACCTAAAGGAGGCCCTTGCTGTATTGTCCGGAGACTGTATTTTCAAGAAGACGTTACTTTGTTGCCTGTACACTGTACTCACTAAAATACCTTGCTTTATCGCCCGGAGACTGTACTCACCAAAATACCTTACTTTATCGCTCGGAGAGTGTACTCACCAAAATACCTTGCTTTATCGCCCGGAGACTGTACTCACCAACATACATTGCTCTATCGCCTGGACAGTGTACTCACCAAAAGACCTCGCTATGTTGCCCGGATACTGTTCTCACCAAAAGAACATTATTTGTTGCCCGGAGACTATACTCACCAAAATACCTTGCTTTATCGCCCGGAGACTGTACTCACCAAAATACATTGCTTTATCGCCTGGACAGTGTACTCACCAAAAGACCTTGCTTTGTTGCCCGGATACTGTACTCACCAAAATACCTTGCTTTGTTGCCCGGATACTGTACTCACCAAAAGAACATGATTTGTTGCCCGGATACTGTACTCACCGAAAAACAATGTTTTGTTGCCCGGAAACTGTACTCACCAAAAGACCTTGCTTTGTCGACCGGAAACCGTACTCACCAAAAGACCTTGCTTTGTCGACCGGAGACTGTACTCACCAAAAGACCTTGCTTTGTCGCCCGGAGACTGTACTCACCAAAAGATCATGTTTTGTTGCCCGGAGACTGTACTCACCAAAAGAACATGATTTGTTGCCCGGAGACTATACTCACCAAAATACCTTGCTTTGTTGCCCGGATACTGTACTCACCAAAAGATTATGCTTTGTTGCCCGGATACTGTACTCACCGAAAAACCATGTTTTGTTGCCCGGAAACTGTACTCATCAAAAGACCTTGCTTTGTCGACCGGAAACCGTACTCACCAAAAGACCTTGCTTTGTCGACCGGAGACTGTACTCACCAAAAGACCTTGCTTTGTCGCCCGGAGACTGTACTCACCAAAAGATCATGTTTTGTTGCCCGGAGACTGTACTCACCAAAAGACCATGTTTTGTTGCCCGGAGACTGTACTCACCAAAAGACTATGCTTTGTTGCCCGGATACTGTACTCACCAAAAGACCTTGCTTTGTTTCCCGAAGACTATACTCACCAAAAGACCATGCTTTGGTGCCCGGAGACTATACTCACCAAAATACCTTGCTTTATCGCCCGGAGACTGTACTCACAAAACTACATTTCTTTATCGCCTGGACAGTGTACTCACCAAAAGACTATGCTTTGTTGCCCGGATACTGTACTCACCAAAAGACCTTGCTTTGTTTCCCGAAGACTATACTCACCAAAAGACCATGCTTTGGTGCCCGGAGACTATACTCACCAAAATACCTTGCTTTATCGCCCGGAGACTGTACTCACAAAACTACATTTCTTTATCGCCTGGACAGTGTACTCACCAAAAGACTATGCTTTGTTGCCCGGATACTGTACTCACCAAAAGACCTTGCTTTGTTTCCCGAAGACTATACTCACCAAAAGACCATGCTTTGGTGCCCGGAGACTATACTCACCAAAATACCTTGCTTTATCGCCCGGAGACTGTACTCACAAAACTACATTTCTTTATCGCCTGGACAGTGTACTCACCAAAAGACCCCGCTTTGTTGCCCGGAAACTGTACTCACCAAAAGACCTCGTTTCGTTGCCCGAAGACTGTACTCACAAAAAGACATTGCTTTGTTGCCCGGGGACTGTACTCACCTAAATACCTTGCTTTGTTGCCCGGAGACTGTACTTACCAAAATACCTTGCTTTGTTGCCCGGAAACTGTACTCCCCGAAAAACCATGTTTTGTTGCCCGGAAACTGTACTCATCAAAAGACCTTGCTTTGTCGACCGGAAACCGTACTCACCAAAAGACCTTGCTTTGTCGACCAGAGACTATACTCACCAAAAGACCTTGCTTTGTCGCCCGGAGACTGTACTCACCAAAAGATCATGTTTTGTTGCCCGGAGACTGTACTCACCAAAAGACCATGTTTTGTTGCCCGGAGACTGTACTCACCAAAAGACCATGCTTTGTTGCCCGGATACTGCACTCACCAACAGACCATGCTTTGTTGCCCGAAGACTATACTCACCAAAAGACCATGCTTTGTTACCCGGATACTGTACTCACCAAAAGATTATGCTTTGTTGCCCGGATACTGTACTCACCGAAAAAACATATGTTGTTGCCCGGAAACTGTACTCACCAAAATACCTTGCTTTGTCGACCGGAGACTATACTCACCAAAAGACCTTGCTTTGTCGCCCGGAGACTGTACTCACCAAAAGATCATGTTTTGTTGCCCGCAGACTGTACTCACCAATAGGCATTGCTCTGTTGCTCGGAGACTGTACTCACCAAAAGACCATGTTTTGTTGCCCGGAGACTGTACTCACCAAAAGACCATGCTTTGTTGCCCGGATACTGCACTCACCAACAGACCATGCTTTGTTGCCTGAAGACTATACTCACCAAAAGACCATGCTTTGTTACCCGGATACTGTACTCACCAAAAGACTATGCTTTGTTGCCCGGATACTGTACTCACCGAAAAACCATGTTTTGTTGCCCGGAGACTGTACTCACCAAAAGACCTTGCTTTGTTGCTCGGATACTGCACTCACCAACAGACCATGCTTTGTTGCCCGAAGACTATACTCACCAAAAGACCATGCTTTGTTACCCGGATATTGTACTCACCAAAAGATTATGCTTTGTTGCCCGGATACTGTACTCAGCGAAAAAACATGTGTTGTTGCCCGGAGACTGTACTCACCAAAATACCTTGCTTTGTTGCCCGCAGACTGTACTCACCAATAGGCATTGCTCTGTTGCTCGGAGACTGTACTCACCAAAAGACCATGTTTTGTTGCCCGGAGACTGTACTCACCAAAAGACCATGCTTTGTTGCCCGGATACTGCACTCACCAACAGACCATGCTTTGTTGCCCGAAGACTATACTCACCAAAAGACCATGCTTTGTTACCCGGATATTGTACTCACCAAAAGATTATGCTTTGTTGCCCGGATACTGTACTCAGCGAAAAAACATGTGTTGTTGCCCGGAGACTGTACTCACCAAAATACCTTGCTTTGTTGCCCGCAGACTGTACTCACCAATAGGCATTGCTCTGTTGCTCGGAGACTGTACTCACCAAAAGACCATGTTTTGTTGCCCGGAGACTGTACTCACCAAAAGACCATGCTTTGTTGCTCGGATACTGCACTCACCAACAGACCATGCTTTGTTGCCCGAAGACTATACTCACCAAAAGACCATGCTTTGTTACCCGGATACTGTACCCACCAAAAGATTATGCTTTGTTGCCCGGATACTGTACTCACCGAAAAAACATATGTTGTTGCCCGGAAACTGTACTCACCAAAATACCTTGCTTTGTCGACCGGAGACTATACTCACCAAAAGACCTTGCTTTGTCGCCCGGAGACTGTACTCACCAAGAGATCATGTTTTGTTGCCCGCAGACTGTACTCACCAATAGGCATTGCTCTGTTGCTCGGAGACTGTACTCACCAAAAGACCATGCTTTGTTGCCCGGATACTGCACTCACCAAAAGACCATGCTTTGTTGCCCGAAGACTATGCTCACCAAAAGACCATGCTTTGTTGCCTGGATACTGTACTCACCAAAAGACTATGCTTTGTTGCCCGGATACTGTACTCACCGAAAAACCATGTTTTGTTGCCCGGAAACTGTACTCACCAAAGGACCTTGCTTTGTTGCTCGGATACTGCACTCACCAACAGACCATGCTTTGTTGCCCGAAGACTATACTCACCAAAAGACCATGCTTTGTTACCCGGATATTGTACTCACCAAAAGATTATGCTTTGTTGCCCGGATACTGTACTCAGCGAAAAAACATGTGTTGTTGCCCGGAGACTGTACTCACCAAAATACCTTGCTTTGTTGCCCGCAGACTGCACTCACCAATAGGCATTGCTCTGTTGCTCGGAGACTGTACTCACCAAAATACCTTGCTTTGTCGACCGGAGACTATACTCACCAAAAGACTCACCAAAAGACCATGCTTTGTTGCCCGGAGACTGTACTCACCAACAGACCATGCTTTGTTGCCCGAAGACTATACTCACCAAAAGATCATGTTTTGTTTCCCGGAGACTGTACTCACCAAAAGACCATGCTTTGTTGCCCGGATACTGTACTCACCAACAGACCATGCTTTGTTGCCCGAAGACTATACTCACCAAAAGACCATGCTTTTTTGCCCGGATACTGTACTCACCAAAAGACTATGCTTTGTTGCCCGGAAACTGTACTCACCAAAAGACCTTGCTTTGTCGACCGGAGACTGTACTCACCAAAAGACCTTGCTTTGTTTCCCGAAGACTATACTCACCAAAAGACCATGCTTTGGTGCCCGGAGACTATACTCACCAAAATACCTTGCTTTATCGCCCGAAGACTGTACTCACAAAACTACATTTCTTGATCGCCTGGACAGTGTACTCACCAAAAGACCTCGCTTTGTTGCCCGGAAACTGTACTCACCAAAAGGCCTCGCTTCGTTGCCCGAAGACTGTACTCACCAAAAGACATTGCTTTGTTGCCCGGGGACTGTACTCACCGAAATACCTTTTGTTGCCCGGAGACTGTACTTACCAAAATACCTTGCTGTGTTGCCCGGAAACTGTAATCACCAAAAGACCTTGCTTTGTTGCCCGGATACTGTATCCCCGAAAAACCATGTTTTGTTACACGGAAACTGTACTCATCAAAAGACCTTGCTTTGTCGACCGGATATTGTACTCACCAAAAGACCTTGCCTTGTCGCCCGGAGACTGTACTCACCAAAATACCTTGCTTTGTTGCCCGCAGACTGTACTCACCAATAGGCATTGCTCTGTTGCCCGGAGACTGTACTCACCAAAATACCATGTTTTGTTGCCCGGAGACTGTACTCACCAAAAGACCATGCTTTGTTGCCCGGAGACTGTACTCACCAAAAGACCATGTTTTGTTGCCCGAAGACTATACTCACCAAAAGACCATGCTTTGTTGCTCGGATACTGCACTCACCAACAGACTATGCTTTGTTGCCCGAAGACTATACTCTCCAAAAGACCATGCTTTGTTGCCCGGATACTGTACTCACCAAAAGATTATGCTTTGTTGCCCGGATACTGTACTCACCGAAAAAACATGTTTTGTTGCCCGGAAACTACTCACCAAAATACCTTGCTTTGTCGACCGGAGACTGTACTAACCAAAAGACCTTGCTTTGTCGCCCGGAGACTGTACTCACCAAAATACCTTGCTTTGTTGCCCGCAGACTGTACTCACCAATAGGCATTGCTCTGTTGCTCGGAGACTTTACTCACCAAAAGACCATGTTTTGCTGCCCGGAGACTGTACTCACCAAAAGACCATGTTTTGTTGCCCGGAGACTGTACTCACCAAAAGACCTTGCTTTGTCGCCCGGAGACGATCATGTTTTGTTGCCCGCAGACTGTACTCACCAATAGGCATTGCTCTGTTGCCCGGATACTGTACTCACCAAAAGACCATGCTTTGTTGCCCGGATACTGTACTCACCAAAAGATTATGCTTTGTTGCCCGGATACTGTACTCACCGAAAAAACATGTGTTGTTGCCCGGAAACTGTACTCACCAAAATACCTTGCTTTGTCGACCGGAGACTATACTCACCAAAAGACCTCGCTTTGTCGCCCGCAGACTGTACTCACCAAAATACCTTGCTTTGTTGCCCGCAGACTGTACTCACCAATAGGCATTGCTCTGTTGCTCGGAGACTTTACTCACCAAAAGACCATGTTTTGCTGCCCGGAGACTGTACTCACCAAAAGACCATGCTTTGTTGCCTGGATACTGCACTCACCAACAGACCATGCTTTGTTGCCCGAAGACTATTCTCACCAAAAGACCATGCTTTGTTACCCGGATACTGTACTCACCAAAAGACTATGCTTTGTTGTCCGGATACTGTACTCACCGAAAAAACACCATGTTTTGTAGCCCGGAAACTACTCACCAAAAGACCTTGCTTTGTCGACCGGAGACTGTACTCACCAAAAGACCTTGCTTTGTTGCCCGAAGACTATACTCACCAAAAGACCATGCTTTGTTGCCCGGATACTGTACTCACCAAAAGACCATGATTTGTTGCCCGGAGACTATACCATCCAGCCATTCCATAGTGGTTTGAACCTGTAAAACAAAGCATTCTGTCATAGTGTAAAACAACGTTATTATTCACGAAAAATGTTTTTTTAAATTCAAACAATGCCAAACAATACAAGGTTACGTATGTGCTAGGTGTTCATTATCGAGAAAACAGAAATCTAATTCATGTTCTTAGATCTGTTAATAAAAGAGTCCGAAATAAACTTTTTCTCTGATCTTTGAAGTATGGACAAGCAAGCGTCAATTTATATCAAAGTTTTACTTGATACAAAAAAGATACATGTACGTATCAAACGTATTGTAACGTATAAAGTAAAACTTTGATACTACACATTTCCAAACTGATGAATCTTATTGAAGAAAAGTGTCAATTGATTTTAATTCATTATTTTTGAAACAGTATCATAAAAGGTTCGATGGACTGGTGTTGAACAAAGAAACCTTTAAAATACGTCGTTTATCTATGGACTCTCCTTGCTATAACGCTAGAATACAATAAGCGAAAGACAGTATTTTGAGACATAATATACCATAATATAGTGTTGACATATATGTACATATTATGTATATTTCATAATTTCATCCTGGGAGAAAGGATATTCGCTTTTGAAACGCAAACAAAAACACCATTTCAATCTTTCCTGGAAAGTTGGGTTTGAAACCATGTCATGATTGGTATCTCATTTTAATAGTATTATGGAAAGACAGTTTTCTATGGGAAAGCATTTATCTGTTACAGTTTTTGCTAATAGTGATTAACTGGCACACTACTTAAAGATTAATCCTTACTACATTTTGTATGTCTCGATCTTTTTACAGGATGACAGTTTTGAACCATACATTAATTTAAACACAAACAAATGATATACACGTGTGCTTGTTCGTTCGATAAGATTAGTCAAACATACTATTTTAAAACATTAAGCTGTCTTATTCAGTTTTCTTACCTCTGACAGTGACAATACGCACACCAGCCGTCTTAGTCAGTATCCTTACCTTTGACAGTGACAATACCCACACCAGTCAGTAACCTTACCTCTGACAGTGACAATACCCACACCAGTCAGTAACCTTACCTCTGACATTGACAATACCCACACCAGTCAGTAACCTTACCTCTGACAGTGACAATACCCTCACCAGTCAGTACCCACACCAGTCAGTATCCTTACTTTTGACAGTGACAATACCGACACCAGTCAGTAACCTTACCTTTGACAGTGACAATACCGACACCTGTCAGTAACCTTACCTCTGACAGCGACAAAACCCACACCAGTCAGTAACCTTACCTCTGACAGTGACAATACCCACACCAGTCAGTATTCTTACCTCTGACAGTGACAATACCCTCACCAGTCAGTATCCGTACCTTTGACAGTGACAATACCGACACCAGTCAGTAACCTTACCTCTGACAGTGACAATACCCACACCAGCCAGTATTCTTACCTCTGACAGTCACAATATCCACACCAGTCAGTATTCTTACCTCTGACAGTCACAATACCCGCACCAGTCAGTATCCTTACCTCTGACAGTGACAATCCCCACACTATTCAGTATCCTTTCCTCTGACATTGACAATTCCCACACCAGTCAGTATTCTTACCTCTGACAGTCACAATCCCCACACCAGTCAGTATTCTTACCTCTGACAGTGACAATGCCCACACCAGTCAGTATTCTTACCTCTGACAGTCACAATACCCACACCAGTCAGTATCCTTACCTCTGACAGTCACAATACCCACACCAGCTGTCTTAGCCTTCTGGATAGCCACGTCCATAGCGTACTTCCCTACCACAGGACCTTCAGAAAATGAACCTTCAATTAGGTTGTTGAAACGAACGTCAGCTTATTTATATTTTCCTAATATTCAATTCAACAATTCAACCATGATTTACATTTTTAAATTTCACTTCGAAAAATACAATCTCAACAGAATGAGCCTAATCCATTCAAATTTCAGCAGTGAAAATATGTATTTTGCGTATCTTCTAAAACAAACTGCTATTGCAGGAAATAGCAGTTGTTTTAACTTCCTAAATAACAAGGAAATAAAATCCATCTTAAATTTATAGACATTGATATATACAATTGATTAGTTCTCAGCTACCTACTACATAACATTTGTACCTAGTAAATTGTTGCCGTCAATCAGTGCTGTAGCCACAGTTTCCTTGACAACAGTCGGGTCCTTTCCTCCGCCACATGTTACTCCGTTCTTGACGTCTAATGTGTACACGTCTGTAAAAGTCGATACAGGATACTGTAATCACAGCATGTAACATATTTTAGGAATACTATATTGAATTACTTACAGTAAGTTTCATCAAAATCTTGGTATAATACAATACATCTCCAGCACACGCACAGGCATAGGGGGATATCAGTCAGGTGGCATAGGACTAATAGTTAGCGCCTGATAAGGCAGCTCTGCGAATTCCACAATATTGTATTGATTAATATGTATGCTAATTGTATTGATTGTATAAAATTGTATATCTATGTACTGTAAAGCGCTTTAGAGTGGCTTACGTTAGCTAGATAGGGCGCTATATCAAATGTTGTATATTTATTTATTTATTTATAAAGTTCAAACGAACATGTAGACTATTCTAGTCAATGTTGGAATTGTTTACTGGCAAGGATAATGCATTTGTATAATTTATAAAAAAAAAATCATAAAAAAATGACGTATGATTGTTATTTACATTGAAAATATAACCGTCGGGGTTTGTGAATATTGAGCAGGTAAGGTAACTACATTCTCGCTCGTTGGCAATCAGCTGTGTATATAAAATGAAAACGTATATAACAGGCAGCAAAACAGATAACAGCGATGTAGGAGATCAAAATCAGCCAAGTGCACAAAGGTGATATACGTTTTCGTATTAGGACGTAATCGATCGTAGATTGTATTATTGCAAGGTACAAATCATAAAGTTTGTCGTGTATAGAGAAATACACACTTTGCTTATAAGCCCGAGTGCATTTAAATGTGAACGTCACACATCATGTAAAGTTACTCCGGTCGCTGTTAGAATGAATTTTTAATTCTGGGATAAGTGTGCGGACGCCCGTTGAATGACATTGAAATATTACAAGGTATGCTGATTTTTTTTATATGAATATGCAAAAATGTTTGCGTTTGATATGTTGTTTCAATAATTTCTCAGATGGTCTTGTATATTTAATCTTTACATGTGACAACTTGCCGGCACACATGTAAACAAAGGCTTTGACGTTAGTCTTAGGTACAAATAACAACTCTATTGCGAATGATTACGATCCCTCTCCAGCGTAAAATTGATCATATACGCGTGCTTCAGACACCGTTCAAAGCAAATGCAAGGTGTTCATGCTGCTAGATGTAATGCTGATAGATACTCGAAATGTAAGGTCTGTTATAACAATAGGGTATGAGTTCTTAATTTTATTTAGATGATTTTTTTATTCTAGTAATTCATCTTATTAAACAATAAATAAAAAGACTTTCGGCATTTCACTGTAAATTATTGTTGTTTACTGTGGACGTATGGTATTCTCGACAAATCCCATTTGCCAGGATGATTGCAGAATGACATCTAACATCGATACTTAACTAGATACCTGTAGCTATATATTAGAGATCGTGACACTTACCTGTTCTGCAAACTCCATGGGTGAAGTGACCGCGATAGTCCGCGGTGACCAGCACGTCAGACATTACACGTGCGCTGTCCTCGGTAGCCCCGCTGGCCATCATACAGTCGACCACATACCGGTCCAACTCGGCCATACTTACGAGGATATCGCTTGCCTCCGCCATGTTGTCGTATAGCAGCAAGACTGACACGGTCCAGTGGAGCAATAGAAACGTAGAATTTAAATTATGTATTAACCAGATTCTCGTGTTATATGCCTACAATGTAGTCAACCGTATAACGTAAACGCAACTCGATCAATACATTCTGAAGAGACGCCGAGGGGTTCAAACGTAATCACAATACAAACTTCAAAGTTCGTCATTGTTTAAACTATCACATATTATCAATAAATACCATTAATAATCATCTAAAACAAATAAAAGTATTCAATTGTTATGATATACGACCCCCACAAGTCCCGTTAATAAGGTTAATGTTTGAGTAGATTAACCCTGGGGGACACTAACCAACGTCGACGTTGTTTAAGAAAAATAACATTGCAGATTGCCATTAACCAAATAACCCCATTTAAGTCAGGAAAACTAATAAGCTGATTTCAATATACTTAATAACACTTATTTTTTTATTGTCATAGTCTATACACCCTTCGTATATGTAATATAGAAACATTTTACAAAGGAAGGCAAGCTTGATATCGTGCTTTTGCCTTGCCTCGAGCTCGCTATCACCGGCACCGAATCGTTTAACCGAGAAAAAAATAAAACCATAACACAATCGCAGCCGCCTTACTAGAATGGAGTTAAGATGTTGCGGTGGTCAGTAGTCGGCTACTCTCGACATGAACATAGTTTCTATTTATATGAGCAGACATTGCACAAAAATTGCTTCATTTTTCTGATGTGTGTCTCAACAAAGTGCAATTACGTCAGGAAGTTCATATCGTACGACTTTGGATCGACTAACGCTAACGTATGTGAAACATGTGTATGTGATGTTTCCGTTTTGTTATTCATACCATAAACATAAATTCGTTATTGAAACAGAATCGCGTATTTACATCAATGCTAAAGTCTTACGCGTTCTTTTATTCTTTAAGTTTCCAAATACCTTTGTTCTAAAATTATCACGACGATTGCAGCGGTCCGATTGTTTTTAAACACTTGAAATTTGTAAACAATGATCTGCATTTCATTTGCTTTTCGTTCTCACTTTTTGTGCATTTAAATATTGGAATTGTCAAGAAGTCTATTAGAAATTTCAAACAAATGAAACATGCTCTGGACCAACTAAATAGGGAGGTAATTCGAAGATATTTTTCTAGTGACTCTTTAATTCCGAGAAAGGAACCACTAGTGTTATATGGAGACTACCCGTAGTGGTTTGGGGTATTATGGCTAAATTGGGTAGGCCAATTCGTTGTTTGTGAGATTATACTTGATGGAGAAGCACTGGCGTGGATATATTGTCTGTCCAATTCACTCTGTTGTTTTGAAGTAGGTGATATGTCGTTGAGGGACTGTTGGAGATTGGATGGTAGCCGTTTCCACTTCGAAGTTGATTCTGTTGTTCCATAGAAGAGGCAAACATGATGCTAAATCGTTAATGTCTTAAAGAAGCGACTTTGTAGTTGATGTCCTGACTTCACGTAGGAAGCCACTGGGTAGCTGATGAAGGTTCAGAGGTCATATAAATCACGTCCGTCACTACCAAATCGTAATAACTGCCTGCAGTATCATTACCTTGATCACTGACCCCGAAGCTTATGATGTAGTGCTATTCTACCCGAGCGCCTTTTCCTTCAAGTGGTAAAATGTACACTCTTTAAGGCATGGTCATGGGTACGGTACATGTAGTTGGTGATGTATAGAAAAGGAATATCAGACGACAGCTGTATGATGAAGTGCAAGTAATTTTTGGTACTCGTATACTATCTCCATTACCAAATTTTAAAGGCACAATTTGAAGGTATGTTTTGAAGTATCTCCTAGTAGAATTCTTAGTCCTAGAGGTTTGCTGTAAATCTTGATAGCCAACACAGTGACCTCTTACAGTGGTGGCGCGCGACTTATAATAAATTTATTTAACTAATTATTTAGTTTGAAGTAATTATACAAAACGAACTATAAAAATGAAGAGTTTTTACGCATCTTTCTTTCGTTTTCAGCTGTAGGTTCGTTTTGGACACCAGCGCCAACGATGAGTCCTAGAATTTTCAGGTATTTCGTCCTCCCGACTAGGTAAACATTAGGAACCTTGAGCTCGTTTGATATAGGGAATATGGATAATTGTTCTGGAACCATGGAGTGCTGTTATCGTACATCAACGACCACATTCTCTACCGGCACCGTTCAATAACCCATTGGGCCATTGTCCTATCATGGGCCTGGCAAGAGGAAATGTACTGTATACTTTTCACCCGGGCAGTTAATCGTCAGAGACATTTCCGCAGACAACAAATGAGATAATACGCTAAAACTGCCGATGGACACTGAACACCATCTACGTTTTCTATCAAAATATATCTAGCAAACAAGATTTTCACACCAGAAAAATTGCAAATCTTCATTTTTTTTTTTAACAATCTTATGTCAATCAGAAACATCTCCCCTTCTTCAGACGAAATGCAACTTTTTTTGTCAACCACATGAATTACACAGTCGTTCGAACTGAAACAAATGGGTTAGGCATCGGTTTAATTTCGAATGTTTTACTTAATTCAAATATATTATTGTTTACCTTCAACGTACTATAGGACATATTTAGAATAAGAAAAAAATATGAACATGTAATCGATCACCAAGCTATAGCCTATGCCAAGTCATTATTTACAATACAATTTGAAAATGCAGCTCTTTCTTCTTCAGTAGGCTTAAGTATATAACTTAAGTGACTCCGGGTGCATCAGGATTTTTCTTGTTATCTGTACAATTTATTAGTACAAATCTGCATAACTTTATTGTTCTTATCTTGTAATCTAAGCATTGGCATTGCTCGGAAGATCTGTGACACGGCGAACACCATCAGGCACATCGATATGCGTCTGAAGTGTAAATTAAAACTGGGCCTGAACTGGGACAGCCGTTCCTGAATGGACAGTGTGATATCTCCGTCAAATAAAACATCTCAACTGTAGTATGTGTTCGATCGTTGTGTGTTCATATACAATTATCACTATATATGTTAAATCAGGCACACGATGTGTGGAACAAACTAATGTCGCGGTTGTGATTCCAGATCTGCAACGATGACACCACCCTACAAACATATGGCACATACATTTATTGAAACAACAGTGAATTTGACTAGACATATGTCTACATCTACATCTACATAGTAATGACCACCTTCATATATTTGAAGATCATGTCATTAAATAGTGGTTGCTATGCTTAGAGAAGAGAAGATAAAAGATAGTGAAAGGGAATATTTTTTAAGCATGGGAGTTATCAGTGTTTTTGTTATGGGACAGTTTAAAGCAGTCAGAAGAGGTAATGGAGATTATATCTGGAGACAGGTTATTCCAGTCTACTATGATACGAGGGAAAAAGGATTGTTGTCGTACCTATGTTATACATGAGAGTGTTTGATATGAGTTCTGGTGTGCGTGTCTTGTGTGGCGGGATGGAGGTATGAGTTGGTCTTTTCTTATATTGACTTTGCCATGTATAGTTTTATGTAGTGTTGTCAGTCGCATGACTCTCTTTCTGTCTTCAAGTGATTGCCAGTTAAGGTGTTGACGAAAGGCAGATGGGTGTGATAACAGAATAAAACAAACGACACGGTATCATTCAGTTATTTTACTGCTAAATTCCTGACCTAACACACCTTAAGTAATATTTCAGAACATTGGAAGCGTCAATAACGTATTACAGAGTTTCTTATAACAATACACAAAATCACCTTAAATACATAAATGTAGCCATGCTTTTGCAATGCGCTTACTAGCATATATGTACCCGCGTCACTGTTTAATATGCATGATTCATGCTAACATGGCTTTGTCTGGAATACCTAAAATGGAAACAACGCAAGTAATACTAGCGATTTTGTATCCACGCTTTCAGGCGTCTCATGTCACGTGATGTAAAGGTTTGACATCAAGACTTTTGGCGATTCCATCCTGAAAAGAAAAGGGTCAAACATGAAAATTATTTAACTGTATTCTTGTTTAAGACGATGTAGAAAATGTAAATGAATCTTGGCTATAGTTCAACGATATACTTAGAGGATAGCATCAGCTCAAACATAACTTCAGGCGGACACTAATTGTGATATGAAATCTGAGTTCTATATTACCAAGTGTATATATATATATTTTGCATAAATGAAAACAGTATTAAGCGTTGATTTGATATACAAATTAATACAGACATATGGTAATATTATAAGTAGATCAAAGAAAATGTAAATATTATCAACGTGTATAAAAAATAATTATTCTTTTATCAATGATAAGTGTGCGGATACCAAAAACTCAATCTGATTGGGATGGTACGGAATGCCCTTCAACTTGTCACAAAGTGTCATGTGTTGTCTCTCTGGATCTCCTGCCACGAGGACCTCCCGCTCAGCCTCCACCTATTAAAATATTACCGAGCCTATATATATTACATGTATATTATAAATATTACATACTGACCTATCTTATTGGTTTTTATATTATAAATGCTGTGTATTCGTCACACAGTTTATCATAGCCTACTTATGCAAGGGAGTTGAGTCAACTTGGGTGTTAGCCACCAATGTTTTAGAGACCTTTTAGTACCAAAGTTGACTCAACTCCCTTGGGACGAAATGATTAAATGATGAAGTAAACATTATTACTTTTGTTCGGCTCTCTGCATTTATTAACATATATTAAGGACCTCCTTACTTCGCACTTTTAATGGTTATAATCCAATATATATACCAACATTATATATTTTAAACTCAAGAAATATAACCTATTGCGATCCCATATAAATAACAATCTGGAAACGCGAATTTGTTGTAATATTCGAAAATATACTTCATCAAGTGATAAAAAAGTGTTGTTTTTTTTGAACTTTTTATGAACTTCATATTTTTTCACAAATCACGTTAGATCGCCAGATACTCGCTAATATGAAACATGCCTAGAAATGCTGCATGAAATCTGAGAGTTATGCAAGTTTATGTACAAATATCGCTAAAGCGATCAATTATATGACGTCGTAGATTATTAAACGCCATAATTTTTGAATAACCTTGACAACAGTATCATTAAATAGCAGTGATATCGCTATGGCGGATACATACAGTGGACTAGATAGTGACGATAATTGAATGACATCACACCTCATCTCAAAATAATGTTTCTTTATATAAACAGTCTGAAGAATCTCCTTGAAGGGATGAAAGAATGTACATGTAGGACGAGTTGTCGAGTATTTATTCATTTTTAATTACTTCTTTTTCCAGAAGATCATAAAACTACTGTGATAGAATGTATATGTATATAGTTAATGCTGTCAAAATTTGTTTCACTGTAATACCATAAGATAACATCATGTGACTGATACATATGTTTTAAAATTAAAGGAGAATTAGACAAGCAGCGATCTCAATTAAGAAGTATTGCATATTTGTACCGGCTCAAGATTACGATTAAAGTCCATCAAGTCCTGCATCCTGTCTGTAAATCCATCTGCAAATGCCTCCGGGTCTATAGCGATAAAACAGTGACCCTGTAGAAACAAACAAGGAATAATAAACATTACAAAGAAAATATTCATTTTATTTTTGATTTCTGAAGATTTCAAAAATGACGTTTTTAGTCTTAGTATTATAAATTGTTTCACATAAAGTATAAAGGCAGCTTAGTTGTGACATATTATATGAATTTGTTCATATGGTAGTGTTTGTTCATATTTAATCTAAATGTTTCTTTATTGAAGCGTGATACAACGAATCAAGCCAGGTTATAAACAACAATTATGTGATAAAAACCAGAAGCTTTGCATAACTAAGTCAAGGCAGAGCATAAACAGCAATTATAGTGGTAATTGCGTAAACGCACTGCTATCTGAACGTTGTACTTAATTTTTAACTCCATAGTCGATTAAAAAACATGTACGCTAGAATTTGTTACCACATTATATACAGAACCTACCAGGTTTGCATGTTTCTCGTACGTTTTCCACTTCCTAACAAAAGAACACATCTCGGCCCCTGACAACACACTGGTGAGGACTTCCACCATCAAGGCCAGACCGTAACCTTTGTAACCACCTTATAACAAACGAAACATAAATCATAACATGCATGTTTGTACATATGTAATAGCTGTGCATAGTGAATAGTATTGTCAATGCATGATAATGCATGTTCAAGGCAGGTCAAAATGCAAACGTGCAAAGCCAAACCGTGTTTTTGTAAAATTGAATATAAAGTTAATTTATCGTAGTTATAAAATGTTAGTGACTCCTACGTTAAATTCTTACTTTTAAACTAAAGCAGCAATCTGTCAGAATTGTATTACTTACATTATCCAAAACGTTTGTATCAATACATAGGTTTGTATTACATGCACCTATATTATATAGACCTGTCTAATAGAAAGGCGATTCACTATCACACCTATCCACAATTACCAAATCGCATGCATATCGATTTGGCTACATAAATAACCATTCTTTTTTCAAAATTATATTAATATCACCCTCAGTGTGTTCTATAATTAGTGATATATATTGTTATTAAAGCATAAAGTAAAATGTTGTACTGCTTATGATTACTCTAGACAGATAATGAATTAGTAACATGTATGTTTTGGTGTAAGACAATGTATTACATAATCAAGCAGGCCACATAAATGAAGTATGGCAACCATCACGAAGATGTGGATCACTTCTTTCTATACTTCCCTTGGTATATAATCCAAAGACAAAACCTATTAGATTCTCTGTCTCATTCGCAGCTTAACATTCAACTAAACATACATTTAAATCTCTACTTAAACCTGATTGAACATAGCAATATACTAAATAGGGGAAGTAACCCCCTTAGTCATGATCCTAATTCTGCTACATTTGTATTTGTGTTTGTGTTCAGAAATATATTGAGTCCCAATGTGTATGTATACATGTCTGTATGACCACTCCTTCAACACGACTCCTGCTCTTGAATATCAATGACTTGGTAAGCACACAGTGGTGGTGTGTATGGACATTTTAGTGCTGCCCAGTTATAGTTGTTATCTGGAGTAGGAGTGGTGATGGAGGAATAGTTGGCGTTACAAATTATTCAACTAATAATATTTAATATTTACTATATTGAATGGAGGTCCCAGTTTTTGATATTAATATATATGTTGTAAATTTATAATATTTGATTTTTTACAAATGCAGTATACACACATGGCTTTCCACTTTGAAATATATTTCATATATATTTAACTGTATTTGTTTTACCTTAGTTAATTCATTTTTTTTTAATTTTAATTTTGCTTAGTTCAGAGATAGATAGAGACTATTAAGTACTATTTAATGTTCCAAGCCAGTGCTAATATGCTAATGTCTAAATTATAATTATGTTATTGTTTGAAATGTATGTAACCCAAGGGAGAGGGCTTGTATAGGCATAGCCTGTTGCCCGATTCCCATTGAATCATTTGTTTTAATAAAATATTTTGAAATGAAAATTAATGAAGAAGTGACATGTATCGCATGTGGTCATATTTGTAGCACCAGGCTCCTATATTCATACATCAGTGACCAAATTCCCATGGGAGCTTGTGCCATTTCAATTGAGTTAATATTGCGGCATTTCAAAAATTGGTAAAATGTACTTATATTCAAGGAAAAGATTATTATTTCATCTCTTTAAAAAAAAAATATTAATTTATTCTTTAATTGGTGTAATATGTTTGAGAGGTTTTGCTCTGGTTAGTCAAAACTCAGAAATCTACTTCACTTATAATTACCCGATCAGAATTTGGACTTATCCGGTTGAAAAAGAACAGAACAATATCTTTGAGTTTGATTCTTTAAATAATATACAATTATGGACTTTTGTGCTGGAAATATGATGTGATATGAACATGAAAAAGTGATATTAACTAGGCGAAGCCGATGTGATTGCGAGAAATTTTCAAGCATATATTACATTTTTTTAAATGGCAGTGTAGCAGTTGAAAATGTCGTAAAAAGGTACTTTAAGAATCCTGAACTTTGGGGGCAAAATCCCAATTCGGTATTGGTCACAATCTATTTTTTCAGTCTGGATTAGATGTTTTATAAATACAGCTGCAATTCAATATACTGTGTTTTACATTAAATGTTGACTAACATGTCACTAAAATGTTGTCTAAATTGATGTAAATTCAGCCCTCCTTAATTGGCAAGAAAATTAGTATAATAATCCAATATCAGTAACAATTTAATTATTGGATTATCACTGACTACAACCTTTTAGAAAAATCTTCCAACCAATATTTTGGGAAAGGAAACCAACACCTTTACCAGCGAGTTTGATGTTCATTGGTGATTTGGAAAGTATAGGCTTGAAATAGGGAAAATTCATCCAGGAGAAGAGATCAGGGCCTGTATTCATGAAACCATTCTCGTGCTCAAGCATGGATTTTGTTCTCAAGTCTAATTTCTTGTTCCGTTGATGAATTAACGGAAACGAAATTTTGTCAATAATTTTGAAAAACATTGAAGGCACTTAAAGCCAAATACTGTTTTCAATGTTGACATTTGACTTTTTACTCGTTTGACTTGATATAAGTAAGTTACAAGAATCCTGCTTTAAGCATAGAATCCATGCTTGAGCATGAGAACGGTTTCATAGTACGGGCCCAGTACTTGGATTGTGAATATAAAACATATTAATGATACTTTAATAAGTACTATGTATCTATATATATTGAAGTCCGAGAAGTGGAAAAGCGTAGTACTCTGTATCACATACCAGGCCTGTCAGGTCGTCAAAATTACCAATAAACGATATAATACTGCATAATCAATAATATGTTACATAACAAGTTGCGTCTCCAGCCGGAAGTGACTTACTGTTCTGTTCAAGGCCTCCTAATGGCAGCAATCCGGCCACAGCTGACGGGTCACGTGTTTCCTTGATAGAAGACGGAATAATAGATTATTTAATCACATACTCGTGAGTTTCAAAATGTGTTTTGATGTATAAAAATTTCATAGATACAACAAATAAACATTATGCAAAGCTTTGAATAAGACTTATTGAACGACTATTGCAAACTATAAAACGATTTTCTAAAATTGTGCATGAATAAACTATGGAAGTGCCTGACAGGAAAAGGGTTCATGTATCCACGGTGATATGATTAGATTGTTTGTCTTTCCGTTGATTAGTTTTGAAAATATCAAAACTAACTTCGAAGAGTCGTTTTGCATGCTACAGAAATATTTTGAGCCTATCATATTTCTTATTTCTCGAAATATTGTTGTCTGTAAATTGATTATCTTTGGGAAAACAAATAAGTTGTAGCATTTTGATTTTGACCGATCAATGATTTTGTCACACGAATCAAGAACATGAATTTATTTTGTGGGCCGATATTGTTATTCTTGGTAATAACAATAACAAAAGATTGATAACAGGAAGTCTGACACAGTGTCCGTCTTCATGTCAGTGCGTACATACGCTTTACTGGTCATTTGTCTGATTAATCTAAGGCGGTACGTACCATGTTAGTAATTGAAACGTCACACAAAAACACTTACTAGTTGTGACAAAAATCTATTCTACAATTTATACTTCCTTATCCGCAGAAGAAAATACAATAGGTAGTATACAGCAACAATAAATTGCATCGATTTTGTTTACACTGATCAAAAACCCTGTACTTACATGGCCGTCCTTATCTGTGGCCCAACCGCTTGGTAACGCCCCGCCCTTTCTCCGCTTCACTTCAACCTGCACGATTCAATAACAGTTTTAAACACAGCTAAGTAGAAAAACAAATATACAATACCAAAACAAATGGACAAATTAAGAACGCTAAGGAAATATGAAAGTACAACCCAGATATACGTTATGACCTATGAAAATATAATAATCTGCTTTCATATAAGAAAGCCATTTGGGGGCCACAAAAGTTATATAGTAAACAGTGCTTAGAGTATTGTGTTTTGGTGGAGTATTGCATGCATGATCCATTTAGTTCAAAATTTTGCATGATTCAATTTGAGATGGATTAGAAAAGTGAAATGGCATTTTACAAGTAAAAATTTCTTCTCGATGTTTCTCAATTTCTCAAGGGAACTATTAAAGGAATCATAATGAAATAACAAACATGATCTCCTTAGTACAAAGTTGTGCCCGCAACAAATTACCAGAAAAATAGCAGAATGTGTATGGATATAACATGTAACGTTTGTGAATACTTTTTCCCTTCCCCTCAAATATCATGTGTAATTTGGTTCGTATAATTAAGGTCATTGTCATTCATTTAAAAGCGGAATTTTCTGTATTCAGAATTAACCCCTGGGCTATAATGTCAGTTTGTTGCATTTCACATTCAACTCTATTACACACATATCGGATATGAGTGAGGGTTATTTGCTCTTGTTAAATCAAAGCAAAAGTATACCCCAAAAGGCAACGCAAAGGTCCCGAAATATTATTTGACATTTCAATAACTAATATCGATCAATAAAGCATTACTTTCATTTGCAGTTTTTGTACCAAAACAAAGTTGTACCGAAAGTTACAGCTCACAGAAGATCATCAACATCAATCAGTATGAAATGTATTTCACTTGCATGTATCATACTGAGGCAAAGGTCAATATACAGGTTACCTAACATTATTTGACAAGGGATGATCAATATAGATCAAAATGATATGTATTTCATTTGTGCATGTTAGTCTTTAATAAAGTTAGGCGAACACCAGTTGATTGGTCGCAAAAAGTCATCTGTTAATCTTATGATTAAAATCAATCAGCATTACATATATCTCACTTGCAATAAAATATTATGCTTCAAAGTAATCAAAATATACGATCAATGTTTATCTAACCAAGCAACATGCATAATTTTCATAAACGGTATATAAATTATTATGATACACGTTTACATGCAATGATGTATCACCACAGATAGCTTAGTCAAAAGACACTGTATAGGTCTTTAAAGTTCAAATAAGTAATTACAATCAAGTGACATTTCATTATTATGTTTTTACCCATACTTTAGCACAGCTGTACCATATTATTATCTACAATGGCCAGCAAAGGCCACAAATGCTCATCATTAAGAATATTCACATGAGTTTTACATACGTGTACACCACCTGTGTTTACGACACCCAGTGTCAAAGAGGTATTGCATTACACCACAGTTGTTTGTGTGCAATATACATAAATTGAAGCCTGCCATCTTCAGGCATTCAGCTGGCCTTTTCATAACAGTTACTGTAGCAGGGTTAGCTCATATTGTTTTACCCAGTGGAAAATGGGGGAAAATCAGTCAAATTTGGAAGCTGACAGATATGATATTTTTGTGGGGCTCAGGCACAACGCACTGAAAGAAAAACCGGACTGTCCACCTGATTGAGTGCGTCCTGCGCCACATGGGGCAGCTTGTACGCTGTCTTCCCTCAAATGCAGGGAACTTGTTTTTTTTTTTTTATCGATTATGAAAACATAAGAGTAGAACAAAAACAAACGTAAAAAAGGCACAATTGATTATGTATAGCTCTAACGAAACGGTTTAACCCAAGTCCAATTTCGCAAAAAATATTGATAGTCATTTGGAATATCTTCGAGAGGTGATATGTAACGTCTATTACAAACAAAAAAGCATAATTCCTCCAATTTCCTTGGTGTCAAGATGTTGTCGAGATTTGTTTTTCGCTATAGTAATTACATTGTCAGCTCGAGCGATTTCATTTAGGATATGTTTTACATTGTAACAGACATGTTTGTTCAGACAAGTAGGGTTAGACGTTTCTCCCGTAATGCTGATCTGCCGTAAAGGGAAAGTGTCAATCTAAAACATTCGTTTAAACAAAGGTAGAAATACATCTATATTTTGGGTTTTAACGAATAGAAACACGGCCCTTTGAAGTCGGACATAATATTAATATTGACGAACGTGACGCCGCTATAAATCGTCTTTAAACTCTACTGAAATACTCGTATTCGGTTAGTAAAAGAAAAAACCCTTCCAGGACGGTACATACCTTTCCCCATGCCACACTTGACGTTGCCATATCTAAAGCAAAGCTGTCGCCGTGCTTCCCAGGGGCTGCCATACTGATAGGGTTTGTACCGAGAGATACCTGGTATAACACATACAATGTTCATCTGTTACAATGTTTTGAAACAGCTTCGTTTCTAGTTACCCCATATGCAGTCGATACAATATTTCTGTTTTCCGTCCAATACTTTTATTATAATCGAATTCCTGGGATGAAGATACATTGTGTCGCCTGCTTTTAAAATAGATCAGAGTTGGTAACCGTGTTAAATATGTAAATGTATATTAAAATAATATCGAACTCAAAGTGAAAATGTTTTATCATTTTTTTCAACAATACAATCATATATTAGCTCGGCTGGTATATTTTGAAACGTTTCGGGATGTGAGGTTATTGCTATATCAATAAATATGTTATAGAAATGATTCTTAAAGATTCTTACAGTTTTTGATCGGGTTGGTATCGTACATGGAGAAGAGTTAGTCATTGACAGCCCCTGAAATAGAATCGTTATAGTAGAAATTACATAGATGTACATAACATATAATGAATGTAATTAAAAAGATTGCCTTCTCATTATAGGAATTCTCAAAGTTACAATATCAGTCTTAGTCATAAGACCCACTATAACCACTGTCATGTCAGCGGCCTCTATATGTACTTGTGGATGACACGCTTGGCATTCTGATTCTATAATACAGTTATAACACAGTGGTAGGCTTTGAATCATAACCGATATTACTATAGTGATTCACTTTCGATATTGTTTTATTGCCGATGCAAATATCAGTACAGTTGTTATCAGAAAACTGTTTTGATTCATTGATTACTGAGTAAATACTTAGTCTACAGAAATACAACGTTACAATGCATATGATGAAATGTCATTTTTCAGTGATATACCTGTAAAAATATCATTGTTTGGTGTATATATATAGATACATCTATTATGAAGTACTGAACCGTTAAACTCAGCGAATGACACATGTGAAAAACGTCAAATATTGTTGACATGACAAATATTCTGCCGGAACACAGCTCCCTGTTAAAGCTGTATTTGTTTGCAGTTTGATAACGCAGGCAGATACACGTATTCTGATTACTTAGTCATAATGAGACATTGCGACATTGTAAATGTATGCAAATGATGGTACTTTCCATAAGATGGTATATCAGTCCTTCATATACAATGCACGGACACGATTCAGTAACAGATATTGAATCATAATATTACGTTACCTGCAGTGCCACCTGTTTCCAAATCACTACCAGCCATCGTTCGATACTGTGTATTTAAAGTGAAGTGTATGCACTTGCATAATATTATACAATATGATATGATATAATATGTAAAACAATATCTTTTCGCCACTAAACAAAGCAACGGACAATTGTGTATTTATTCATTTGTACTGCATTATACAGAACAGAAAAGGGACTTTATAAGAGGTAAAAGTGAGATATTTTTAACAAAAGCCATATGTACAACAAATAAAATGAAATATTAATACTGTTAGTACTCTATCCATGTATTAAACCACAAGCTTCTTGTCAGTCTAATGCTCTAAAAGGAGTACCTACCAGAGGACCTTGCTGTATTACACAGAGACTGTACCTACCAGAAGACCCTACCGAAGACATTCGTGTCGACCGCAGATTGTACCTACCAGAAGACATTGTTGTGTTGCCCGGAGACTGCACTCACCAGAAGACATTGCTGTGTTGCCTGGAGTCTGTGTCTACCAAACGACTGTGCTGTGTCGCCCGCAGATTGTACCTACTATAAAACATTGTTATGTTGCCCGCAAATCGTACTCACCAGAAGGCCTTGCTGTGTCGCCCGGAGACTGTACCAACCCGCTATCCCATAATGGTTTGAACCTATAAAACAATGCATGTTTGTCACCACAAGGTCTTCAAAACAGCATTAGTTCTTTAAGTTTGTTTTCCGAAATAGAAAAGAAGAAAAAATACATATATAAGAGAAGCATGATCCGAATCAAATAATCTGAATTCAAACGTTTACAATAATGTACAATGAAATAAGTGTGTGAAAATGTGTTCGAAATATAATTTTGTCCAGCAAGAAGGATAATGAGTCAATATGCTGTCTTAGTCAGTATCATTACCTCTGACGGTGACAATCCCCACACAAGCCGTCTTAGTCAGTATGCTTACCTCAGACAGTGATAATACCCACACCAGCTGTCTTAGTCAGTATCCTTACCTCTGACAGTCACAATACCCACACCAGCTGTCTTAGTCAGTATGCTTACCTCAGACAGTGATAATACCCACACCAGCTGTCTTAGTCAGTATCCGTACCTCTGACAGTGATAATACCCACACCAACTGTATAAGTCAGTATATTTACCTCTGACAATGACAATACCCACACCAACTATCTTAGTCAGTATCCTTACCTCTGACAGTGATAATACCCACACCAACTGTCTAAGTCAGTATATTTACCTCTAACAGTGATAATACCCACACCAGCTGTCGAAGTCAGTATATTTACCTCGGACAATGATAATACCCACACCAACTGTCTTAGTCAGTATATTAACCTCTGACAGTGACAATTCCTACACCAGCTGTCGAAGTCAGTATATTTACCTCTGACAGTGACAATACCAAAACCAGCTGTCGAAGTCATTTTATTTACCTCTGACAGTGACAATACCCACACCAACTGTCGAAGTCAGTATATTTACCTCTGACAGTGATAATACCCACACCAACTGTCTAAATCAGTATATTTACCTCTGACAGTGATAATACCTTCACCAACTGTCTATGCCAGTATATTTACTTCTGACAGTGACATTACCCACACCAGCCGTCTTAGTCAGTATATTTACTTCTGACAGTGACATTACCCACACCAGCTGTCTAAGTCAGTATATTTACCTCTGACAGTGACAATACCCACACCAACTGTCGAAGTCAGTATATTTACCTCTGACAGCGACAATACCCACACCAGCTGTCGAAGTCATTTTATTTACCTCTGACAGTGACAATACCCACACCAGCTGTCGAAGTCATTTTATTTACCTCTGACAGTGACAATACCCACACCAACTGTCGAAGTCAGTATATTTATCTCTGACAGTGATAATACCTTCACCAACTGTCTTTGTCAGTATATTTACTTCTGACAGTGACATTACCCACACCAGCTGTCTATGTCAGTATATTTACCTCTGACAGTGACAATACCCACACCAGCTGTCTTAGTCAATATATTTACCTCTGACAGTGACAATACCCACAGCTGCTGTCTTAGTCAGTATCCTTACCTCTGACAGTGACAATACCCACACCAGCTGTCTATGTCAGTATATTTACCTCTGACAGTGACAATACCCACACCAGCTGTCTTAGTCAGTATATTTACCTCTGACAGTGACTATACCCACACCAGCCGCCTTAGCCTTCTGTATCGCTATGTCCATTGCGTACTTCCCTACCACAGGACCTACAGATGAATAAACCTATGATAACAATCTTGTAATTAACGTCATATATTTACTGTTTATAAATACGACAACCTTTTACGCAACCTAGATACCGCAAATATTTGTCCGTTATTCTGATTTTTTTTCTTTTATTTCTTAGGCTCATAAAAAATATAAAAGAGATTAATTAGAAGTCAGCATTCAACAAGTGAATTGTATTATGTTTTTTTCAGTAGATGGACATTTCGCAGAAAAAATAATCAATGATTAGTGCTTTGACATCAATTTGTCCGTGTAGGAAGTAAAGACAATTGACACTAAAGCTTATACTGATTAAACTATATTGTTTAAAAAATGTACCTAGTAAATTGTTGCCGTCAATCAGTGCTGTAGCCACCGTTTCCTTGACAACAGTCGGATCCTTGCCACCTCCACAAGCCACCCCGTTCTGGACCTCTGACGTGTATACATCTGTTAACATGGCAACATAACAATTGGCAAGAAGAGCATAAATAAGGTCACATATGAGTCTGTGTATATCTTTAGCACTGTAGGTCATGACGTATACCCAAACGATCGTAGCTTTACCAAGATTGTCCTGACATGTACCCAGATGGTAGTAGCTTTACCACGAACGTCATGACATGTTACCCAGACGGTAGTAGCTTTACCACGAACGTCATGACATGTACCCAGACGGTAGTAGCTTTACCACGAACGTCATGACATGTTACCCAGACAGTAGTAGCTTTACCACGAACGTCATTACATGTTACCCAGACAGTAGTAGCTTTGTCTCGAATGGCATGTCATGTACCCAGACGGTTGTGTTTATCTCGATTGTCATGACCTGTAGCCAGACGGTATTTCCTTTTTATTACCCCGGCCTTATTACCCGAGTTTCCTCTGGCCCTGACACCAAACTTAGACATTTTGACAGATAGATGTCTGGTGTGGGACCAGAGCGCACTCCTATATGAAAACGTGAACTTCTCCGACACCGTTTGGTGTCGGAATGTTTTGAGGTGCCGACAACAACAAACGAATATGACACAACACATACCTCACATATATCAATTAATGGATTATTTATTGATCCAAATCAGCTCTTATTATCACTAACTGCTAAATTCCATCAGTAGAATCCTCGGTTTACAATCGTTAAAAATGTCCCACCTGAGCGGACGCCATTTTTGTATGTCATGGTAGTGACTAATCAGCAAGCCGGACCGAAAACGGAATATATCATTCTTGTCTACAAAACTTCCGGATCGCCTCTTTTTGTTGATTAGTCACTACGTACACTGACATACAAAAATGGCGTCCGCTCAGTTGGGCAATTTTGAACGATTGTAAACCGATGACTCTACTGACGGAATTTAGCAACTGTTGGTGATAAAATGAGCGGATTTGGATCAATAAATAATCATTTTATCGATATATGTGAGGTATGTGTCTTGTCATATTCGATTTTTGTTGTCAGCACCTTAAAACTCTCCGACATTCCACGTTTTCATATTAGAAGTGCGCTCTGGCCCCGCACCGGACATCTATCTGTCAAAATGTCTAAGTCTGGTGTCAGGGCCAGAGGAAACTCGGGATATGGTGGTCATTGCAGTCACAAAGGCTAGACGTGTTTCAACCTAGAGTCTAGAGTTTTGGTATTTGAAGATCTTGAATTGAAATGTAAGTACTTCTATAAAATATTAGTGTTTGTATGTCATTTTATTTGTGTAGGAAATTTAGATAGAACACTGATGCCCATGAAAGATAAAACTTGTGAAGGACTATTGTCTGAAAACACCTCTTCATATACAATGTAGGAGAGTTATATATCTTGTATATGTTGTCCATGTTATATATATGTAAGTGTTTGATTTATGAAGACATGAACTATATTAAACTGTTTAATGTACATGTAGCTTGCATCGGATAACTACATCGTTGTATTTTACACAGGACGCTGTGACACCTAATTATATATCTAGACGGTGCGTTGTTTTTACATATATGTATATATTATGAAACAGTACTGTATACTACCGACTAGGAACACTACAATTACTATATATTATATTGTAAATATGTTTCTCTATACATTGTATTGTGAAAGAGAATAAAGTTGAATTGAATTGAATTGTAAACTAGACGGTTGTAGTTTACACCGGGCATCATGTGACGTAATTAACACCAGAGGTCGCGACACTTACCTATGCGGTTGAGTCCGTGGCTGTAGTGTCCGCGATAATCCGCGGTGACGAGCAAGTCCGACATTACACGCGCGCTGTCCTCGGAAGCTCCGCTAACCATCATACATTCCACAACATACCGGTCCAGTTCGGCCCTACTCACAATGATTTCGCCGGCCTCCGCCATGCTGTCCTCCTTCACCTTATGACAGTACTTTAGTCGTTGACAGTAAGTTGATCGATAAAAAAACACCTTCAAATACATAAAGAAAAAGCTAGGGTACCGTGCACAGTCAACCGTATGAAGTACACGCGAGTCGCTTAAAAGCAAATTACAAATCAATATCTTTGGTGTACACATTATTTAAAATATTAATTCATGTGCATCTTGTCACCCATTTTCCATCTTCGCTAGCCAAGGGTTACGATCTGGTACGATCAAGACCGGATCGTACCGGATCGTTACCCTTGGCTAGCGAAGATGCCCATTTCCATGCGTCCGAGTGTTGCATTTATAATAACATTAATAAACTTACCTGATGCTTCAGACACATAACATTACCGGCTATCGCTATATACATCTCATGAAGGACAACTAATTATGCTATACATCTCATGAATGACAACTAATTATGCTTTGTCACAGCACGGAATGAAATATACTGTAAAGCCACGTGGTATACTCAGCGATGGTTTAAACTACCTTATATACTCGTACGATTAATTTTGTTTCCTAATTAAAGATGTAAAGATATCATAAAAGTTGTTGTCACAATGTGGAAAGCTATCTATATGGTCGAAACATCGGTGAAAATTCTTCTTTCATATCTGAGTCGGCCTTTTGACTATAAACATTTATTAGACATCGATCCTACCCTTTTCAGGGGATCTTCTTTCAAAATTATGTCACATATTCGCTTGCACTGCCCCTTGGTGTACCGTACACCTCTAAGTCAGAGTAATACCATTATTCTATGAGAATCAGCTAAATTTCAAAGTTTGTTTTTGTACTTTACTTGCAAAATTGTTTTATGCGTAATATTTGATCATGGACATAAAATATTCGTTCATATTTAACAAACATTTCCCAACATTATCTCCGAATTTACAGTGAGCCAATGTTCAATTTGTTATAATGTAACAGGTAAAAGAGAAGTGTGCTTCAACGGGGATTGAATCCGCGATCCAAGACTTCTTATTCTACCACTGTGCTAAATGTAAATCCCCTAGACAGCGCGAAGCTATATATAAGCTACATGTAGAAGTATAGGCTGGCCTACTTTCCCCTTTTAAATAAAATCGCCCTCAAACGCCACACGCAACTACCTGCCACCACGGGTAGGAGCTCAGACACCATTTGTAACAGGAAATGGAAAATAGACGGCCAGATTGGATTTCCAACCCGGGACCCTCTAGACGGCCGCTTTCATCAATTGAGTTACCGGGTCGCCGACGATCAACGCATCGCCAGTTCAGTTCGACTACATACATATTCATAAGAAACAATGCCAAAAGTACTACCATGTACTGTTATTGCAGTATGGAATACAACACACGTGAACTGGATTATACAGCCATGTATACATATATTATGTGTGTGAATTGATATGCACCATATATTACATACCACAGGTATGTACAGATAAACCTTCGTGTACTCATCAAACTAACAAAGGTCGTATATAGATCTAACGGGTTGTAACCAGTACACCATTCTACTTAATGACACCACCACTTTTGTACTCAGCACTTACCTTTACTCCCACCAACAATAGAAAGATAAAATGAAAACGAAAGTAATGAAACAGCGAGAAGAAATACCACAGCCTTTATGCTTGAATATGGTGTTTATTACCGCGGACTATTGCAAGTCTATCTACTTACGTATACGAGGGGTTCCGAAAGGATTAAACTATCAAAATGGTATGTAAACATGTACCATGAGGACGGGACTTACGATGATAACGCCGTGCGTACGTACCCTTTTGACCCTCCACGGATGGCCTGGATTGATACGGAGAGGGACAACTCCAGTCCCAACAATCAGAAAGATGACTTCACAGGGACAAGGTGTGGTCTCCCGGGAGGAGCTTCACAGCTATGTGGTACGATGTATGGAGGCGGTGGGGACCAAAAGGGGTCACGCTGAGGCCCTTGCGGACCTTCTAGTATCAGCTGACTATCGGGGTCACTACAGCCACGGCCTCAACAGACTGGGTACGCATGTAACATGTCATTTGTCGTCAGGCTAGTGTTAAGCCTATATGCCCATTATGCAATAATGTTGTGAATAATACGTCTCTGAATGTGCTCCCATCTACAGTCGGGCAGTCCGCTACAAGATACTGCAACCAAAAACGACAGACTTGAGCAAGGCTGTATCACTAATATTGTTGTATTATTATTTTATTTTTTAAAATTTTGGCTTTGCGTAGAAGGAAGAGATTGTGTCAGTGAATTACTACAGCTATTACTATGATTTACATGAAATGAAATAATGTTAAAATACACATAATTTTTATGTGCACGTATATTGTAACAATACAATTAACATTTTGCATTACGCAAATAGTGAATTTTACGGATGTAGAGTAGAAGCTGCAAATTATATTAATTTTATAAATGTTAAAAAGTACCATTTTATTCTCATTCGGTCATGGATTCAGTGTTTCTTTATGTTTAGGACCCAGTAGATATTGATTAAGGTGTGGGAACGGAACCACGAAATTTCGAACCTAAACCCCTTACAACCTTTTCAAACTACTTTGAAAGAAATATGTATTTATATCAACATTCGATGTTCGTTGTCCACAAACTTTAAGTAATGGTGGGCCTCTTTGCCCCTTGATAGAATAGAAAACAAAATAAAATAAAGAACCATTTTAATTAGTATTTATGATTTTTCTCAAACCAAGATGCAAGTAAAGTTGATACTATATGCAGACGTGGTATATCTGATGTTGGGGTACTTATAGTTATGATGTTGTTGTCAGGTTGTAAGAAATATCTTTTTGAAATTTAAAATTATAATATTTGCAGCCCGAAAATATACTAAATGAAGCTCTGTGATTTGTTTTTAAATGCAATTAAAATAGATCGCGACTGGGAAAGTTTAAACGTCTGCAGCAAAAAAAAATCCAAGCCCCCCAAATTTGCCACTGACATTTTCCTTTTAATTACAAACACACTCAGTCATAAGAAAAGCCAACAATATTTTATTATTATGCTACATTTCAACATTGCACATTCATCAGTCATAAATGTTTAATTATTACTAAAACAAAATAAAAATGTCCATGTTTGTACATGTATATACAATTAAGTTTATGTCTATGATAAATATAAGCAGTCGTTAACACATTAACCGTGATTTACATAACGATATTTACATAACGTTAATAATACAAATATGATATATATATATTTAGAATATATATATATATATATATATTTAGAGATCCATTTCAATAATTACATACAAAACTTTAAAACATTTATGTATGTATAATGCTGATATTTGATAAAGTTGTTGAAATTAAAACAACACCATGTGTGGTTAATCATATCAAAAAATAAATAATATTTGGTGGAAATAAAATATGTTTTGTATACATGTATATGGAATCTCTGTCCAAAGTTGCAGTTCCTTAAAGTGATTGTAAAGAACGATAACTCTGGATAGAGATTGGTAAAAGGTATACGTGATAATAATAATATATATGTACCACTACGCTAGCACCTATCACCCTTTTGCACTATTCGGACAACGAGCGCATAACCAAAAGTGCTAAGTAATGCACTACCAAGGAGCACGATTCATATTATAGATAAAAATAAGGGTAAATATATGAACGGCTTAAGTAGATTTGTTAACTTCACTCAACAAGTGAAAAAAAGTGAAAGCATAAGGCGAAAGTGGACATAACACACATTAGATGGACTTTGGCAGTGTGCATAACACACAATAAATGGACTTGGGCAGTGGGCGTAACACACTAAAGATGGACTTGGGCAGTGGGCGTAACACATAATAAGTGGACTTTGGCAGTGACCGGCGGAACACACTGTAGGTGGACATTGGTAGTAGGCATAACACACTGTAGGTGGACTTCGGCAGTGTGTATAACACACTGTAGGTGGACTTTGGCAGTGGGCGTAACACACAATAAATGGACTTTGGCAGCTGGCGTAACACACAATAGATGGTATAATGTCAGTGTGCATAACACACTGTAAGTGGACTTTGGTAGTGGGCGTAACACACTAAAGATGGACTTTGGCAGTGTGCATAACACACTATAGATGGACTTTGACAGTATGCATAACACACTGTAGGTGGACTTTGGCAGTGGGCGTAACACACAATAGATGGACTTGGGCAGTGGGCGTAACACATAATAAGTGGACTTTGGCAGTGACTTGGGGAACACACTTTAGGTGGACTTTGGTACTGGGCGTAGCACACTATAGATGGACTTTGGCAGTGGGCGTAACACACAATAGATGGACTTGGGCAGTGGGCGTAACACATAATAAGTGGACTTTGGCAGTGACTGGCGGAACACACTGTAAGTGGATTTTGGCAGTGGGCGAAACACACCATAGGTGGACTTCGGTAGTGGGCGAACACACTATAATCGAACTTCGGTTGTGGGCGCACACACTGTAGGTGAACTTTGGCAGTGTGCATAACACACTGTAGGTGGACTTTGGCAGTGGGCGTAACACACTATTGTCGGACTTCGGCAGTAGGCGTAACACACTATAGATGGACTTTGGCAGTGGGCGAACACACTATAGATGGACTTTGCCTGTAGGCGTAACACACTGTAGGTTGACTTTGGCAATGGGCGTAACACACTATTAGATGGACTTTGGTAGTGGGCGAAACACACTGTAGGTGGACTTTGGCAGTGGGTGTTACACACTTTTGTCGGACTTCGGCAGTGGGCGTAACACACTATAGGTGGATTTTTGCAGTGGGCGTAAAATACTGTAGGTGGATTTGGGTAGTGGACATAACACGTTATAGGTGGACTTTGGCAGTGGTTGTAACACACTATTGTCGGACTTCGGCAGTAGGCGTAACACACTATATATGGACTTTGGTAGTGGGCGTAAAACACTGTAGGTGGACTTTGGCAGTAGGCGTAACACACTATAGATGGACTTTGGTAGTGGGCGTAAAACACTGTAGGTGGACTTTGGCAGTTGGCGTAACACACTATAGATGGACTTTGCCTGTAGGCGTAACACACTGTAGGTTGACTTTGGCAATGGGCGTAACACACTATTAGATGGACTTTGGTAGTGGGCGTAACACACTATAGATGGATTTTGGTAGTGGGCGTAAAACACTGTAGGCAGACTTTGGCAATGGGCGTAACACACTATTAGATGAACTTTGGTAGTGGGCGTAAAACACTGTAGGTGGACTTTGGCAGTAGGCGTAACACACTATAGATGGTCTTTGGTAGTGGGCGTAAAACACTGTAGGTAGTCTTTGGCAGTGGGCGTAACACACTATAGGTGGACTTTGGTAGTAGCCGTAATACACTATAGTCGAACTTTAGTAGTGTGCATAACACACTGTAGGTGGACTTTGGCAGTGGGCGTAACACACAATAGATGGACTTGGGCAGTAGGCGTAACACATAATAAGTGGACTTTGGCAGTGACCGGCGGAACACACTGTAGGTGGACTTTGGTACTTGGCGTAGCACACTATAGATGGACTTTGGCAGTGGGCGTAACGCACAATTGATGGACTTGGGCAGTGGGCGTAACACATAAAAGATGGACTTTGGCAGTGACCGGCGGAACACACTGTAAGTGGATTTTGGCAGTGGGCGAAACACACCATAGGTGGACTTCGGTTGTGGGCGAACACACTATAATCGAACTTCGGTTGTGGGCGCACACATTGTAGGTGAACTTTGGCAGTGGGCGTAACACACAATAGGTAGATTTTTGCAGTGAGTCAACACACTATAGAAGGACTTTGGCAGTAGGCGTAACACACTGTAGGTGGACTTTGGCAGTGGGCGTAACACGCTATTGTCGGACTTCGGCAGTAGGCGTAACACACTATTAGATGGACTTTGGTAGTGGGCGTAACACACTGTATGTGGACTTTGGCAGTGGTTGTTACACACTTTTGTCGGACTTCGGCAGTAGGCGTAACACACTATAGATGGACTTTGGCAGTAGGCGTAACCCACTGTAGGTGGACTTTGGAAGTGGGCGTAACACACTATTGTCGGACTTCGGCAGTAGGCGTAACACACTATAGATGGACTTTGGCAGTAGGCGTAACCCACTGTAGGTGGACTTTGGAAGTGGGCGTAACACACTATTGTCGGACTTCGGCAGCAGGCGTAACACACTATTAGATGGACTTTGGTAGTGGGCGTAACACACTGTAGGTGGACTTTGGCAGTGGTTGTTACACACTTTTGTCGGACTTCGGCAGTAGGCGTAACACACTATAGATGGACTTTGGTAGTGGGCGTAAAACAATGTAGGCGGACTTTGGCAGTGGACATAACACACTGTAGGTGGATTTTTGCAGTTGGTGTAACACACTATAGGTGGACTTTGGCAGTGGGTACAAATCAAACTAGTAAGGTAGAACTGTAAAACGAAAAATAGAACGATAAGCTTAATAGGCGGAGTCATCAGAATGCATTGTTTTGCAAAGACATGCTAAATGTGAAAGTGGGGTAGATATTTATATCACGTCATGTGTATTTTTTTTGTTTTATGAATTTCAGACATGTACGTCAACGAGGTCAAGGCTGGTATGACGTCATCAGGTCAGGATAACGAGCCAACCGTTGTTAAGGAAACAGTGGCTTCAGCTTTAGTGGACGGCAACAATGTTCTTGGTAGGTGACCAGAGTACTACTTAAATACTGTGTACATCCTGGTCACATTAAGTATATATAGGTTCGGATGTTTAAATATTAATCAAACATAACGAAATGGACATGCTATTTCATGAGCACACACATTGGGATTTGTGTTGATACAATATTTTTTTTGTGGTAAGAAATGAACCGTTAGTATCCTACGGAAATGTTTCTCGTTTATCCTAGTCAAGAACTAGTAGTTTTGTACTGATTTGTTTTTTATCCCCCGCTTTCACCGAAACGGGGGGTATTCATTTGGGTTTGTCATTCTGTCTGTTTGTCTGTCACGCTTCGTTTCCGTCCAATAACTACAACAGATGTAAACCGACTTTCTTCAAACTTGGTCCCAGGGTTAAATGCCTTAAGGGCTCGGCCAAGTTCGATGACCACTTTCAGTGGCCTCCATTTGGCGGAGTTATGACCCCTTGAATAACGAAAAACGTCATTATCTGCTGCGTTTCGTTTCCATGCAATAACTACAACAAATATTAACCAATTTTCTTCAAACTTTGTCACAGGGTTGAATGCCCGAATGGCTCGGCTAAGTTCGATGACCACTCTCAGAGAACTTTATTTAGACGAGTAATGGCCCCTTGAATAACGAAAAACGTCATTATCTGCCGTTTCTGTTCATTTACTCTCGCAAATATGATCCGAGTGTCTTCAAACTTAGTAACATGGTTCAATGCATTAAGGGTTCGGCCAAGTTTGACAACCACTTTTATCGGACTCCATTTGGCAGAGTTATGGCCCCTCGATTAAGTAAAAACGTCATTATCTGCAGTTTCCGCTTAATAACTCTAGCAAATATGAGCCGAATTCCTTCAAACTTGATAACAATGTTTGTGTTCCTCTGCCTTTCCACCCATCTCGGCACTCTTTGTTTTTCATGTGATAATTCCTGTAGATATTGTTAAGATGTTTCAACCAAATTCCTTATGCACATCAAAATCATGCTAACTTTGCCAAACGATGTGATTTGTGCATATTTACGGATAATCAATGAGGTATAGGTTTGATTTTTCTTCGAGTTTCAAGCTATACATTATGTCTCAACATCACGATACTCACATGTTTAAACCTAACCTCAATAATGTTAACCTTCAATATGTCCTTGCAAAGCGGGAGATATACATTCCACGAATTTGCTTGTTATGTTTACTTCACGGACTGACAATTTCCGTCTAAATGTATCGTACAGGTATTTTTATCCATTACATCATATACTACGATATAAATCACTGTCAATACCGGACGTATACGCTGCCGTGTTCGGTGGTTTTGCAATGTTGCATGTAAAATGTATGCATTTTACAAAGCATCCATCAACTACTGGGGTTTTTTTGTGCGGTAAACTGAGTTAAGTAATTAGAACATTGATGTTTTGTCTAGACTCGTGAAGGAACCATGTTAGGGGCTGCGCGTCCGTGTAGGCGGTAGAATGCGGCTCGTATTTTACTGCAGTGAAACAATAGCCTTACGGAAAACAGGTCACTGAACGTTTGAAGAAATAAACAAGTGGTGGATAACTATATATTTACATACTATCATTTAATGTTGTCCCTGAGGCTTCCCCTTGAAAGTATGAGACAATCAACTTTGCTGGCTCGGGGAATATAATTGCTAACGTAACATTTAAGACGGTTACTTTAAACAATTGTGTATCTCATCGTTTTGTCTTCTCTCCCTTTGCTCACCTGTCCCAAGGCCAAGGTATTTTCCGCTACTACAGATCTAGCAAGCTAATGTTAAGCAGGATTGGTTCAAATGATCCGTTTGTGTCCAGACTGTTTGAAATTTTGGTGGTTGCCTTGATCACATATTGGGTTGAACATTTTCGGTCGGGCCAGTGATAAACGAACCTCATATGAATAATGCTCGGATGTTTAGCAGAAATATTTTCACTGCTTGAATATTTTAGATAAGATAGGACAAAATGAACGTTTAGAGACTATGAGCTTGAGCGTATAACGCTTGTCACTGGTACATGTACATATAGGTGGCTATGTCTATCTCAGACTCGGACCTGTTTATTGTCCGATTTGAGACATTAGGTAGAAATGTCCTGAGTCGCTGACCATTGTTTTTGTGATTCCATTCATTACAGTTTGTATTTTATCGTGTTTAATATTAATATGTTTGATCAACAGGACCTGTGGTGGGAAAGTTCTGTATGGACCTAGCCTTGAAGAAAGCTAAGGAGGCAGGGATAGGTTGGGTGTCCGCTCGAGGTATAGTGTATTGATCACGTGCCTGGTGACTCTTAGTTTCAATTAAAACATATTGTATTTATAGTATATTGATCACGTGCCTGGTGACTCTTAGTTGCAATTAAAACCTATTTTATTTATAGTATATTGATCACGTGCCTGGTGACTCTTAGTTTCAATTAAAACACATTTTATTTATAGTATATTGATCACGTGCCTGGTGACTCTTAGTTTCAATTAAAACACATTTTATTGTAAACAATTGAAAATTGATTGATCACAACTTATTACAACTTGCTTTAGCCCTTTCCAAAATACATATCAACACATAAACATATTTCACTTGACATATATATCCGGTCGATGACTCATAAGAAAAACGAGTTGGGGGATATTTTGACTCTATTTAACGCCATGGTACTTATGTACATAGACTCATCATGTTGTCCTCAAGGTTGTTTGTCAGCCATGTTTGTTCGGTTCGAGTTTTCTGGAAAAAAACCCACTCATTCTTGATAAACGTGATTGTTTTTTTGTTTTTTAAAATTAGGCTATTCTTGTAATAAGTAATTTATTAAATAAACATGTGTGCCTTTATTTGACATCGCTGATAATGCTATACTGCAGGGACATACCTGTAAGCTACGAGCACTCAAGAAAATATTCGTCTGCACAATACAATCATGCTGTCAACTACCTACGCTCAGTAATATAACTGTATCATTCTCTCATCCATATCTGTGTCAACTGCTCAGTCCTATTCAGGTATCTACCGCTCTCAAAAATATACATAGTTTGTCGTGTTAACATCTCGACCGTACATATACGATCTACTTGCCAATATTTAAGGATTAACTTTCTATTTAGTTTAGGTTATCACCCGATAACCTAAACTAAATAGAAAGTTAATCCTTATAGTCATAGTATATTTCTTTAATATTACCTGTTTCGTGTTTTTCCGTTTGAAAGTTTCTCGAAACAATCACCCGAACAACAAATGTTAACCTTTTACATATTTTGATATGATATGCATAGTAACCCGTTAACATGTATTGAAAACAAGTGAGAAAACCTACATGTACCATCAAGGTTCACCTTAAAATGTGTTCTTTAAACCGGACTATATTCCGCGGAAGGATTACAAATAATCCACGCAAGCCCGATGTGTGATACGGTTACGCTTCGTCGGAATCATGTTGGTTGATATTGAAGTTGAAGGAGTCGGACTGAATTGAAGAAAAAACCCAACGCATTTGAAATGGCAGTTTGTGTGGGAGACCAGTCAATGTCGGAATCACTTTGAGTGGGACGCGTGATTGTGCTAGATTTAGCGATAACGTCAAAGTTCCCACGAGGAACAATCGCCATATTGCCGTCACTACGTACGCGCACAAGGTATAACCGCACGAGAATGTCTGTCGTGATCGCAAAAAGCTCAACCATAAATATATTTAGTTGTTTCTGTTCCACAAAACCTGTTTGTCAGTCAACTTCGTGCAGGACCCAGTTGTTCAAAAGGTGGTAAGCTTAAATGACGTTTTTCAACCTCTAATAATTTTGCCAATATATAAGGTAAAACATCGCAATTTTGCATGTACATTCACTCAACTGAATATTTGATATCTAGAAAGTTGTAACTAATTGAAAGATTGAGTCATAAAGATACACAAAAATTAAGATTTGCGCTAATCACTGATTAAGCTGATCACCTTTTGAGCAACTGGGTCCAGGAAACAAATTGGATCATACACACAAACATATTAGTACACAATAGAGTACGTGTAGATGTAGCATACATTTAAATCGCATCTACCTTGCTGAACGCTTTCAATCCTTTATCCCCATTTATCGACTGGCTTTTCTGTTTCCTTCCGTAACGACTTTCTATCTCTTCTAGGTTGTATATTAGGTATTATACAGTATTCGTACTGTCAGCTTTGACTGGAGTTTATATAATCATAGCAACAAGTTAAAAATTCTATACACATTTCCTTTATGAACGAAAGACTAGTTCAACTGATTACTATTATCATTTTGTTTCAAAACTATTCAATACAAATTTGCATTCCTTTTTTTTTTTTTTTTTTTTTTTTTGTCAGGATCTAATCATTTCGGCATCGCTGGTTGGTATACTATACGTGCAATGGAACAAGGGATGCTGGTAAGGTTTGTCACCATCCTATAATTTTGTAATACGGAAAGTCAACTCAAATAGTGTTATCCAACAAAACCATACAAGTGTACTAAATGCTCGGCTGTATACGTTATGCAATCGACATATGTAAAATATAGCACGACATATACTGGGCCATATGAAACACTTGTTTATGTTTTTTTTTATTTTGGCGAATTCTTCAATATGTTCAATTAGACTTCTTTCCATGCGCAGATAAATATGAAGATATAAAGATATATATACATATGATTTTGTTTTGGTATAAAACTTGCAAACGGGTTTTCATGCATATATTACACCCGACTTTGGTTTTATCAACAGGGGATGGCCTTCACCAACACCTCTCCACTAATGGTACCGACAAGAGCCAAGGAGGTGAGATTTTATCTTCTTTATGACAAGAACTTTCCCTGTCAGGTACATATTATTTCTCCCGATTCCATACTTTTTTTTGTGTCGCCTGCTGTGCGAGGCTACATCTAGGTATTACTTTATCAGTGTCGGTTGCGTCGTCCGAAACAAGGTTTCCGTGCGATAACTTGCATTCCCTTGGATTGATTAAACTCATTCTTGCTACATATATTCCTTATCAATATAGCTCGTACGAGTTCGCATTTCAAAAAATTGCGTTCATTTTTTATCGAGTTATGCCCCTTTTATTGCAAAATAAGGGCGTTGTGTAGTAAATGCAAGAACTTTTTTTTAATCAATTCCTTTCAAATTTTGTATGGTAATGCTAAAAACAATAATGTTTAACACATTATAAGGTTTTTTTTGTCGAGTTTCAACTTTCCGCGTTTTGGTATATCACACTTGACCTAGCGACGCTGTTTTTGCCGTTAGTTTTTGCTTGTTTACGCGATGACTCAAACAATTGGCCTTCAGTTTTTGGCAAACTTTAATTTGTTAGATGTTTCATTACCTGAATACTTTGGATGAGGTCTTAAACCGTGATATTTAAATGCTATTCGGCAGAGTTTTGTCCCTTTATCATTGCGGGGCTATGCTCCTTTCATTACCAAGAAAGGCCATTGTTTAGTAAATGCAAGAACTTTTTTTTAATCAATTCCTTTAAAATTTTGTACGGTAGTGCTAGAAGCTATAATGTTTAACATATATTACGGGTTTTTATGTCAAGTAACAACTTTCCGCGTTTTGGCGTATCACACTTGACAAAGTAACACTGTACTTCTTTTTTCGCCGTAAACTTTTCCTTATTTACACGATAACTCAAACAATTGTTCTCCAATTTTGTGTCGCCTGCACAAAAGGTTCGAAGGTCAAAGGTCAAGATCACCGTTACTATAAATAGAAAAACTGTTTCTGTGCAATAACTTGAGTCCTTAGGGTTGATTGGGTTCAATCTTCATGTGGCGATTCCTTACTAAAAATGCTTGCTTTGGATTGCTTTCTCGTTAGAGTTGCCGACTCAGGCGACGACACAGCCTCTTCTGTGGAATTCTTGTTTTACCTCTGTATGTCTCTATTCAATCGTTTGCCCGTACGGTTTCCGCGGTTAAATTAAATAAAATGTCGTGTTTCCTGTCTGCTGCAGTCAACGAAGCATTGTTGTACATGATGAAAACTATTTCACTTGTGTTTGAAAAAAAAAATGTCGCGCCATAGCTGAATTGTTTGAGACAAGCAGCGTACACCATCCTGCAAATTTACACTATTCCGTTTGTATGCTGTCCCTTCTTAAACAAACTGAACACGTTGTGACCGAAATCATATGACACCTGAGAGCTTGATATTTTATGGTTAACTGATTTTTCATTTGTGGACATTACACGAACATTAATACGAAGATGGGTGGAATAATAAAAAAAACATAATGTTTGGAAAATATGAAAGATCGCCTGTTGTAATATGGTTGAAGTGTCTTGTCCTGCTCTTATAGGACTTTTGATATCACAGGAGTTGTAATTTCTTTGTTTTCGTTACATGCATGATATTCTAGTATCTTTCTTCATCGGGTGTTTCTTGTATTTCAGCCCACATTGGGAACCAACCCTATTAGTTTGGCTGCGCCAGGTAACGACGGCGATGGCATGGTGTTGGACATGGCCACGACCAGCGTGGCTCTTGGAAAGGTGAGGGGTTTTAAGCGTCTACCCAATATTTGATTACTTTTGAGGCCAAAACCTATTTCTGTTCACAAAGTCTAAAGAAGATATCACTTAAACAATTCCGAATATGTCGATAGTCACAAAGAATATTATGCACTAACATTTGATTATTTGTGGAGTTGACATTCGCATTATGGCTGTGTTTGATTGGATTGTTCACAGATAGAACTACAAGAGAGGAAGGGTGAACCTATGCCGTCAGGATGGGCGATAGATGGAACAGGAAAGGTAACTTTATGTTTTCATTACTTTATAACTTTTTTTTTCACAACTCTTTTGAACATATAATTAACGTTTTTGCGAAATAAGAAGTATGGTCATATTTCCATAGGAACCGTTACTAAGCTCTTAGCTAATATATCAGTCCTTATCAAATGAAATAGAATAGTGAGTGTCTTATTTGATTGATGACTTGTTATGAGGATGTCATGGTCTGTATCCACAGCAAGATTGTTCTAAAATGGTCCCTTTGTGAATACAGTTCATTACATTTAACAGGAAACACACGACCCGAGTCAGTACGCCGGTCTCCTTCCACTGGGTGGAACAGAGCAGAGCAGTAAGTAGGCCATACACAGGGAAAATTAATAACAATTTAGCTTAACAAATCAGAGTAAACGATAATAATTCAGTTAACTTCATTACAAGCTACAATACTATTTATATTATGTCACCCTGAAGAAAAGCGATTTGATTTGACATATTTGTGTCTGAAAATCCAAGCAAAAATTGTTAATTTTTCACTTGAAGCGGAGAAATTCTACTTGTTTGATTTACAGCGTTTAGAGATAAGAAGTCTGCAATGCAGTATATACCAATTGAACATGGTATGGTTGCTCGAAGGTGAGGAATAATCAAAGATTTCTGCTGAAGAACACTGTACATGGCTATGCTTCACCTGTCTACATTGTCGTTGTTTAGGTGGATATAAGGGGTACGGACTTGCGATGCTTGTGGAAGTATTCTGTGGTATTTTATCTGGAGCAGCGTTTGGCCCCAATGTCCGCAGTTGGAAGGAATTTAACAGGAAGGCCAATTTGGTTTGTATAGCACGTTACAATATTGAGAAGTGCTTAATTTGTTTGCAACATGCAGTGTTGTCTATTTCGATTTGACTGCAATTCTGTTCAAAATTATAAGACAATAACTCAGAATAGAATGCAGTTTAATGCTTAAAACTGAAAATAACATAATTTAAATACAATTCGTGCATTTATATGCACCCAGTATTCATGGTGTATGCGTGTGTGTTTGTTTTGGGGGATGGGGTTAGGCCATTTACGTACCTATTCGCTGTAACTCTACCAGTGATTTCCTAAACGGATTTACATCAGTCTTTGTACAATGGTCATGCACGGGCACACCAGGAGTGAGTTACTCTTTCAGGATCCCAAGGTTAATGCAAGTGTCATCAGTGCTATTTATGGAAAGTTGTCCACCGAAGCAGTCATCAATGCAGCAGCTTTACTTAATTATATATTTTGATGGAAAAGACTTCATTAACATACAAAGGTCAGATAATGAGAATAATTCCAATAAGTTTTGATTTCAGGAACCAAAGATTTAGGTTAGGGTTGCCGTCAGTATTTATAAAAAAAACACCACCAACATACGACAGTGAGCGCGGACGACCAGGTCTAAACGATATTTTCTAGTTTAAATCATAAGAACAGCGTTTGCCATAAGATGGAGTAGTGTCAACTGTTATCATAAGTTTGTCTACAGTTCGGCAAAGAGACTCGTAGTGTCTACAGTTCGGCAATGTGACTCGTAGTGTCTACAGTTCGGCAATGTGACTCGTAGCTGTTTAATTATAGTAGCGTTCTCAAGGAAATTGATAAATCAAAGAATGGAAAAAACCATTGAATGCCATTTAAATAGGAGAATGATAAAAAGATACATTACAAAGAGTATGCCAAACGTCTTATTGCAGGGCCAGTGTTTCATTGCCATAGATCCACAGGCTTTTGCAGACGGCTTTCCCCAGAGAATGAGTTCCTTGATAGACCATTGTCGAGGCCTTGACACGGTAATGCAGTAAGCCTATCATGAAGTGTAAACCTGTGAAATGCATTGATTATGACGCTTTTAATTGGATCAAGAACAGTTGAAATACATAATATCTTGATATCTTTTGCTTTTTAACAACATTTGTGTTTTTCATATACATGGAAATGTAATGTCATTTTAAAAATATATAAACGGAGTTTTCCTAAATAACCGATTTGGAAAGTTTGCTATATATGTGTCGTTTATAATGGTATTGTTATATTTGTTGACAGGCTGAGGGTGAGACGGAAGTACTTGTACCCGGAGACCCAGAGAGAAAACACATGCAGGAATGTGATGGACTAGGAGGTATTCCTTATCATCCAAATCAAATCAAATTCGCCGTAAGTATTTATCCTAGTTTTACAATGTTTCAACACAGGCCAACCCGGACGTTATACGATTATTGCTAAATCTTTATCTTTGTAAATGGTTACTGTTATTTGCTCACTAAATAGCCGCCAATAACTTAACTTAGTAGATTAAGTAGTTTTGCTTGTGCACTGCATACGTATTGCATAACGTAAAAAACCCGATTGAAGTCTAGAGATCTCCCTTTTTCTACCTCATTGTGTTTCATTTCCACTGTCCCCATCTTGTCTTGTTTTACCCTATAGGGTGCTGAGTAAACTTTAGTATTTATTTCTTTGCTTAATGATATTGAATGCATAAGTTGGGTGACATATCATACTTGGTAATGTTATTGTGTGCGTGAACTCGACTTATATGGAAAACTATTTTTTTCAACGGCCATGGGTATGAAGGTTTTGACATACTGAAACAATTACTATGAAGATTTGTGAATTTGAAATAATGAAATATTTGTAAACATTCAGATGTTGTCTTCGGTTAATCTATAAGGATCCATGCACCATGCGACAAATACAATTATGCATTCATATGGAGGTAGCGTTATCTGTAGACAGATTGCTTATAAGCATTTCGGCATGATCTTCACACAGTTTTATAGACTGACTGTTTATCTGCAAACCGACCATTTCATGCAATGGCAAACGGTAGACGTTGAATTAACGGCTAATGTCGAAATAGAAAGGATGTAGATTACATACAGTTAGGTACAAAAAACAGCGGTCTCTTTTTATTTAGTGTTCAGCATGTATTTGCTATGCTAGAACCGTGAGATATAAGACAATACATGACCTACCGTTAGGGTTTCCTTCATTTCCGTAATGTCCCTTTTTATAATACTTACGATCTCTATCATTGCTCTTTAAAGCCACTTTCTGCTTTGATTGGGGTTTATTGGGAACCTCTTTTTAGCCAAAGCCAGAATAGTTTGACTAGTTGAGGAGTCAAATGTCAGAATAATGTGCAAGGAAACGAAAAGACGACACCAAGTTCATGTGACATTAAATGTTCCGAAGAAGTAAACAACAAACAAAAAGAAGATCGTTTAACATGATACTACTAGGGTCATACTACCTGTGCATTGAATAAAATGATGTTATTGATATAAATAAATAATAAATATATAACATTTGATATAGCGCCCTATCTAGCTAACATAAGCCACTCTAAAGCGCTTTACAGTACATAGATATGCAATTTTATACAGTCAATATAATGAGCATATATATTAATCAATACAATATTGAGGAATTCGCAGGAGCTGCCTCATCAGGCGCTGACTACTAGTCCTATGCCACCTGGCTTATATCTCCCTATGTGTGTATGCCTGTGTGTGTGCTGGAGATGTATTGTGTTCTGTTTTTAATGGGACCGTGCTTCCAACAGTATCATTTATAGTGCCACCTCACTTGAATGCTACAGCACAGATACCGCAACACCCACCCCAGACCATTTTATACTCCACCTGGGTTGTTGGAGTTGTGTGGGCAGGAGAAAAACACTTTCTCGGAATATTCCATGTGCACGATATGCTGCTGTTATAATCAGTATTGTTGTTAAAGTTGAGTTCTTCGAAAATTTACACCCTGACCTTGATTCAGTTTTAAGCGAATGTATGCTTATGCCCTTTTTCCGAAGACTTTGAAAAAATGAATTTATACGCGTTCTGTTTTTGTATTTGAAGATAGTAATTATATAAGTGACTTCCTTCAGAATAGATTTTTCACTGTGTCCTTTGTTCAGTAGATATTGACCAAGCGTTATCAATGTATTGCATGTGTTTATTTTGTCGTTTCTATGTTCAATGGTGTCTCTAGATGCCCATCTCTCTCTCTGTTTTAAAATTATTTACTCGATATATTTTGTCAAAACCTCCAGAGAACGTATGAGCAAAACCGTCGAAGACTTTATTTACTTTTACTTCTCAATACTTTTTTTTCCAGAATGAGTTAGCAGACAGGCTCGGAGTCAAAGCGTTTGAAGTAAAGTGATTCTTAATACCGGACCAATGATCATATGGGAATACCTGTACGTGTGTAAGACTGAGCTGTGAGAGTACCTGTATATTGTACTGATTTTATAGATTTATAAAACTTATGGTGCCTATATATAATGTAGATAAGGGCTGGCATTTATTTTACTTTTTGTTGTTACACTGGTGTTGTGCCTTCTTTGTTATATCTTGCCAGTAAACTTATTGATATATGTTTTATACCGTTTATCAGAAGCTGTATATTTCTATTGGGGCAGTATTAAAACCGGTGAAACATATACTATGCGTTATTTTGATATGGCATGCTTTACAGTAAAACTGTCTTACATGCTCACAAATACATTTTTAGGTCACCTGAAAAGCTCAGGTGACCTATTCTAATCGCTTTCCGTCCGTCGTCGTCCGTCGTCGTCCGTGTCCGTCGTGCGTAAACGTTTTACATTTTCAACTTCTTCTCAAGAACCAGTGGACTGATTTTTTTCAAACTTGGTCAGAATCCTTGGTAGATGAGGCTACACAATTGTAAAATAGAGATTCCTACCCCAACCCTTGGGGCCAGGGCGGGGCCCCCAAGGGAAAATTATCCAATATTTCAAAAATCTTCTCCAGACTCAGAGGTACTACAGTCATTTTCTCTGCATGGAAAGAAAGATCATCAGGGGCTTTACTTAAATTGTAAATTTCAGGACCCCCGAGCTATCCGTTCTCCCTTGGGGAGGGAGTAAAGTTTACTACAGTTTATATAGGGAAATAACACGTTGGGGTATATTTTGACAACATTCTATAGGAAATTATTTTTACTTGGTGAGAATTATCCTTGTAGGCAGATGGTTTCAAATTGTAAAATTGGGATTCCTACCCCAACCCTAGGGGCCAGGGCGGGGCCCCAAAAGGAAAATTAACCAATATTTCCAAAATTTTCTCCTCCAGACTCGGAGGCACTACATCCATTTTCTCTGCATGGAAAGAAAATCATCAGGGGCTTTATTTAAATAATAAATTTCAGGACCCCCGAGCTATCCGTTCTCCCTTGGGGAGGGGGTAAAGTTTACTATAGTTTATATAGGGAAATAACACTTTTGGGTATATTTTGTCCATTTTCAACAGAAAATTACTCAAACTTAGTCAGAATAATCTTTGGTGAATGAGAGTATTACTTTGTAAAATTGGGATTCCTGCCCCATCCCCAGTGGCTAGGGCAGGGCCCCAAAGGGAACATTTACCAATATTTTCAAATTCTTATCCTTTGATGACATGACAAGAATTGTAGTTCACTTAGTTTACATGCTGATTTCCACATCACATCTAAACAATAAAATAAAGCTACCAGTACATATAATATAACTCAGGTGACCGATAAGCCCTTGGTGCTCTTGTTAAATCTTTTTACATATCGAAGATGTATACTTTTATTATTTTCATGATATTATTTATATTTAGCTGTAACGCTTATACGTGTATCATGCTGTTGAAAACGTATCGAGGGCATCATGTTATGACGCAAAAGTAACTTGATATATATCATTATTGCTCGTTTGTCTTTATCAAAATGATAAAAGGCAAAAACGTCATCTTTTCTGAAAAAAAGTATTTTTATCTTGAATATATATAATAGGGATATATATGCGATTTAGATGCGCCTTGTGTTTGATTTGTTAATCATTAAGATAATGTGTGTCGGCATGATCCTGCTGTAGCGTCTCTCTACAAAGCTCTGTTTTTGTGTTAGTAGGTTTATGTGTCTGTTATGTATGTACGTACATATATGATAAACGACAAACACACACACGACAAAAGACACATCCACAAACATATTGCACACCTGTTACACTTCAATGTTACAATGTCTGAAACCACTAAGCTAGACATTTGGTATTTTTCACCTCATTGTAAATAGAACGAAATATGCTTAGGCTTATTTTCAAAGTAAGGAGAACCCGTAAAGAAGTAAGAAAATATACTGAAATATGGCTGACCTTCCGTCCGTTCATAGATTGTATCATGCCGGACAAGTCCTAAAGTTTCATACGAATTTCGCAAAATTGTCTCAATCTAAAGCTGTGCACATGTAGTATATTTTATGGCTACGTTTGTTTATGAAGTTCCGCCTCCTTTATGACATAATTAGCAACCTCTTGTCTGGACAACTCCTACTCTTTTCATTCGAGTTTCTTGAATTTTATCAGATACAATTACCATTGTTATGCGTCTGCGTAAATACATTTTTTCATTAAATTATGTTTTAAATTCATTTGTTGTAGTTACATACGTATGCTCCTTTAAAAAAATTCTTTGCTAAGTATTATTTGCTCTAATTGACATCTACAGTATGTCCGAAATGATGATCATCAAATCTTTTGAAAAACGTATAAGACAGTTGTTACACTTGGTCGTTACCAAGTGTAACTATACGTTGCAGTTGGTTTATTTTAGTAGTTTTCTTTTGAGAAAACGTAGTTTATTATCAGAAAGTATTAGTGCTGGTATATTTGTTATACGGATTTTGAATACTCTAATCTCTCTGATGTTATATGCCCCAGTCTTACTGTACCAGGAATTAAAGTAATCTTCAAAGTGCAACAGATCTAGCACATTCATGACCTTAATGGGGGACATATTTTACTCGGTATATTTTTTAAACAAAGTTGAATAGAAACATCAGCGTCAACAAAAATATACAAAAACAAGAAAATTCTAAGTGTTAACATAAACATAGTTCGAACTAAAAACTGATAAAACGAGGGCAAAATATGAATAAATGAAACGATTTACATGGAAACCTTTGTTTAAGTACCAGGAAAAACCCCAGGTGTTCCTGAAGGATTAGCGTCTTCTGACTCAATATTTTAAAGCATGACGATATGAAATGATGATAAAATACAATAAAGAGGAATATTGAGGGTCAATAACGATCTCGGACACAACAAATATATCTATCTTTAGGGTAGTGCTGGTAAGACACAACGAACAATGTTATATTAACGGTAGTTATTGTCAGTCACAACGAACAATGTTATATTTACGGTAGTTTTTGTCAGTCACAATGAACAATGTTATACAAATGGTAGTTATTGTCAGACACAATGAACAATGTTATATTAACGGTAGTTATTGTCAGACATAATGAACAATGTTATATAAACGGTAGTTATTGACAGACACAATGAACAATGTTATACAAATGGTAGTTATTGACAGACACAATGAACAATGTTATATAAATGGTAGTTATTGACAGACACAATGAACAATGTTATACAAATGGTAGTTATTGACAGACACAATGAACAATGTTATATAAACGGTAGTTTTTGTCAAATACAATGAACAATGTCATATAAATGGTAGTTATTGACAGACACAATGAACAATGTTATATAAATGGTAGTTATTGACAGACACAATGAACAATGTTATACAAATGGTAGTTATTGACAGACACAATGAACAATGTTATATAAACGGTAGTTTTTGTCAAATACAATGAACAATGTCATATAAATGGTAGTTATTGACAGACACAATGAACAATGTTATATAAATGGTAGTTATTGACAGACACAATGAACAATGTTATACAAATGGTAGTTATTGACAGACACAATGAACAATGTTATATAAACGGTAGTTTTTGTCAAATACAATGAACAATGTCATATAAACGGTAGTTTTTGTCAGACACGATGAACAATGCTATATTAACTGTAGTTATTGTCAGACACAACGAACAATGCTATATTAACTGTAGTTATTGTCAGACACAACGAACAATGCTATATTAACGGTTGTTATTGTCAGACACAACGAACAATGTTATACTAATGGTAGTTATAGTCAGAAATAACGAACAATGTTATATTAATGGTAATTTTCTCAGACACAACGGACAATAAGTTTCTTTCTGTGTGTACCACACTTCTCTATCATTTATTTTCAAGTCTTTATTGACAACTTCAACGTTTGTCATTCCTTTCGAAACCATACACGTATGTATGTGACATTTACACGTACCACATTGCACGCATTGTATACGCCAATTTAACGGTATTGATCATATCTTATGTTAAGCCTGTTTAATGGAAACTAGTTATTCGGTAAACTACCTATTAAGATATATTTCGAGTAGGAAGTACATGTAGCACGCTCACATTTAATCTGCATAGAACAAAAATGTTTTATGTAACTTATTTTTATTTTCCTTTAAAATAACTACGATACACAAATGTAATTTATATGGCTACCCATCATTGTATCCAGTTACTTTGGACGCATGATATTTCCATTGATGAGTAATGTTGTTTCAGGTAAATACACTCTTAACATAGCTTGTTTGTGTAACATAGACAATCATAAACAAGTAGAACTACAAATTGTAGAGAGAAAACAAACTTATGCTATATTGGCTGCGGTCTAGAACCGTTTGATCGTATATCTACTTCAGTAACAACGTTTGCTTGTTCGTAGTTCATTATAGTGCCTTAACGAATGGGAACTAATATGATTTTTTTTTTTTATTCCTTTGTCCTTTGACTACATGAATCAGTTAACCGTCTATTTTGGAATGCTTCATACTTTACATTTGACTTTTTAATACTAAAACATATTTTAAGTGTAGAATACTTGATACTCAACCTTAACTTGAAATAAGAAGAGGAAAGCATATACAAAATAACCGGAAGCAAGTGAAATTCGCTGTCTATTTTGATGCACTGCCTACGTGTAAGCTGATGAAACGTATTCTGTCAAGCTGCGCCCGTTTCCTGACGTATCTCTGGGAAGAATTTGTACCAGTGAGGAAAATTGCTGCCCTAAGGAGATCTGTATTACACACACTCTATCGATTTTATGGTGTTTATCAGACGATTTTAACACACGAGGTGTTCTACTGCCATGCTTATGGTTTTAACTGTCAAACTGTTCCGACAGCATTTCAAATTGCTGATAAATTCATACTTCTTAAAAGGGAAGATCACAAATTCCCGGTCGCGAACATTAACTTTCGTGTTACCTAATGTAGGAGCATCCGTCCTTTCCTAACCTACAGTGTCTTCAATTGTTTCGGTATTCCAAAGCTTGGCCGGTATGTCATGATTTCCGTCATATAAATCGACTGCGAACAAACAAACTTACCACAGAGTTTTGAGAGATGTAGGTAAATAAATGCATTACATATACGACATATACATGATAACCATGTTCCATTATCATTCTCACGAATACTGATATATGTATGTACGTACAAATTTACTTCTCATGATCAGGAATTCCTGGCAAAGTATCTGCAATGATTACACGAATTTCTATTTCAATAAGCTTCTTGTGAACATAAGAGAAACACTACATGCCTGTTAGAATAAAGCAAATAGTTGAAGTGATGTCAATAAAATAAATGATTACCGTAGGTGATTATTCAACAGGAGCAGTTTCTTTTCAACAAAAGAGTACTATTGATTTTGGTCCTTGGGTTTTCGAATAGAAATATCTTATGTATGTAGCAGATGTGGTTGACACGAACGGTCTCACCTCTGGCCAGAACGTTAAAACATTCATATGATGTAGAACCGAATTTTCTTCAGATAAATATCAACCGTCATTTACAATAACTCATACTACGATTGTTAAACATGTATTCATGAACTATAATAAATTAAACACAAAAGTAAGATTTATTTTACAATTTGCGTTCTCCCAAAGGACGAATTATGAATTTAAATAAAAAAAACCCAATTAATGCAAAGAAAAGAGCATCTGGTTGTTAGTACAATGCAAACAAACCAACAGTTTTTAGTTTTTTTAAAGACTTATATTCCAGATTCCTTTTATAGTGCATTTCATGTAATCAGTTGGAATAAGTCTGGATTACATCAAAGGGGCTGATACGATTATGAGATCGTTTTACTGGCAACTAGTTTGGTATTGTTGTGTGTTACGCACAAAATCAAATGAAGCATATTCGAGACAAGCTAATTCTTCTGAATAGGCGTTACAGTTACACAACGACATATTTCAGGATACATATTGAATAAATTCTACGACAGGTGTCGAATGAAAAACCGCACAATAAACTGCAGACCTACATTAGCATGGCCTGTATTCATAGCAGAAATACTTTTAATAATTGAATTACTTTTGGATGTATTAAAGTTGTTTTTGTAAATTTGGAATCGGTTATATTAGTACTGAACATGTCATTTGATTCTGGACGAGTCGTGTGGTATCACTGGACATACCAAGATTTGCATTGCAATTTTGTTCCTACCCTATCAAGGACGCACCATCTTTCCAAGATATAATAATCTATAATGATGACGTGTGTATGATTTTCTTTAATAATTCAACATGAGAAATAAAAGGATGGTTGTGTACTAAATCTATCCAAACATACGATATATTTAACTGTTTGCGACATTACACATATTTCATTGTACTGAATAAGAAAGGCATCATATACATCCTCGTGTATTGTGATATCGTAATAAGGCGTGTGGCAGCGATCAGATAAATATCTCAAAGCAATGACAGACTGTTATGAAGGTGCAGCCTAAGGGACTTATCGACAGCAACCATACGACAAGTCATGTGTAATAAGTCTGATTTAACTGTTTTGGGTTTCGATTTTGTTACTTGACATCTTCGCTGTTCGGTTACATTGAATTTCTTTGAAGTGATACACACTACATAATTCTCAGCTGCTGTGCATGGTATTTTTGTTTAAGTTAATTCCATTAAAATAAAGTAACTACATTTGCGAGATAATGCATCTGTATTCTCAAACGATAAGCATGTCCATTCTAAATATTAATATGTACACAGCTGCCGCCTCTCAATTCGCTCGGGTTACATTTCCATAATTCATATTTATTCTCTGCATATATATACCAAACGTTTTATCCTTTATTGATTATGGACTTAGAAACAAAATACTTATACCTGAAAAATAGTTTTGAAAGAGTCTTCCAAAATAATATGTTAGTCTTCGGAATAGCCAAGTACAGTGAGGTAAGTTTGTTTTCACCTTTAGATAAGATTAACCCCCATTCCGTACTTACAAAAAGGTTGATGTCTGTGTTTTATATACATGTGGTAAGACCTTTTCTATTACTTAGTTTTATAGTTAATAATTAAATACATCTTCTTAATATGTATTCAAACATGACTATATTGCAACGTAAATCTGTGGCGAAAATAATAAATACATATAATGAGATTTCACCTGTCGCATTGGTCATACACGTGAACAAGTAATAAAACCCAAACTGTACTTAATTATTTAACTCTTAAACACCTGTCGTTTCATCTACTCTCATGAACAAACCACCTGTACAGTACTTATCTATGACGGACAATTATGTGTTAGATATGTAAAGGCATTTTAGGGTTATCATTAGTATTTATTTTGCTAACGGTCGCTTGACAGAAGTACATATGCAGATGGAAACAAATTAATCTTTTTGTTGTCCCCAATGTTATGATGTTATTGCTAGAGGATCTGTCGTGTAATGGATGAACACAACACTGGTGTTTTTACATATTCCCTAATAAGGTTGTGTAATGTTTATTTATGTTAATCTTTAAACTGTTCATATTAAATGTATGAAATTTTCAAAGGATATTCAACGCTTATATTTATTTTTATTTTTTCAGTTCCTGCTATTTATGTTTTTTGTTTTTCCGCGATTCCTATGGTTGTTTATTATTTTGTGTTTTGTCATATCCTAATGTTCCATTGGTTCTTGTTTGGTATGTGTTTGCTCGGTTCCTGTTATGTTTTAAATTGTTTCCTGACTTTTCTGTTGTCGTTTTCTTTTAACGTTTCCTCCGATTCAAATATCTTTTAGTTTTGGCGTTTCATTGGTTCCTACTTTGTAAGAGTCCATTTATCATTTTATTGTGTGGTTCATTGAATCACAATGTCTTTTCGTTTTGCTGTTTTCTCGATTCCTGTTGTCATTACATTTTGATATTTGCTCAGTTCCTGTTGTCGTCTATTTTGTGTTTCCTTTGGTATTCGTTTAGTTCCTGTTGTCTTTTTCATATTACCGGCTGTGGAGATTCCTGAGTTCGTGGATTTTATTTTATTTGATATTCGCTAAATTCCTGTTAGTGTGGTGATTCCTCAGTTCCTTTACGATTTTTATAAAGGTGATTCCTCAGTTCCTTTTCTTTTTTTACTCTGGTGATCCCCAGTTCCTGTTGTATTTTTATTTTGGTGATTCCTCAGTTCCTTTTCTCTTTTTGCTGTGATGATTCCTCAATTTCTATGCTCTTTACCTTGTGGTGATTCATCAGTTCCTTTTCTCTGTCTATAGTGGTGATTCCTTAGTTCCTTTTCTCTTTTTGCTGTGATGATTCCTCAATTTCTATGCTCTTTACCTTGTGGTGATTCATCAGTTTCTTTTCTCTTTTTATAGTGGTGATTCCTTAGTTCCTTTTTTTGTGGTGATTGATCAGTTCCTTTTTTTTTGTTATTTTGGTGATTCCTCAGTCCCTTTCCACTTTCATTGTTGTGATTCCTCAGTTCCTTTTCTCTTTTTACTGTTGTGATTCCCCAGTTCCTTTTCTCTTTTTACTGTGGTGATTCCTCAGTTCCTTTTCTCTTTTTACTGTGGTGATTCCTCAGTTCCTTTTCTCTTTTTACTGTGGTGATTCTTCAGGTCCTTTTCTCTTTTTACTGTGGTGATTCCTCAGTTCCTTTTCTCTTTTTACTGTGGTGATTCCTCAGTTCCTTTTCTCTTTTTATTGTGGTGATTTCTCAGTTCCTGTGTCTTTTATTGTGGTGATTCCTCAGTTCCTGTGTCTTTTTATTGTGGTGATTCCTCAGTTCCTGTGTCTTTTTACTGTGGTGATTCCTCAGCTCCTATGCTCTTTACCTTGTGGTGATTCCTCCTTTTATTATGGTGATTCCTCAGTTCATTTTCTCTTTTTATTGTGTTTATTCCTCAGTTCATTTTCTCTTTGTACTTAAGGTGATTCCTCAGTTCATTTTCTCTTTTTATTGTGGTGATTCCTCAGTGTCTGAGTCGTTTTACTGTGGTGATTCCTTAGTTGCTGTGTCTTTTTACTGTGGTGATTCCTCAGGTTTTTTTTTGTCGTTTGTGGGAAATCTCATGTCCGTTTTTCTTGTGAATGTGGTAATTCCTCAGTTCTTGTTGTCTTTTTATTGTGGTGACTTCTCAGTTCCTTTTCTCTTTTTAGTTTGTTGTTCGTTCAGTTCCTTTTAAGCTCACCTGGTGCAAAGAACCATTGTGAGCTTATCTAATATCGCAGCGTCCGTCGTCCGTTTACCTTTCCTTTTAAATGCTACTAGTCCCGCACGGCCAAGTAGATGTCGACTAAATTTGGTATGGAGCATCCTTAGGCCAAGGGGACTCAATTTTGTATAAACGGTGGTTGTGGCCCCCTTGGGGGCAGATGGGCAGGGCCAAATAATCGAAATAGACGTAAAACCTTTAAAATCCTTCTCATACCCAAGGGATGAAGGGATTTCCTCCCAATTTGGTCTGGTGCATCCTTGGGCTAAAGGGATTCAATTTTTTATAAACAGTGAGTGTGGTTCCCCTGGAGTCAGAGGGCCGGGCCCAATAGGTGAAATAGAGCAAATTCTTCAAAATCCTTCTTTTCTGTAGGAACGACAGGATTTTGTCCAAATTTTGTATGAAGCGCCCTTTGGTGAAGGGGAACCAACATTGTATAAAAAGTTGGCCTGGCCCTAACTGGGGGCAGAGAGGCGGGCCCAATAAAGGATATAAAGGAATAGCTTTAATATCTTTTTTCTTCCGTTTGGATAATGGTATTTTGACCATTTGAACAGTAGGATCCAATGGGGAAGAGAAATCAACAACGTATAAATGGTGGGTCTGCCCCCCCCCCCTTTGGCCTGAGGAGTTGGGCCCAGTAGGGGTAATTTAGCAAATTATTTAAAATTCCTCTCCCTCTGTAGGAATGACAGGATTTTGTTCTTATTTGGTCTAAAGCATCCTTTGGTGAAGGGGACTATATTTTGTATAAACGTTGGGTCTGACCTTCCGGAGCAGAGGGGCGGGGCAAAAGAAGGGAAACATAGCAAATTCTTCAAAATACCTCTTCTTTAGTAGGTATGACAGGAATTTTTCTCCAAATTTGGGACGAAGCACCCTTGGGTGAAGGGCAACCCCTTTTGTATAAAATGTGGGTTTTAACTCCCTGGGAAGAGGGGAGGGGCCACATAGGGAAAATAGAAAAATTGCTTTAAAATCCTTCTTCTTCTGTAGGAACGACAGGATTATGTCCATATTTGGTCTAAAGCATCCTTGGGTGAAGAGAACTAATTTGTATCAACGGTGGGTCTGACCCCCCAGGGGGAAAAGGGGCGGGGCCCAATAGTGGAAACAGCAAATTCTTCGAAATTCTCCTTTTCCTATAGGAATGATAGGGTTTTGTCCAATTGTATATAGATATAACCCTGACTAACCATGTAATACACGCACAGTAATATCTGGCTATTTCATCCTCAATTTTGCTAACATTTCCAGGTGAGTGATACAGGCCTTTTGTTTTTTTAAATGTAGTGATTCCTCAGTTCCTACACATATGTAGTCCTTTTTCTTGTGGTTATTCCATAGTTCCTGTAGTCTTTTTATGTGGTTAATCCTTAGCCAATTTATCTTTTTCTGTTGGTGATTCCTCAATTCCTTTTCTCTGTTAATGTGGTGATTCCTCAATTCCTTTTCTCTGTTAATGTGGTGATTCCTCAGTTCCTCTTGTCTTTTTAATGTGGTGATTCCTCAGTTCATTATCTCTTTTTACTTTGGTGATTTCGCAGTTCCTGTGGTCTTTTTCCTTTTACCTTCTGTAATGTTTCATCAAAGTCTTTGTTGTTTTATTTTGATATTTGCTCTGTTAATGTTGTCTTTTTATTTTGGTGTTTGTTCGGTTCCTTTAGGGTTTTTTTCCTGTTTCCTTCTCTGGTGATTCCTAAGTTCCTGTTTTCTTTTAACGACGGTGACTCCGGGGTTCCTGTAGTCTTTGTATTGTAGTAATTCTTAGTTCCTCTTGCCTTTTGATCGTGGTGAGTCCTCAGTTCTCGTTGTCTTTTAATTTCGGTATGCGCTCAGTTCCCGTTGTCTTCTTATGTATGTATTCACTCATTTCCTTTTGTATTTTTTTTTCTGTTACCTTCTGTGGAGATTCATCAGTTCCATTTGTCTGGTTATTGTTGTGATTCCTCAATTCCTGTTTTTTTAATTCTGTGTTTCCTGTTATTTTGTGTGTTTGTTTCCTCAGTTCCTGTTTTGTCTTGTTCCTGTGTTTCCTATGTTATTTTGTGTGTTTGTTTCTGTGTTTCCTCTGTTATTTTGTGTGTTTGTTTCTGTGTTTTCTCTGTTATTTTGTGTGTTTATTTTCTCAGTTCCTCTTGTTAACCCAGTAAACACATGACGTTGGATCAACGTTGGATTACTGTTGTGTTCAGGTCGCGACGTCGACGACCTAGATCTAACGTCTATACACGTCTAAAGCAAGACGTTGTATACAAATTGTCAGGGTCTGACGTCTTGTCGACGTAGTTTAGAGATCACAATTACGACCGTGTCTTAAAAAAATCGGTACACATAAAAACACATACATTCGTTGATATTCATTTACATTTCTGTCTATAAAAAGGTTATTTTTCGTAATGGAATTCCTTCTGCAACAAGCAAAATCGATCCATTGAATCCATCGATTATCTCCCTTCAAAACATTTTCGATAGAGGGCACTGTATGGGACAAATTTCGAAAACTATCTTTTCGAAATTACGGAGCTATGTGTGATAAATTTAGTCTTAAAAATCTTTTTTTTTATAACACAAGTGTATCTTTTCTCACACGATCTCTCACCGTTTAACAAAAATAATTATGTTAAACAAAAAGGCGGGTTTCGAAATAAATAAAAACATAAATGCAGTTGTGTGTTTATTGTTTATTTTGTATCTGTATTATTGCTTGGGATTCAGAAAATGTTTTTTGTGGGTTCAAACCTGTATGTGTGTCGGAGAACTGGCTGAACGTCTTGGTAAATGGGGTGTCAACATATATAAAAAAATGATATTCACACCCGCCTGTACAGAATCCTGAAAATATCATTAAATAAACAGCTACATAAACAGATGAAGGTCAGGCTTATTTTAGGTATGTAAGACGTTGCTTAGACGTCGGGTTTCTGACGTCGGGACTCTGACGTCTATACAACGTCAGGTTTTGACGTCTAAAAAACTTTCATTTTCAACCAAAATCCAACGTCAATCGAACATCAGGGTCTGACGTTGATCCAACGTTTATCCAACGTCATTTGCCCACTGGGAAGACTCTATGTTGTGTGGCAATGGGATGGTTATTTTTGGCATTTATTCCCTAAAACAACCTGTACTATCGTGATGACTAAAACATTGATTACAACTCAGTTCTCATATTAATGTCAGGCACACCATTCACTTTCTCTACCTGTTCTTCGTTTTGTCTACATTCCCATTTTGAATGTTCCAGTTTTTCGCGTCAAACATATTTTTTTCTGTTGTTTTTTGTTGTTGCAAATGTTTTGGTTGTAAACAAATATCATGACCAACAAACCTGATCTCAATGAGTTGTTTTAGCTGGAAGGGACTTTTACTTCTATCCAATCCATCTGTTCCAGCCAAGTCTGGCTATTTGAGGTTAATGTGATTGATCCAATGTCATATAGCACGAAATACCTTGCTACCCTCATATATGTCCATGTCAGGCAGTTACAACATTAGTACATGTATCCCGTCAATAGTGACTTAACACGCATTGTCAAACAGCCTAACTGTCAAACTAAAAAAACTCCCTTAGTCGTCTTCTCTGTGACCAATAGACCTTTGTGTACATATCGCGTTTTCGTTTATTCTTACATTGACATTATGTTCCAGTATTACTAGGAACATCTACAGTTGCGACATCAAAGCATGCCAACTATCGTAAAATCAACCAATCTACATTTTTGCGTATTTGATTAACAATAGACTCAAATTTATGGAGAGGACAATTGATTTGATTTTCACAAATGGGTAATCTTGTCTAGTCCTACAATACACATAGATATTGTATTTCGGGAAATTTTCGCTCTGTCAAATTTTCGCCCTTCCAGTATAAAATCTTCGCCTAAGCACAATTTTACATTCGGCCTTCACATTTAAGACCTATGCATATTTTGTTGTTAACGAATATTCACTGTTATGATAAATTCACCCTAATTACAGAGGGCTAAACAGGCGAAACACTAAACTTCAGGGGAAATTTCCCGGTATACAGTATGTGTGATTATTATATGTAATATGTTAAATCGATGAACCGATCATTAAATAAATGTGTTTTTTTCATTTGCAGTACTAACTCTGCGCATCGTGTACGGATCCCAGACTCATGGAGGCCTTTTGTCGGGGATTGCTTGTAGCCATTGTCGTGACATGTATACTTTCCCCGATAAAACCAGTGGGGGCAAGCAAAAATAAGGGGAAGAAACTACCAACAGAAGAGGAAATACACTTTACAGAGTTGATACAAAATGCCATAGAATATGCCGAAAAGGCCTGGGCTGAGGACACACTCAAGAAATCAGAATCGTACAAACATGGTAAGGCATTGGTTATGTACGTCTTACAAGTAGACATACGCAAATATGGTTTGATATCAGTTTCCTTTAGCTTGGTAGCCAAAAGTTAAAACTAACGTTAGCTATTCTATGTATGGTTAAGAAGGTAAAACGACAGCCAAGACGATGCATTAAGCATGAGTAATTTGACAAACTAGACATATTTTGACATGTTGAGAGAACTGTTATATGCAAACTTTTTTTTTCTTTCATATGAAATATGATAGGATAGCCATTACCGTGTGTGACTTTTGAGGTCAGACACAGGTGTGACCTGGTTATACCTTATTGTTGTATCATCTGGTTAGCATATCGTTTATAAACCTGATAAAGCGTTACTTACGTGTAACGCGGTTGCCCGACAAATATTCACAAAGGAAGATATATTGATTCAGACACACACTGTTTTTCTACTAAACGGAGGCAGCCGTTGAAAGGGGTTTTAGAATAATCATGTTCTATGCAATTAAATAATAATTCAGTTGCATTTCCATGTTTATCATACAAGTCACGTTCATGTTATAAGTCACTAACATATTGATACACATGTATGTACAGACTACTGGCCTAACTGTGGTGATATGTTGCTATAGATTTTATAATGTTCAACATTTCTTGGCTATGGTTATTATCGTCGACGTTGATATCTTTGTTATACTTACTTGAACTACGTAGATTTATTTATGTACATGTATGTACTTTTTGGTGTTGACTTATCAATGATGTTTATGGCTAAACTGGTCTAGTGACGTACATGTGAAACAGATGGTAATGGTAAAAAAAACACATTTATTAAAGTGTTAATATAAACCGGTTATGAAGATGTATTGAATTAATTTGTTGACATGCATATTATGCTTAGCTATTTATTGTGGTAAATAGTAGTTAATCACATATTAAACTATAAACTTAACATTTACATAGTTGCTCACATATTTATAAACTTTGTTTATAATGTGGATATAGTAACATATCTGTTGAAATGCATATGAATACTTATCTTAATAATGACATTATATAAATGTAGCTGCTGTATGTGCTTGATACATGTTTCTTTGGCGATTTATTTACGCAGGTGTTCACTTGTTTGTTAAACTTAAGCGTGTATGGTGATTTCTAGCATAATTTGTGCATATTTTATCACGCTTAGGCCATGTGTTACTAGGCGAACCATTGATGACTAGTGCTCTAGTCGACACACATCGATAGTATGCGTAGAAATGTCATAATCCGATATGCTGACCTCAAATGTCCCTCAAGAATGACGCCACATCCGAGCGTCAACCACTATGAGATGTAATTTTGAAATCTTAAACGGCGTGAAAGAGATGCCTCTGCTGATATGGAACGTTTCCGTCATTCTGGTTTAGTTAAACAATTAACACAACGTTTAATAGATTCCGGAAGGAGAAAATTCCATATTTTTAACGAAAGTTTTATGTAACTCCGGTTCGTTGCGTTTGAAATTACAAGACAGTACAATGCATTCTCGTGTTTTTTGAAAGTATGAAATTAGTAGCTAATAGATATGATAATCAATCGTCAATCGCTGTGAAATATTCTTATTTGTCAAAACAGTTCAATTTCCATAAGTATAAACAAATGTGTATGATTTGGTTAAACGAAGATAGCATTTTAACTTAAATTTGACATGTTACATGTAATGACTTTTGCTAGATTTTGGTGAAATGATGAAAAGTGTAAAGTACTTGACTTAATAAAGCTACATATTGACATTTTTATGCTTGATTATGACGATGTATTTACTTAGGTGTTGACACTAAGAACCAGAGAAGCAGTGATGGACAATTGAGCTTGTTCGCAGACGAGGATCCTAAAGGCGAACGTCTCGAGGAGTTGGCTTATATTTCCCTGGAAGCCACAAAAAAGCTGGAACGATCGTAAGAATGGAATCATTTGTAATAATAACGTTGATTTTTTATTCAAAATTAACAAACAATATTGTCAGAAATGTAACCTCACGAATACGTTTTTTTAGTAATTGGCATTAAAATATTCCCATATACCAAATTAAAGGAATATATAACTTGTTTGGATTGAATACAATTATAGGGATTTGTTTTAAATTGTTACAATAGTACGGTATTTTCTTTATGACATTAATAACATGAAAATCAACCGTCACACCTGGATGCTTTTACGGTTTTTCACGAACGGGCTGAAAGATGAAGGATACTAACAAGCCTTATAATGGATAGGTCCCCAATTAGACTGCAACACTGCCTTGATGCGCCACTGAGTATATATTTTCTGACTTGAAATGAATCATCAGCGATGTATTAGAATTAAGGATTGAATCTTGCTTTGGTCGATTTCATGGGGTGATGAATTGAGCTATTTTTGAAACAAATTTAATGCACTGCGAAAATTAAAACTTTTCAATCAAAATATGTTTATACAAATTCTTGTAACTTGTGAAAGTCCATTCGGATTGTTTGTCACAGATTCTGGAGCTTGTGCAAGTCTACCTATTGACGTAATGAAAACAAACATAGTCCGTCATTTAATGACGACCATACATCATGATGGTGTACGCTGATACTTCATTACAGCCAAATTATGAAGAAACAAAACGCAAATACTTATTTTCAATGTCATATTTAATTTTTGTTGATGAATTCATACAATGTACGTTTAGATATTAAATGTTTTGACGCGTCATCGCAGTAGAATAATGTCTAGACGTGGTGCGCAGGCGTGGTGCACAGGCGTGGTGCACAGGCGCAGCTGCGAGTCTACGGGAGCCATCATTTTACTAGCATGAAGTGGAGAGCCGCTTTTTAAGGTTCTAGTTCTACATCTTCTAGAATGTAAAGCTGCAGTAATTGAATGTCGAATTAGACATGAAACCAACCGTTACCTGAAAGGACGAAACAATTTGATATGGCAGTTGGCTGTTACAATGTAGACTGCATTTCATATATATGACGGGATCACATGAATGTGTGATCACCGTTGTTTTCTATTTGTACCCGGGGTTGACGCTAACACAAGAGGCATAATTGGTAGCTAGAGGGAGACCGATGATATTTTGCTTATCGTTATTGATTTAATAAAATGATTACATCTCACTCAAGAGATATGTATCGTCGTTGTTTCAAAATGTCAATAGTTATCTCCCTTCGCAAAATCTGAAAATTCCTATTCATACGCACAGGCAATGCCATTTCATCGGCAAATGAAACGGGTTACATTTGGTAGTTGAATTGAGTCAAACGTGAGTAGATATTGAAGTATTACGATATGAAGTCAGAAGTGTGTCGATATTTTGTTAAAATATTGTTATCTTTTTATTTATAGATCTAACGTATCTATATCGACCATACGTAGCTCTAAGACCTGGTTGAAAATATGGAAAACTCTGATACACGCATATTGTGATAAAACAAAGATCACGTGTGACCCGAATGCTCTTTACCGGTCGGCGAATGGGTCGTGTAATAACCTGCACCATCCAACCTGGGGAATGGCATTCACCCCACAACTGCGGTTTCTACCGCCAACCTACGATGATTGTAAGTGTGTAGGCTAACCTTAGTATAAACCTGGTTATGGAATTGTGTTTGAAGAAACCTTAAACCATTTAAAATACATTCATTTTCAAACAAAGTAATTGTAAATAGCTTATTCGTATCCATTTTGATAATAGAACGTTTCACTGTTATGTACGATATTGATACGATACATAATGTTTTTGTGTGTACAACTGAAATAATCTGCAACGCTCTCCTTCAAACGTACGTGAAAAATATTTGCAAGTCCGCTATGGTTTATGCAAAGTGTATAAGTAAAATAAACATTGGTATGTCACATAAACACGGATGTAACAGCAAAACATCCCTTTTCAAACTTAATTCACAGAAAAGTACGCATGTCACAGATACATGTCACAAAACACTTCTCACATAATGAACATTACACCTCTTACAGGAAAGTACTTTAAAATGCCAAAGGAGAGTGTAAATGCCAGACAGAAATAAAAATGTCCACCTGTCAGAAACGTATGTCTCTGAAAAAAACCAGTCACAGAAAATGCCCTATGTCACAGAAAAATATACGTCATAATGATACTCATATGTCAAAAGAAAAAATCATCTGCCAAAGGAAAACAGACATACATGCGTAAATCAAAGGAATTTAAATACACTAGACACATGGTCACATAATTTACATTTACATAGTTCACATGCGTCACAGAGTACATATGTCACAACAGGAACACATTTTTATATGTCACAGATAGGTATTCAATCATTGAGATAATCTCATGTCAACGAGAAATACACGTCACATAGATAAACGGATGCTATACACTTAAAACAAACTTTCTCTCGTCACAGAAAGCTACACATGCAAAACATACAGAAAAAGTCACGTCAACGAGAAATACACATGTAAATGTTTGCAGGCCATAACAAATATGAAACACACATGTCGTAGAAATGTTTACGTATTACAAAAAAGTATATACGCCACAAAACACTAAACATGACACAAAACACTACACATGTTATAAAACACTACACATGTCACAAAAAAACTGCATATGCCACAAACAGTTTCTCATGACAACAACATAGTACACAACAGTTCATTTATGACAAATAAAAACGACGGAGCCTTTAGAACAAATGTTACAGAAGGACGTATGTAGCCGAAAATACACAATCCATATGAAAGTATAAACGATATAGCAGGGCATATACAAAGTAATATACAATGTAACAGGGGTGTTCACTTTGTTAATATTTTTGAACAGGGATCGACTTACCCAGAACGAAATGTCACTCTGGTCGTACATTACCTAGTGCTAGGAAGATCAGTAACACCATGTTCTGTGAACACGATAAACTAAGGATTGCCAAAAATCACACCATCATGGTGATGGCGTGGGGACAATTTATAGATCACGATGTCATCTTTACACCGCTTTTCAAAGGTAAAGTGCCGTATTAAATTTCTGATTTTATATCTTGATTTTACGACACATTTGATAATACTTCTTTTTCCCTACAGTAATAGTCTACATATTAATGGTCATCCTTTGTCTGCAGTTATACAATGACCAGTCCATTGATCCAATAGGATGTTTATGTTACTTATTCATACATCATAATTTAACTTTGTAGTTTCGCTTTAAAATGTAGATAAGTTTGATAAATGTAAAACAAATCCTTTCATTTTGACATGTGTCCTATTAGAATGGGATATTATTTCAGTTGGTTAGATTTTTTCCCCGAAAAGCTTGGTTTAATTTCTTTCACACAAAAAATATTACGACGGCATAGTGCACCATCCATTTTATTGCATATTTTTGTTTCATATCAATTAACTCAGGAGCGAATGGTTCTGCTATAAGTTGCTGTGACAAGGATTCCGACCAAACCAGGTATGTCAATTAAGATATATTGTAATATTAGCATTCAAATTCGATCATTCAATCTAATACTTAAAAACAACAAAAATCCACCCAAAACAGATATGTCTTGAGATCAAACGGAAACGAACATATCTGCATATAATAAATGCAGTTTTTATCTTGCATACATTCAAATTTACTCACACATAAAATCTTCTTGTATTCACAGGCCTGAATGCTTTCCAATAGAAATACCTGGAGACGATCCACATTTCAAAAACAAGACATGCATGAACTTCGTTAGGTCAACTGCAAGTCCATCTCACTCCTGTCTGCCAGGTAAACTAATGTGCCCTACTGATAAAATATCGTGTAATAACCATCTGTTCATTGCTAATCAGTCTTGATTGTTATCGGTTACTCATAGCTATATTGCACAATCAGTTCCGTCTTTGTTGTCCCTTATCGAAACTTTCATGTAGAAATGCACAATGATTGTCTGTTACTTGCTGTTATGTTACATGTGATGATATCGTATCACATATTATGATGACTTGATGACTTACAAACTAGATGCAATGTATACGTTCTCAATTTTATTTAGAAAATATTTATGCTGTTTATTTTATTTTGCATTATCTTCAAAACAATCAACAGCCATATATTTGTTTCAGCACCTCGCGAACAGTTGAACCAGGTGACTTCCTATATTGATGCCTCCACTGTTTACGGCTCCTCTGAAAAGGAAACTAAATCTCTGAGAACAATGAAAAAAGGTACGCTGGTAATGTATTTACCGGATATAAGTATATACATCGAATGGAAAAGTATTGGCTTAGTGTTAATCTGTTTAAATTTACTTACGAGTGTTAATAGTTCTCAAGTTAAAGTCCAAATCATGTTACATGTAGACATAGCGTATAAACACCCGAAGAACAAAACGGCGTTTCACTAATTCCATAAAAAAATACTATAGAAACACATTTAACATCCTATAAATTTCCACAGGGAAGCTGCTGACATCCAAAGGAGGGTTACCCCCAGCGGGGAAAGAAAAATCTTGCGTGTTACAGCACCCTAAGGAGTACTGCTTTCGTGCAGGTATTTAGAAAAATGAATATTCTTTTTGGACAAGACCATGTTACGCTAGAAACGTGATTAAAAAGAAAATCCGGATGATGAAATGTTGACGAAATGTTCATTTTCTGTGTAACAGTTTAAGACTGATTAATGAACAAAACTTTTAAAAATTCAGAGATACAAACTAGTTTCGGATGTTTTTCATTTTTGTTTAATTGTTTAAGTAACCAAACAACTTCTGTTTTAAATATTATACGTAGAAACAACCAATAACTCAGAGTGAAAACGATACGGGGCCCTAAGGTTTCTATGACTCTTAAACCTTACTTTTCTGTATCATGGTTTGAAAATTTGAACAAAGAATAAATGACGGCATCGCATAATATATCATCTCCATGCTAAAACACGATACTTGAATATGTTTTCTAATGACACAACAGTCGAGTATCTTTTTACAGGTGATGTGTACAGTGTAAATTATGAATGATATATTTCGAGGTAATGGCATTTCAAGATTATGAGGTGGGTATCAAAATGTGTATGGCACCATTTCGTGTAGTAATAAAGTAAATATTCATATTAATTTACGTTTTCTCTAATGGGATATTATTTATGATACTGTAATTCGACAGGCGACAAGAGGGTCAATGTGGTACCAAACCTGAGCGCTACACATATTCTCTTCATCAACGAACACAACAGAATCGCCAAAAAGTTAGCAAGGTTGAATCGACACTGGACCGATGAAATCACCTTCCAGGAAACAAGGAAAATTATAATAGCCCTAATGCAGCACATAACCTACAGGGAATATCTACCGAAAACTCTGAATGCCGATCACATGAGTCACTATGGACTAAACTACTATCCTGGGAACTATAATAATGTATATGACCCCTCCAAAAATACTGGGACTAGAAATTCATTTGCTGCCGCCGCATTCCGCTATGGACATTCGCAGATTCCGCCCACTCAGTCGGTACTAGCGGAAGATCACATTACCTACAAGCACTACCCACTAGAAGAAACGTACCATAAGCCATTCCTGACACAGGAGGACAAGGGGAAAAACGTTGCTGGTCTTCTGCGGTGGCTGTCGACAGAACCTACTACATGTAATGATAGGTAAAAAATCAAGTAAACGTTGACAAACTTCGCCCTTTTTTGTTCATTTGCAACCAAATTAAAGAAATGTAGAAAATTCTGAAGCATTGAAATCACATTTAATACATGTATCACAATGCTTTATTTATCACATAATGTACCGTGTTATCCAGTGAATATACCCATGTCCCATATATTTATTTGCGTATGCATTTTATATGACCTATCAGCCCTATGATTGGTTATATTGTTTTATTGAATTGTTTCAATTGTGACGTCACACCTAGGACAAGTTTATGACGTCACTGGAGTCAATATACTGGCCTTTTTACATCTCAAGTTTGCATAAAAATGGTCGTTTTACAAATAAATACCACAAATCTTACACTCGTTTTCATTTCATATGAAAATTATAAATAAAACTCGTCAAGAATTCCTATATATATCTTTAAAAAGCGTTTATCATATATTTCATCTTTGTGTCATAATTAAATAATCGACGATTTTTGAGTTCATCCCAACATATTAGTTTTCTTCCTTGTAATAGAATTGTTTGAGTTATTAAACATGACTTTTACGTTCTCAATTTCTGTTTTCGTATTGCTACGTATGCTTAGATACACCTATGACATATAATCAGGATTCTGAAATATTAGGGATTAGGATTTATTTGCTAACTATTTAGAAAAAAGGATAAAAAAAACCCACCAATTTAAAGTTATCCACATGTTTTGTCCGTTTCAGGGTGTTTGAGCCACAGGTGCGTGATCTGTTATTTCTCGATAAGAAGGGGAACAGCTTTGACCTTCCGGCTATTAACATACAAAGAGGCAGAGACCATGGTATGCCTTGTTATAACGAGTGGCGTGAATGGTGTAATTTACCGGTAGCGAAAAGCTTTGAAGTAAGAGAAGGCGGCTTGGTGGATCACGATCCTGTGTGTGCTGGTCTACTCAAGAAAGCATACGGGTATGTTACAGTTTACGTGCATATCTTATTATCCTTATTATCATGTTACGTTTGTTAGCAGAAGTGATGAAAACATATGTTCAGCTTAAGAGTTTTTAATTTAGATTATAATGTATCTACATATTCAGTGATAATGGGTAGGTTGCTGTGGAATTCGCAAGCGATGTGGATATGATGTGATGATGATTTGTTTTCATTGTATGCGGCGATATGGTGCCTAAACTTTCAAAATTGTACTGATTAATGTATATGCTAATTGTATTAATTGTATATCTATGTACTGTAAAGCACTTTAGAGTGGCTTAATATGTTAGCTAGATAGGGCGCTATGTCAAATGTTGTATATTATTATTAAACATACCTGTATGTTGTTTGCAGGCATGTTAATGACATCGATCTGTACGCTGGGGCTATCAGTGAACAGCATATACCAAACGGTGAGGTGGGTCCAACCTTTGCCTGTATAATTGCAAGGCAATTCCATGCATATAAATATGGAGATCGATTTTGGTACGAACAAGTCGACAAACCAACCGCCTTCACGAGAGGTAAATAGTAATTAATTAATTGATATGTCTCCCTTGATAACTTATACATGTATCTCACCTACAGTTAACTTGTCGTAGTGAACTTTCTGTTCTTGTTAACGATGTTTTTAAATTTACGTTTGCTTTTAACGTTTTGCATATAAACTTGTTCGCGTAATGTTCAATTTTGCAATTAACGCTTAGCGCAAAAAAATTATGAAAATAAATATCATAAGAAAGGCAATATACCTTGCTTAATATTTTGTTGATCATGGTTTAAAGCTAGAATTACTCTAACACTGAACGGGTACTACAGATACATAAAGATGCCAATCTGAAGCGGATATCGCTATTTTATACTTGTTAATTAATCGATAGGATACGATTTATTTATGATTTTTCTTAATGTATCGGCGAATCATTTTATGAAGAAAGTTTTCTTATATTTAACTTAACGAAGTGACATTACAGCAGTATATCGCAACGGATTGCAATTGCAGTACATCAATAATAACGTCACCATATCTATCAGACATATTATATTCCTTCAGGTCTACAGATATTATTTAAGATTTTGTATGTAACTTTCTTTGTTTTCTTTACACAGCACAACTGAAGCAAATAAAGAAAATTACATTATCAAAGATATCTTGCGATAATTTCAAGATTCGCAAAATACAAAAGGACTCCTTTACAACCATATCTCCGAGGTAAGAGTTGAGACAGAGATATTTATCACTATTGGACAGTATCGATGTAACCTTTTTTACTTTTGCAAATGACAAACTCACATATCGCATATAGCATGGCATACTGTTTAGATGATATATATGTTTGTGAGTGGTAAATATGAAACATTTACATTTGAAGCAAGCCTACACATGTTCAGAAATACTAAAAATGAATAGAAACTGAAATGGTTATTATCGATAAAATTTATATTTGCGACATGTCAACAGAAGGAAATAAATCAACGAATTGGGGACGTACCATTGCTTATAGGTAATATGTGATTTCTAGTCTAAAACGGTATACCACTACGTATACTATTACTGTAAAAGTGGAAAGTCTGACGTGTGAAAATGTACCCTTTGTGACCTTAAATTGATAACGGTGTTGAATTGTTCGTGTTGCTTGTGGGTCTGAAATGTATTTATTCTTTATATCTATATTCTATATTTATACAATCTCTAAATAAATATTCGTGTGTAGATATTTTCTCAAAAACCAAACGCCAAACGTTCCTCTTTTACAGAGACTTTTCATTGCCTCTTCTTTATTTGTAATTGTCTCCTATTTACAGTAATCCCTTAACTGATTGTAAAACGTTACCCAAGCTGAAACTGAGACCCTGGAAGGAGACAATCGCTCAAACAAAAAAGAAGCATGGTTCGAATTATTAAAGAACATTTCTGTTATAACTGTTTTCATGTTTTCTATTATATATTTAAAAATATATCTTGCTTGATCATAATCTGGAAAATAATCTCTTCTGAATAATAATAAGAGATACGAAGATTGTTTGGTTTGTTTGTGTTTTACGTCTTTTAAGGAGGTGCCAGGTTTTTGTGTTGGAGAAAAACTGGGGATAAAAACAATATTCGGCAAGTACATGGTGATTTCATGACACAAACCATGACCTAGTAGGGGAGGGATTGTGATCGTAGAAGGTCAGACGCTTTAATCACTCGGCCACAGAGGCTCTAGATACAAAGCGTGTATTTGATAATTTAGCGAGTCATACAGAAACGCATTTGTAGTAGACGTAGTCAGATGAAGAGCTTCACATATGATATTTCAAAATCATGTACTTTTTTTCTAGGACATGGCAAGATATAATGATTTATCTGTAAATGCATGCAAGAAAATAAACTTTTTTTTATTACATATCCAGTTGCACGCCAAATCGACTTAAGTTCGCAAATATCATATAATTATGAAAGCTATCAACCTTCAGCTTGACAAGTATACTGAACACAAATAAAATTGTCTGAATAAATAATCATGTTTTCATCATGTCGTGACATTAGCATTTTACTTGAAATCAAAGCGTAGTGGAAAATTTCAAAAGTTAATTGATTTACGTCGCTGATTAACCAAATTTAGTCTCACAAAAATTAAAACTAAGTATCGCCCAGTGAGCTACGAGGTCATTGAACTCTTGTTTATGACCTTGTAATTTCAAAATGTTTAATAAAACGTATATCTGTATTCAAAGGCATTTCCAAAATATGCAGATACAACAACATACGTGAAAATACATGAGTATTATACCCTTTAACAGTTTAACCTATCCTGTGCGTTAACATGTCTATAATCATAATGTTAGCATAAAATATATTAAACAAAATAATACATAAAAATATAGTACCAACAATTATCACCTTTTATTGCATGTTGAGATCACATGTACTAGCCTCGTCTGTCAGTACACTTCTAATATAATCAAAGTTGCTAACTCTGTCCCCTGGCACTGATTGGCTTCTCAATTTAACGGACCAATTAGCGCCGAGGTCACAAAAGTTGGAGAAAATGGCAGGCTATATTCGGAGTTCCGATCGTCAGCCTGGCCAGCTTGAAAACTGGACTCGGTTGTCCGCTTTGATAATGTAACGGCATTAACTATAATACAAGTAAGTTTGTTTCCTATCATAGAAACACTGTACTGACATTAAATAGCGTGCATGCCGTGTGCTAGGCGCTACCCTCTAGGGATTTAGCGTGTCATCCATAGGACAGCATGTGTCCGACTAACTGAAATTTGACATTTTTTCGATGTTTCATGAAGTCTACCGAAAATTTTAATGCGTGATGTATGGCAAACCATACTTAAAATTAGACTGCTCCCGGCGTCATGTAATGAAGGGTTATGACAAAATCGCATATTTTCTGTAAGGGGGTCATTTTAGTGGGGGGACTGAGTTAGCAACCTTGAATATATTACAGGTGTATTGACAGACGAGGCTAGTTCCTGTGGTTGAGATAGTAGTACAAAAGGAATCTCGGAAGGTAGCGAAAATAAAATATTTTTTCCTGCTTATATTTTTATTTAAAAGTCAAATGTTACTATGTTAAAGTGTTCTCAGCCTAATATGAAGAAGCTAACATCCATATTTCCTCATATCAATGAATACAGAATTTCAGCCGTTTTCAGAATAAATATTTGAAGTGCATAATTCCAAATTCTAAGACTGTGCATAAAGACGTTTGTTACGCCAACCTTAGTTTCTCTTAGCAAATAAAAAAAAACCCACATCAACAGCGAACGTAACCTTCATTTTAAGAGCAAACACCTGCTTCTTTGTATTATTTGAGATATGTTTTAACAAGATGTTTAGCGAGTTTACTACTTACAAAGCTTTAACACTCCGGTTTACAGTTTGAAATACTGTATTTTCAGTACAAGAAAGAAGCATTTTAGCAGTTATCAATTAAACATAGTTTTAATGTTTGCACATATGATGTAAACAATTATGAATATATTATTGCAGTTAAAATTATAGAAAGTCTGTAATATTTTGGAAGTTGACCAACTCCTGAAGTCATAACTGTTCGTATGAAATATCATAACTGTACTCAAATATTTTATTTCGGATCGGATCTAGACAGGCAGATTTATTCAATAATTATAAAAGAACATCTACTGATCTCATTTAAAAGTTCGTTGTTTACATTGGACACGCACTCGTATGTACTTCACGTATAGAGAAGACACCTGTCAGATTCCATAACAAAATATCCTATGGTTAAAATAAAAAAAGTACAACATTTTTGTAAAAATGGCAGCACCATTAAGAAACAGTTTAAAGACTTAAAGACACCTTAGATATATCATGTTGCTTCTCCTTGATATCAACGACGTACTCACTCGAGGAAACATACAATTTAGAAGTTATCTCCCTTCCGCTACATCTAAGCAAAGAAGCCCTGCATGTACATGTACCAACATTTACAAAGAAGTCCCACTGATCCTTAATACGCATGGAGATATTTAATATTCCAAAATAGTCATCAAATATACAGAGCACTCCCACAGGTACATGGATATGTAACTGCCATCGAGTAGACGTATCGACATAACGAGGAGAGACCAGAAGGTATTAAGTATCCTTCAAAGCGGCAAAATGTGCCGAGTCTTCCCCGACGGAAAGCGTTGCTGGACTGATATACACCAGTGACGTGGATGCCGTTGTTTTCGGACGAACAGTTGGCGCTGCACTAATTTGGTTCGGATTTCCAGAATTTCCGCTTCTGACTGGAACTCACTCAATTTGTTAAAAGATTCCTATACTTTGAATATATATTTTGAAATAAATTACAATCACTCAGGTCTGATTAACAAATTCTACTTAAACTTTATCTTGCAAATTTAAATGGTACATCAGACAAAGTCCTTCCGTTAAAGAAGGTAATAGAAAAGGAAAACATGAAATGGTTTCGAATATTGCTCTTGCACTTCAAATTTACGTAGGTACATGTACATGTAACACCAAAAAGTTAATTGATGTTAAGACGCCTGGTAAGAATTGAATGGAAACACAATCGATAACCTTTAATTTTATGAACACTCACATTTCAATAGTTTTCATTAGATGACACTTTGGTCACACTGAAACACTGACAAAATATACGGTCTTGAAATATGACAATAATTTCATCACATGATCATTTTATAAATACCATGAACACTTTCCCCGACAGTTCATAATCAAGCTCTGAAAAGAGGTGTTTTAGAGATACCGATAACAGTGATAAAAGACAAGTAACATACATTGGAAAAACATGAAAAATAAAAAGAGAGAGAAATCAAATATATACTTGAAACCCAGCACATGTTTTCCAAAATATGAATCTAATAAAAACCATCAAAAGTAAAGAAACATGAATTACAAACATAAACGGTAACAAATTCATATTTTGTTGCTGAAAAAAGCCATTCTTGAATAAAAGCAATACGAAAGTGCCGTAATAACTCGGTAAACTGCTTCGAAGTGACAGAAAACATATAACATATTTATTCTATATTACTATTCATAGTTTAAGAAACATATTTCTTGTCAAAAGCTTACCAGGTTTCTGTTAAATCAAATCGTTAACTTTAGTCAACTACACGTTTCAAATATTGATCAACCTGAATGTTACAGACACTTAAAAAGAGAAATAAGTTAGCTAATAATGTATTATGCGTCAGCTAAAATAAGAAATTGATGACTGTATTTTGAAGTGAATGAATGAAAAGTTAACGATCATTGAAATACCGTCTGCTGCGAACTTTAAATTGCACATTATACATCAAAGGTGCTGTTTTTCCATTTCCGTATATTTTCTTCAGCAACAGAATGATACATTATTTGACTTTTGTTCTTAATAATTATTCTTCGACGGTTTTTTTAATTTTTACACGGACTTATACTTTATTAAGCTTTTGGTGACCAACACACTCTTTCTATTGTCATAAACAATGGGGTTTCACCCTTTCATATACCCTTTCAGGTCAAATATTACCCAACTTTTACGGACACTTCCTTCTTCTCCGTTACATCATAAAAAGTACATAGATTTGCCATGCAACATGCCATAAATTTAGCTACATTCATAACATTAATGCCCGTAGAAATGGACATTACCTTCGGATATGTGTAGTTCATCCTCTATTGGGGCTGCTGCGAATCGGAAGATGACAGGTTTATGTAACACCATGGAAGCTATTGTTATACTAGCAACAGCCTTTAACTTAAATTTTGTTATTGCAATGTGGCATAAATATTACACTGGATTTTGTTTCTTGTTGTTATGTTATCATTACTCCGGCTATAACTTTGAGAGCCTGTAATTATTTTGATTTGTTCGAGGTTTAAATTACCTATGTGGTCGAGCAGGGCACTATATTTTTCAGCACAACTAGTCTCATTGTTATTGCTATTTTCAAGGACATCAGGTACAATTTTCCGTTTTTTAGATCTTGCAGCAGCTATTTCAAATCTTCTGTTTCATTTGTTGGGTTTTTGTTAAAGTTCAAAGAAAATATATCGCGACATCGTCCAAATGAAGAAATATTTTACCAATATATTAACATTACGCATTTCAATAAAATAAGCATGCTGGCAGCACAAATACCAGAAATATTATTTTCTGTTTTTATTTTCTAGATAAACAAGTTACGTTTAATGTGGAATGATACATTCCTTTTACATCAGTCTTCTCCAACAAACTATGAACGAGCAGTTTGTTAGTTATTTAGTCATCCATACAATTTTAGTAGGTTGTAGAGAAACCGCCTATGACAATGTGACTCCTCTTTAATGATATAATCAATTATATAACTCATATCAAGTCAGCGTTGCCGACGACTGTATTTCAGAGTTTTGAGATCGTGTAACATCTAAGGTTACGTGAACTCTGC